TATTTATAGTTAAAGAAACTAGTTATTAATTTTTAATTTTCTGATCAAATTTCTAGAAAAATAAGTGCTCTTCACTTGTTTCAATAATGAACATTGTATCTACAATATTATATTTTTAAACAAAATAAGATTAATGTAGTGCTTACGTTTAGTCTAATTTCAAGGTGTACAAAATTTAGGGTAAAATTGTTAAGTTAGAATATGACTATAGATTAAATAAAAATGTCAAGTTAGAACATAAGTAAAATTGTTAAATTTGTTAAATTTGTTAAACTTGTTAAATTTGTTAAACTTGTTAAATTTGTTAAACTTGTTAAATTTGTTAAATTTGTTAAATTTGTTAAATTTGTTAAATTGTTAAGTTTGAATGCAAGTAAAATTATTAACTCACAATATGACTATAAATGTAAATAAAACTGATAACTTGTGACATAGCTATAAATAAAAATCAAATTTATAACTCGTAATATAACTATAAATATACTTGAAATTTCAAACTGACAATGTCAGTACCAAGTTAGACTCCTTCCATATAAATAAAATAAACTGAATAAGTACTAAACTGACTTCTAATTTTAACCCAACAATATCAGTACTAAAAGAGACTCCTTCCACACAAATAAATTAAACTGAATAATTATTAAACTGACTTATAATTTTAACCCAACAATATCAGTACTAAAAACGACTCCTTCCACACAAATAAAATAAACTAAATAACTCGAGCTAAGATCCTAAATACCACACGAATTTTACATCAAACAGTACACTAATAAATATACTCTTATTTATATCCATTAATATACTACTATTTGCTTCTCTATCTCGAACAAAACTCTCGACACCGATATTACAGTATACACACATGTATTTACCGGTGCTTTTGTCGAATAACTACCACGTTAAAAAAGTTAGCATAGTCTCATTCCAATAATCGTAGGTTCTTTGGAAACATCGCTTTTAAAACACGTTACCGTTTCATTATTTCTTAGAAAAAGAACGGTTGCCTGTGACACGCCTGATAGTACTCGAGAGAGGTGATCGAAATCTTATCGACACGCTGAATCTCTTTAATCGCCACCCCCGTTTTAGTGCTTCATATATAGTTGCATAAAATGCGCGTCAGTACGGATTCGCGCACGGTGTTACTGAATCGCGTTGTAAATTTAGTTTCCCATCGATCCAGAACGATTCTAGCGTTCTCCAAACAATTCTTTCTTATCAATTCTCAATGGATATATGTATTTCTTCTGACTTGAAAGTAGTTCAGTGGAACTAATGAAAGAGATTATTCCTGGTCGAAGCAATTAAATATTTAAACGATATCGGTTTCAGAAATTGATCTGATGTTATAATAGATAGGAAGTCAATTCTGATAGTATTTGAGAGCTTAACTTTATTGATAGATTTAATGACTGAACGAGGTATTGCAGGGTTGATGGCTTGGGGGGTAGTTGATAGTTTTGCGTAATTTTTTGGGTTGAGGTATGAAGTTTAGAGGATTGGCTCATTTTTGGAAATTGGAGTTTCGAGTAGACTTTTGGTATTTCTGGGGTTTGCAGTTCTGGAATTTTGGAATTTTCAAATTTTGGAACTTTGGAAATTTGAAATTTGGGGAATTTGGAACATGGCGAATTTAGGATTTAGGGAATTTGGAATTGAGAGAATTTGGGATTTGGAGAATTTAGGATTAGAGGAATTTGGAATCTGGGGAATTTTGCATTTGGGGAATTTGGAATTGAGGGAATTTGGGATTTGGAAAATTTAAGATTAGAGGAATTTGGAATCCGGGGAATTTTGGATCTGGGAAAATTGGAATTTGGAGAACTTAGAACGTAGGGAACTTGGAGAATTTGGAATTTCGGGAATGTAGAACTTGGGGAATTTGGAATTTGGAGAATTTGGCATTTGGGGAATTTGGAATTTGGGGAATTTGGAATTTAGGGAATTTGGCATTTGGGGAATTTGGAATTTGGGGAATTTGGAATTTGGGGAGTTTGAAATTTGGTGAACTTGGAATTTGGGGAATTTGGAATTTGGAGAGTTTGAAATTTGGTGAACTTGGAATTTGGGGAATTTGGATTTGGGGAATTTTGGTAATTTGAAATTTGGAATTTTGGTACCTTAGAATTTTGATATTTTTGAATTTTAAAAACTTTATGATTTTAGAATCCAAGACTCAGGATCATTTTGTAACTTTGAAAATTTATAATGTTAATTTTGCAATTTAGGGAGTTCTAAACTTTTAAATATTAGAATATTCGACACTTTGAAATTTTGCTTAAGCACGTTTACAATTAAAATTATTAGAATTTCATGACGTTGAGGATTTATAGAATTAAAATTTTAGAACTCCAATTTCATGAATTTCTGAATTTTACAACCTTAAATCTCTACAATCTTAAAATTTTTAAACTCTGCGTCTCTATAATTTCGGAAATTCGGGACTTCGATTTTTTGAAATTTTTCTATTCTGTATATTTCAAGAATCAATCAATTTAAATCTAATATTGTTCTAATATTCAAAGAACTCCTAATTTTTGTAAACTACAATACGAATGTTGTATTTCATATTTGCATTCCACTATTCTGAACACAACCACCCTTCATTCTCACAATCACAACCAGTGATGCAGAATTAAATCTAAATTCCAGGAGAGAAATTATTGTATTTCATGATTGTAATACCTAACTCCCAAAGGTAGATAACATTAGCACAACAATGGAATAACGTCAACAGCAGAGAATCGATGAAACAAATAAACTTGAAGAATTCTTCAAATAAATAGCAACATGCCATCGTCTCGATATGATCGATCTAATCATTGTTCGATAATATTGGGACACTTGAAACACATATTTAAAAAATTTCTGCAATCTCATGCTTGTGATAAATTTCTATTAACATTTTTAGTAATATTGTAATTTTAAAACCGTACATTCCGAATTATAATATTAACTGTAATTACTTAAAAATTTATAGAAGTCGTTAAAGTTCAAGAGAGGTTAATTTTATTTTTATCCACTATGATTTTTAAAATGTGAAGGTTGCTTAGAGTAACTATAACTTTAAACTCGTCAAAAAATTGCGAATAAACTCTTTGAACAAAAATAAGATAACTTGAATAAAATAATACTAAGATTGAAAATAAAATGAGGTAACTAAACTTTGAAGCATATTTATGGACATCCATCTTGCAAGATAAAATACTAGCACGAAAAGTATAAAAAATTACCAGGTATTCAAGCAACATATCAGCAAAAGATTTAAGCTTTTTACATTCTGATTTATTAACTTACCATTGCTAATGCCATTGTCAATTACCATTTTTATACCATTGATTCAAATTGCATGCTTTCAACGTATAAGAATATTAATAGCTTCCCTATTTCCTTGGAATTTATGTGACGTTTGACACCGAAACTTTTTATATTGTAGTAGAAAACTGAGATGTTAAACTTTACAGCTGCACTGGTATGTTCAGAAGAGAGTGTGTAATGACTGACTAATTGTGGTCGAAATAATTGATTAATTGTGGTCGAAGTAACTGGTTAATTGTGGTTGAAATAATTTATTAATTATGGTCGATACTGGTTAATTGTAGTCCTAACAGATGATTAATTCTGGACTTAACAAACTTAATTGTAGGCTTAGCAAAATGATTAATTCTGAACTTAAGAAAATTAATTGTGAGAATAACAAATGATTAATTCTGGAGATAAGAAACTTAATTGTGGGCCTAGCAAAATGATTAATTCTGGAGTTAAGAAACTTAATTGTGGATCTAACAAAATTATTAATTCTCGGCTTAACAAACTTAATTGTGGGCCTAACAAAATTATTAATTCTGGACTTGACAAACTTGATTGTGGGTCTAACAAAATTATTAATTCTGGGCTTAACAAACTTAATTGTGAGTCTAACAAAATTATTAATTGTGGACATAACAAACTTAATTGTGGGTCTAATGAAATGATTAATTCTCGGCTTAACAAACTTAATTGTGGGCCTAACGAAATGATTAAATCTAGACTTAACAAACTTAATTGTGGGTCTAACAAAATTATGAATTCTGGAATTAACAAACTTAATGGTAGTCCTAACAAAATGATTAATTCTGGACTTAACAAACTTAATTGTGGGCCTAAACTGACTAACTGTGATCGTAACTCACTAATTCTATGCATAACACATTAATTACGATAGTAACTCCAGTCAGAATAACTTATAAACTGTAATCAAAACTCTGTCGTATTACAAACCTAAAACACTCGTTTTACGTTCGTCATCACACCTAAACAGCTCATGTCCAAAAAGGATCCAAAAATAAAAAAACCACCACTAACCCCTTCCTCAATTACTACCATAAGTTCGTGTCCAAAGAAGATCCAAAAATAAATAAACCATCACTAACCCCTTCCTCAATTATTGCCATAAGTTCGTGTCCAAAAAGGATCAAAAAATAAACAAACCATCACAAACCCTTCCTCAATTACTTCCATAACGTTTAAACTCGATCATAGATCGCTTTACAACCCGATTTACAAGACAACTGGTACTCGGAGCAAGAACGCTAACATGTGATCCCTAATCAGTATATTCATTATACCTCGAAGTCAGCAGAGTAACCATAAATCACGTAATCAGACTATCTCCCAGATCACACGATTCATTAATACTTTTCCGACCTGAATGCACAAACAGTGACGAATTCTTCCAGGAAATATGAAATCGCACTTAACAGAACCACCTACTGAAACTCGAGTTTTATACCAGAACGGCTGTTGTTTAAAGACTTACAATATCCGCACGATGATACTAGTCCTCGAAACAACACCAAACATTTAACGATTCTCTGTTTTTGTTAAGAGACATTTACATCGAACAACATCGAAAAGAAAACACATGGCGACACGTTGCAATAACTGGAAAGGAAAATCTAGTTCCACTGAGAGACCGGGGGTGAAGGTTCGGATAATCGGATGATTGCTCGATTTACCTGACAACGGATCGTTCAGCGCGGATACCCATGCCACAATGCAGAAAACCGGAATCGCGAGAATCTGGAGCATAGTGTTGTGTGAACGACGCGGCTACGTCAACTGAGTGGCGTAAGCGAGGCGTCGCGACGCTTTGCCGCCAACCGAGTCACGCCTGCGCCCTTTAATTCGCGAATTAGGGAACTAATTTTTGGGGGATGCATGTTTACAACTGTGGAGCTAGGATAAGGTGCTTTGGTACTGAGAATGCTTTGTGGGGTAGGGTTAGTGGAACGGGGGTTTGGGAGTTGCATAACTGCGGTTCATGGACTTCAAAGTAGTAATTTATTAATTTCTGTCGAATTAGGGTAATAGATTTTTGGGGATGCATTTTTACAACTGTTGTGGAGCTAAGATAAGGGTTTTTGGTACTGAGAATGCTTTGTGGGGTAGGGTTAGTGGAGGTTTGGAATTAGGGTTTGGGAATTGGAACATGAAATTTCGGAATTTAGGAATTTTGGAATTTTGAAATTTTGGAATACTGGAATTTGTGAATCTAAGGATTTAGGAATTTGAAATTTCGCTATCTGACAATGAGGGTGTGAACGCTTGGGAAATTGGAAATTTGAGAATTTTAGAATTTCAGAATTTGGAAACTTAAAAATTTGATACTTCCAAATAGACTTTTGGTATTTCTGTGGTTTGCAGCTTTGGAATTTGGAAATTTGGGAATTTGGGAATTTGGGAATTTGGGAATTTGGGAATTTGGGAATTTGGGAATTTGGGAATTTGGGAATTTGGGAATTTGGGAATTTGGGAATTTGGGAATTTGGGAATTTGGGAATTTGGGAATTTGGGAATTTGGGAATTTGGGAATTTGGGAATTTGGGAATTTGGGAATTTGGGAATTTGGGAATTTGGGAATTTGGGAATTTGGGAATTTGGGAATTGGGAAATTTGGGAATTTTGAAATTTTAGAATTAGGAATTTGAAAATTGGGGAATTTGGGAATTTGGGAATTTGGGAATTTGGGAATCTGAGAAATTGGGAATTTAAGATTTCGGTATCTGAGAGTTTGAACGCTTGGGAAATTGGAAATTTGAGAATTTTAGAATTTCAGAATTTGGAAAATATAAAAATTTGATACTTCCAAATAGACTTTTGGTATTTCTGTGGTTTGCAATTTTGGAATTTGGAAATTTGGAAATTTGGTATTTTGTATTTTGGAATATTGGAATTTTGATAAGTTAGAATTTCAGAATTTTTGAATTTTGTAAGTTAGTAGGACGTAGAGTGTAAGGTGTTTTGTAAGACTGTGACTATAGTTTTCAAAGTAGTAATAATTTATTAATTATGATCGAATTAAACACCTAGTTTTTGGATGATGCCTATTTACAACTGTTGTAAAGTTAGAATGATGTACAAGATTCTTTGGATATGTAATAAAATGATTTTCGTGATTTGATTAGTGGAACGTAAGGTTTAGAAAGTCCTGCAAAACTGTGGTCATAAGCTTGAAAGTAGTAATAATTTATTAATTGTGTTCGAATTAGTGAACTGATTTTTGGGGGATGCCTATTTTCAACTGTTATAAAGTTAGAATGATGTACAGCTTCTTCGGCTATGTAGTAATAGGATTTTATATGGTAGTATTAGTAAGACGTAGCGTTTCTGGAGTCTTGCAAGACTGATCAGTGGTCACAAGCTTCAATGCGACCGTAACGACTTATTATGATCGAATGAACGAACTAATTTTTGGAAAATACCTTGCAACTGTCATGGAATTAGAATGTATAAGGTTCTTTGGCTATGTAGGGAAAAGGTTTTATGTGATAGGGTTATTGAAACGTGAGACATCTTTGAGGTGTCCTGCCAAACTAGTTGTCATAGGCTTCAGTGTGGTCGTAATGACTTATTGTGACCGAATTAAGGTACTAATTTTTCTGAAATGCCTTACAAGTAATGACACCTTACAACTTACATATAACCTTGAATACACTTACAAACGATGTAGAAAACTCTTAGACTACATAGTGATGTAGTAGATTTGATGGGGTAGGATTAGTGCTTTAGACTAGAATAGTGTTTTGCAGGGAAGTCTCGTAACATTGATTATTATTGGTTCTGAGCTTCAGAGGAATAAATTTAGGTACTTCTCTATTTATTAAGTTTTAGTAATGCAATTTGGTGGATTTACAGCTCTATAAATTTTGAATAACTCAATTTAGAAAATTTATAAATATACAATTTTGTAAGTATGAATATAACATCAGATCATATGCCATAAATTTTCAAATCATAACTTGCTAAATTCTCAAATTTTCTACCTTCTCATAAATCATCTCCAAACTACAAATTTCCACATCTACAAATTTCTGAAACAGTTATCTTTCTCATCCAAACTTTGAAACCGAAAGATCCAAATAACATAACTCCGTCTACAAACTTCACCATTCGCGAAATCTGAGAGTTCATAAATTTCGAATGCTGAAGGTCTTCAGATCTCCAAATTTTCTTAATCAATTAAGAACTATCTCCATAACTATCAGCATTCCCTAGGCAAGCCTACGGCGGTCGCCAGTGTACTAGTCACTTTCAAGTTAATTACGTTATCAAGTAATTAAGTTAAGATTTATCACTTTGTCTCTTCTTCCCTTTCACAGTCCGCTGGCTCGACCTCTTGAAAGGCGGTTAATTGTATCAGAGATCTACGTGACAAATTTGCCGTGAATAAAAACGGAATATGTATTTTGATTGAATGTTCAGAGTCTTCTGTGATAACTATCGTTTTCACAGAACAAAATTTTTCATCTCGTATATTAAAAATTGTTATTAACTTCAATGATTTCTAAGCTTTCATTTAACTAGTTTTGGGTTCGGATACTATGCGGGTTTCCGGCTGGGGATTATGGAAGCCAAAATCAAGGCGTCTATCAGTGACGCTTTTGGAACTGAAATTGCAGTAACTTTTGTATTAAGTTGGGAAGTATTATCATAACGGTTTATCACATCCTCAATTTAAGTGACGACCATATTATATCATTGCACATGAGTACATCTTTGCAATTATTTGCTAGGCCCACAATTAAGTTTCTTAACTCCAGAATTAATCATTTTGTTAGACCCACAATTAATTCTCTTAAGTTCAGAATTAATCATTTTGTTAGGCCCACAATTAAGTTTGTTAAGTCCAGAATTAATCATCTGTTAGGACTACAATTAACCAGTATCGACCATAATTAATAAATTATTTCAACCACAATTAACCAGTTACTTCGACCACAATTAATCAATTATTTCGACCACAATTAGTCAGTCATTACACACTCTCTTCTGAACATACCAGTGCAGCTGTAAAGTTTAACATCTCAGTTTTCTACTACAATATAAAAAGTTTCGGTGTCAAACGTCACATAAATTCCAAGGAAATAGGGAAGCTATTAATATTCTTATATGATGAAAGCATGCAATTTGAATCAATGATATAAAAGTGGTAATTGACAATGGCATTAGCAATGGTAAGTTAATAAATCAGAATGTAAAGAGCTTAAATGTTTTGCTGATATGTTGCTTGAATACCTGGTAATTTTTTATACTTTTCGTGCTAGTATTTTATCTTGCAAGATGGATGTCCATAAATATGCTTCAAAGTTTAGTTACCTCATTTTATTTTCAATCTTAGTATTTTTCAATCTTATTATTATTTTATTCAAGTTATCTTATTTTTGTTCAAAGAGTTTTTTCGCTATTTTTTGACAAGTTTTAAGTTATAGTTACTCTATGCAACCTTCACATTTTCTGCTGTGAAAAATCATGGTGGATAATCATAACGGTTTATAAGTACATAATCATAACGGTTTATCAGATCCCCAATTTGAGTGACGACCATATTATATCATTGCACATGAATATATCTTTGCAATTATTTTTATTAACCTAACAAAATAAGTACTCTATTTTTGTCGATAATTAATTTACACACATTTCAAATGCTTCTAAAAGTGTTGGATCAATTGTAAGAACACTTTATGAAAGTAACTTAATTTTCTTCAGAGACGAATTTCGTTTAATTTTCTTCGCAGACGAAGTACTTTCAATTTTCCTTAAAAATGAATTTCTCTGAATAATTTCAGTTTATACAATTTTTTATTATTTGTGCAGTGTATATGAGTAATATTTTGTTTTTGTTCGAAAGCAACTAACCTATAAATACAATGTTTCTCGTAGTAGTTAACAGGTCTCTCCGTAACTGATCGGATACCTGTTTGCGGTAACTGCGCGACGAACTCAGCGTCTATGTATTTAAAGCATTAAAATGTTGAAACAACCTCAATATTTTTAAAAAGTTCCTCCAAAATGCATTCCACTTAAATTTCTAACTTACGAATCAACATATATAATAAATATGTATATTTTAAAATAAACTTTTCAAAATTTGACCTTTACCTAACCGTCTCCAAATAAAAAATCTAATCAAATCAAATAATATTCCGAAGCCATTTTACTTTGACGGAAACGGATAGATGCATTGGTTTTACCGATAAAAATATGGGCTTCTAACAAAACTGAATTCAGCTGAAACTTGTCAGACTTCTGCTATGGGCGTCCGCTTTCTGAATTGCATGGCCGACTTGTTCGCGTCGAACAAAACAAAATGGTACAACGACACGTATGTCGCAGTACAGAACACGTAAAAAAAGGAAAAATTCTATGATGCAATCGATGCACAGAAAGTTATGTGGAGTAGCGAAAACAAATAATCGTTTCTCGCAACAGTGCGCCCGGCAAGCTGATTCGTATTTTACTTTTACTGCGTACGGTATTTATTCTGACGAGTCGCGTGCGTCGAGGAAGATTTCGGACCGCGGATATATTTGCGAGGAAAATAAAGAATTAATTAGGAGATTTATTGAATTTATTGCGATTGGCGGATATTTTTGTGTAATGGGAATAGGGAACAGGATAGGGAATTTAAGAGACGTATGAAGTACAGTAGTTCTTTATTTTTGTTTTATGTTATTTGGGGGATGTAGGGGAAAAGATGGGAATATGAGATTTGATATCAAGATTTTTATGGAGAGAGTTTATTTATTTTACAGTAATTTTGATTGTTGTTTTGGAATATAACATTTCTTTAAATTTGTAAATTTTAATAAACAAATTTTTTAATATGTAATTTTCAAATTTTTAAATAACTGAATTTTCAAATTTTTGAATTCTTGAATTCTTGAATTTCTAATGGTATGTATTTTCCATTTCTGAAAGTCACCAATTTTCAGATCCTCAAGTATCCAAATTCCCTAATTTCCAACTCTTCAAATCCTAAAATTCCCTAGAGTACTAAAATTTATAATTCCTAAACCCTACATTCTCAGCAAAGCTCCGAATTCAAAAGTTCCCAAATCTTCAGGTTTCTAGTTCTCAAATCTCCAAATTCCCTAGTTTTCCAAATTTCACGACCTCAAGTCTCCAAATTCCCTAATTCTAAAATTTATAATCATCAAACCCTGAATTCAAAAAATTCCTAATTTCTCAAGTTTCTAAATTTCCCAATTTTCAATTCTACAAATCCCTAAATTTTCCAATTCACAAGTCTTCAAATCCTAAAATTCCCCAAATTCCAAGTCCTCAAATACCCAAACTCCCTAGTTCTAAAATTTCTAATTATCAAACCCTAAAATCACAAAAATTCTAATTTCTCAAATTTCTAAATTTTCCAATTTTTAATTCCACAAATTCCTAAATTCCCCAATTCACAAGTCCTCAAATCCTAAAATTGCCCAAATCCCAAACCCTCAAATTCTAAAATTCCCTACTTCCACAATTTCTAATTATCAAACCATAGATTCACAAAATTCCTAATTTCTCAAGTTTCCAACTTCTCCAATTTTCAGTTCGACAAATCCCAAAATTCCACAATTCACAAGTCCTTAAATCTCAAAATTCCCCAAATTCCAAGTCCTCGAATACCCAAATTCCCTAGTTCTAAAATTTCTAATTTTCAAACCCCCAATTCATGAAAACTCTAATTTCTCGAAATCCAAAATTCCTTAAATTTAAAATCCTCAAATCCCAAAATTCCCTAAGTTCCTATTTGTAAAATCCCCAAATTCTCCAAGTTCCATTTCCTAAAATCCCCAAATCCCAAAATTCCCTAAGTTCCTATTTGTAAAATCCCCAGACTCTCCAAGTTCCATTTCCTAAAATCCCAAAATTCCCTAAGTTCCAATGTGTAAAATCCTCAAATTCCCCAAGTTCCATTTCCTGAAATCCTGCAATCCCAAAATTCCCTAAGTTCCAAGTCCCGAAATCCCCAAATTCCCCAAATTCCCCAAGTTTCATTTCCTAAAATCCTCGAATTCCCTAGTCCCACATTTCTTAACTTCCTAACCCCAAATCTTTCAAATTCTCAAGTCCCCAAATTCCCCATTTACCAAATCAACAACTTACATAAAACAAACCTAAAGACTTAGAAAAAGAATTATAAAAGTTCTGAAAATTGCAATAAAAATTGTTCAGAATATTAAAGGTCACTAAATCCTACCTAATTTTAGAACTCTCTGTAAATAATTGTATATCGATATTGTTATGCTAATTAATTTATTTCCTTGACACAATTCGACTCCATCTTGATTTGTAAATCCTCATTCTTACAGTACAGCTCGCGTGATAATTCAGATTCGGCACACCTTAAGGTCCGCGTGTTGCTTGATGAAATCGCTCCACCAACCAGATGTTATTACGTGCAATTGCTTTCACTTATTACAAGTACTCAGTTCCGACAAACTTCTTTTTCCGGCAGAAAGGAAAATGTTACAGACATCAGTTTTCCCTGAATTGCAATCTCCTTTTGATGCCGTGATCGCAATCTTCTTTGCAGTTGAATTCTGTTGAAACTTAATTTCGGAATGAATGATTTATATTTTCTGTTACTTATAAATCTACTGGATTGAGTGAATACATCTTAGAAATACAGTTTATTGTTGCATAAATATCATGTTTGAATTAGTTGGTAAAAAAGAGTGAGATTGGGTAACTTTGAAATTTAATTACAATTAAGTTTTTTTTTTAAATTAATCTTGAAATTAAGGTGGTACGTCGATATGGATGGTTGTTACGTGAAATATTAGTCAATTGATGTCGATGGCAGAAGGTTCTGTTGCTTTAATGAAATATCGATAGGTTGTTGTAGTGTCAACTCTCCTCTAACTGTCCTTAACCTCTTACCATAACATTCATTTATCAAATGTGTCAGCTATTCGTAAATACAGTATTAGATCAAATAAAGAAAGTTAAAGTGTTACATCAACCATCAAGTGTACCTAAACAATTCGAAACATATGATAAATCCGGGTAACATTCACCATATGTGAACTGTGAGTGCGTCACGAGTCAGACCTATCCACTGACACAATATTAAAACAAACGAAGAAAATTAAAATATTTATTAAATCTAGTATTCATTCATGCTTGACTGTGTAAATAACCACTGTACCTAAGTAAATCGGAACATATTAGAAATCCCAGTAAGATTCCCCATATGTGAACTGTGGTGCGTCACATGTCAGACCAATCCACTGACACAATATTAAAACAAACGAAGAAAATTAAAATATTTATTAAATCTAGTATTCATTCATGCTTGACTGTGTAAATAACAACTGTACCTAAACAAATTCGAACATATTAGATATCCCAGTAAGATTCACCATATGTGAACTGTGAGTGCGTCACGAGTCAGACCAATCCTCTGACACAATATTAAAGCAAACGAAGAAAATTAAAATATTTATTAAATCTAGTATTCATCCATCCTTGACTGTGTAAATAACAACTGTACCTAAGCAAATCGGAACATGTTAGAAATCCCAGTAAGATTCCCCATATGTGAATTGCGAATGCGTCACATGTCAAAGCTATCCACTGACATAATATTAAAACTAACGAAGAAAATTAAAATATTTATTAAATCTAGTATTCATCCATCCTTGACTGTGTAAATAACAACTGTACCTAAGTAAACCGGAACATATTAGAAATCCCAGTAAGATTCACCATATGTGAACTGTGAGTGCATCACAAGTCAGAGCTAAGTACATCACAAGTTAAACCCGAATACGTCACAAGTGAAACTTGGTGTCATTACAAAGCGATTAATCACGAATCTACACGATTTGTAGACACCCTATAATGAATAACGTATAGTGAATAGCTAGTTATATTCTATGGACATGGAAGGGAGTTATCGGTGTCGTGTTACACGTGTGTTCGCGGTGCTTGCTGGCGGGCTGCGGTAAGTTCCGAAGGGTGGTTCCGAGCCGCGGCCGTCTGTGTAGGCCAATTTGTCGGCTATCTACGACTTTCGAAAGCTCGTTAGCCATGAGCGTGCACGCTTAAACGGCCGCTAAATTGAAATCGATCCTTACAGCTTTGCTTTCGATCCTCCACGCCGTCTCGAGGATCCAACCGCGAGAACATACTCGTAAGGAATCACGTGCCTTGCACCAACGGGCACGCGACATTGTTAAACTCCTAACGCAAGCTTGTTGTTTTCGCTACCCGATCGTTACAAACCATTATTACGTCCCACTTCATCAACTTTACTTAATTGCTTTTATTTTTGTCCCCTTTTAAGCCCTCGTTCGTCTTTGTCGATTCTGATGGATTGACTCGGTGATAGCTTTGATATCTTTCAGTATTTAAAAATTTTTATGGAAGTTGATAAATAGATATGTACACGATATGTAATTGATACATAGATTTGTGTGTATACATTGAGCAAAAATATATTTTGTTAACAGGTGTAGATGTATCTTTTTATTTTGCATACTTTGGTACGTGTGCTTTGCATAATGCATATTTTTGTGTATCTCATACTTTTGCATGCCGTGTACATATTTCTTGTATACTTTGTAAACATTAGTGAGACTATAAACTTATTAATTGATTAGCTTAATTAGATTGAAAAAGGGAGAATTCATTGTTGATCATTTACTCATCAACTATTACAAAGTTCATATTAATTATAAAATATTATAATTTATTCAAAAGTTACAACCTACTGACTATTTCAATTTTCAAGGACACTATCAACATCATTTCAAAATTATTTCAAGGTCATTTCAAGGTCATTTGAAGGTTATTTCAAGGTCATTTTACATTACTTACAGGTCATTTTCAGTCCTTACATAAATAATTGAATTTATGAAATGTGGGATAGGGTTGGATTAATAAACATAAAATTGCTTTGAATGAAATTTATTGTAACAAATAATATGAATCAACGTATCCATCACGCTAGCAAACCATTTTTAAACAACCCACAGTCGTATATTTCGCGTCATATCCGTATCATTAATCGTCATCTTGTATTTTCCACGCATATACACATTTTCACACATTCACACATGCACATCTCGCACTCTTTGTATATTTGATCGTTCAGCTATTATAGATAACAAAGCACGTAATGAAAGAACAGAAAAATTGTATTTTAATGAGTCATACCCTGATTAAAAAAATTATTATTTGTAGTTTTAATTGATTAATTAATTATTTTGTAGTTTTTTAATTTCAAGTGTGATGGTAGCGCCCTCTGAGAAGTCGACTTCCATTTTAGTGAACCGCCATTTTGTGACGCGTTTACTTGTCGGAAATTGAAATATAAGAAAGCTATTTTTGCAGCCTCTAGAAAGTTAAAACACTTTATTTAGTAATTTGTTATTCGTAAGTTTCTCAGGGCTTTTGACTCACAAATAATATACATCTCCTTTATAATTTTTTGTTAATTCGTGGAATTTATGTTCGTAAACAGTACTCATCGATAAAAATTACAGTGGTGGCGAACCTATGCCATGTACGAAACAATTTTAACTCGACAACATGTGCTAAAAAATTATTTAACACCACTCCCTTAATCAAGTCAACAAATAATATTTTATCCCTCAAATTAATAATTCTATACCGCTAGTATAACAAATAGTTCTATAATGTTAGTAAGTGCGTATCTCGTTAACTGATCGTTCCACAAGTGTTCGTTTGTGCAATTACCAAAAGTGACAAACCTGAAAAATACAAATAGTTACCCTAATAAAAATACCTACATATTTTCTATCCAAAAACAACACAAATCTCATAACAAACTACTACTAATCTCTTACACGAACTCATAACTTCATCATCACATTTCTAAAATCATCCGAATAAAATTTTTCTCGAGTACAAAATTCATAAAAATAAATCTACAAAAGATTCGCCACCACGTAAAGTGCAAAAAAATATGAATAATCGCAACAATATAAATTCAGCGTAATACAAGATATCTCTTCAAGACAGCCTTCGTCAAATAGAAAATAAAACGTTTCGAATATAGTCCATCGAGAAAAATGATCTCCAAAAAACACGATGTGTGTACATATGTGCAGATCAGATCCGTTTTTCCGTTTCTTCCCTCCGTTTTTGCACATCGGTTAACATTTATGATCAGAATGTCACGCTATGTGCGAGCGGGAGCCTGTGTTAGCGTGCTGTGGAATATCGGCCGACCAGGAACACGTAACATTCATCACAGACGCGAACAGGTTTCGTTGAAGTTGACAGAGCTGTAGTATTGTCACTGCAAGCGTTACAGAAAATCTTGCCGCAATTTCGACAGTGATGCTGAAACAGAGACAGTTTTTGTTGTGTAGTTAAGGAGATATTATTAAGATTGCGTTGGTTAATTCTAGTTAATGTGTGATATAATTAGTTTGGTTAGTAGGACTGTTTTGTTAGTGCGAGTACTGTTCCGTCTTCACAAGATGTTCTGGGAAGTTCTGCGGATAGGTGGATGTATGGTTAGTTGGGTGAAGTGTATTGTTTTGTAGGTAGTCGTGGAAGTGAAATGTGGATTTGAAGGTTTAGAGATTTTAAGATTTGGAAATATAGGGATCTAAAAATTTGGTGATTTAAGGAGTTTGAGATTGGGGGATTTGTAAATTTTGGAATTTTGGAATTTAGAAATTTAGATGTTTAAGATATTGGATCAATTTAGCTTCTAGAAGATTTAGCAAATTGGGAATGCAGAAATTTAGGAGTTTAGGATTTTGGGAATTTTAAGACTCAGCGGTTTGAGAATTGAGAAATTTGGAATTTGAGAAATTTGGGAAATTTGGGAAATTTGGAAAATGTGGGAAATTTGGGAACAGGGAATTTTGGAAATTTGAGAATTGGGAAATTTGGCAACTGGGAAATTGGGAAATTTGAGAAGTGGGAAATTTGGCAACTGGGAAATTGGGAAATTTGAGAAGTAGGAAATTTAGGAATTTTGAAATTTGAGAAGTGGGAAATTAAGGAATTGAGAAATTTGGGAATTGAGAAATGTGGGAATTGGGAAATTTGGGAATTGGGAAATTTGGGAAATTTGAGAAGTGGGAAATTTGGCAACTGGGAAATTGGGAAATTTGAGAAGTGGAAGATTTAAGAATTGGGAAATTTGAGAAGTGGGAAATTTGGGAATTGGAAAATTTAGGAATTGGGAAATTTGGGAATTGGGAAATTTGGGAATTGGGAAATTTGGGAAATTTGGGAATTGGGAAATTTGGGAAATTAGGAAATTGGGAAATTTAGAAAGTTGATTATATGTCAATTTGGTAATTTGGTGATATGGGGATTTGGAAACTCAGGAATTTTGCAGTTTAAGAATTTGGTAATATGGGAATTTATTAATTTAGGAACTTCGAGATTTCAGAATTTAATAATTTAGAAACTAGGTAATTTCGGAATCTAGTAGTTCAGAAAATTAATAATTTAAGACTTTAATAATTTAAGAATATGGTAATTTTGGAATTTGGTAATTTTAGAACTTGGTAATTTAGGATTTTGCCACTCTAAAATTGTAAATTTTGTAATTTATAAATCTAAAATCTTGATTAAATTTAAAGATTTGTTACTTCCTATATATTAAATTTGAGAACTTAAAAATTTACAATTCCTAAATTTCTAAAGGTTTATAATTTTTCAAAAATTACTAAATTTGATGATTTAAAAATTGATTAATTTTGAATTTACCAATTTAAAAATTGCAGAATTTCTAACTTGAAATAGGTTTAAAAATTTCACGGTTTTTAACTTAAAAATTTAAACAAGTTTAAAATTTTTACTTTAACAAATTTAAAAATTTCAAAACTTGTAATTTACAAAGTTTAATAATTTCAGAATGAATAACTAGAAAAGCTTGCTAATTAATCAAACAATTGCAGTAATAACAAATTTCAAAATTTCAAAACTTGCAACTTATAAGTTCAAAAATATCAGTATTAGTAACTGAGAAAGCTTGCTAATTAACCAAACGATTGCAGTAATAACAAATTTCAAAATTTCAAAACTTGCAACTTATAAAGTTTGAAAATATCAGTATTAGTAGCTGAGAAAGCTTCCTAATTAACTAAACGATTGCAGTAATAACAAATTTAAACATTTCAAAACTTGCAACTTATAAAGTTTAAAAATATCAGTATTAGTAACTGAGAAAGCTTGCTAATTAATCAAACGATTGCAATAATAGCAAATTTCCAAATTTCAAAACTTGCAACTTATAAGTTCAAAAATATCAGTATTAGTAACTGAGCAAGCTTCCTAATTAACCAAACTATTGCAGTAATAACAAATTTAAAAATTCCAAAATTTGTACCTCATAAAATTTGAAAATATCAGTATTACTAACTAAAAAAGCTAATTAGCTAAATGATCACAGTAATCACAAATATCCCGATGATTCACAAGGAAAAAGTAGATAACGAGAAGACGAGAAAAGAACCGTGTAATATCTATACAGTGAATCCATTCCGTTCCATTTCTTCAGCATTTCTTCTTTCCCCTACTACCCACAATTTCTCCATTAACCGGTGATCTTTATTTTCAAGCCATTACCAACGGTCTATTATAATAACGCGGAGTTCGTTGTCTGAATAGGTGGGGACGTAACAGCCAGATTTGGTGTAACCACCACTCCACATTTCACATCTAAATTGAATCCCCCGAAGTAAGATGGCAAGTCTTCGTCCATTGGAGGGTGGTTGCCGTTATTACAGAAAAGTAAGAGCCCGAATAATATCATCTCGATAACCGATTTACTCGCGAACTTAATTATTGAACCGTCCCATCAGCGTGACTTATGAGCGAAACGTAGTAGATTGGTAATTGCAACTTCGTATCCATAGATTGTCTTAAACCTCATCTTATCTCCATCGTGATAGATACCTACTTATAATAGACGGAGAAAAGAGCAAAATTAATAACCTAGTTTGGTAGCAAGGATTTTGATACTCTTTGTGTATCAAGACTTTTACTATACTATTTTCAGATTCTTTGTTGAGATTTACATTTATTAAAATGTTAGATAAGACCAAAGTGGATAACCTAGTATACTTTATCTGATGGCAGAGATTGTGATACTTTTCGTATTTCAAGACGTTTACAATCTTCTTCAAAATTTTTTGTTGAGTTTTATATTTATTGAAATGTAAGATAAGATCAAAATTAGTAACCCACTATATTTTAATTGATAGCAAGGATTTTGGTACTCTTTGTATGTCAAGACTTTTACTATACTGTTTTCAGATTTTTTGTAATAGTGGACTTTTTGTTGAGGTTTATATTTATTAAAATGTTAGACAAGATCAAAGTGGATAACCCACTATATTTTAACTGATGGCAAAGATTTTGGTGTTCTTCCTATGTCAAGACGTTTACTATCCTATTTTCAGATTTTTTGTAGTAGTAGACTTTTTGTTGAGATTTATATTTATTAACAGATTAGGCAAGAGCAAAGTCGATAACCTACTATATTTTAACTAATGGCAAAGATATTTTTAATACTCTTCGAATATCGAGATAATTACAATGCTTTCTTTGGATTTTTTGTAGTAATAAACACTTTTTATTGAGATGTACCGTCGCCATCTTGGTTGTATCGCGCCGCTAGAGTGTACTTGGGTGCCGTGTAAGATTTATGTGGATCGTATATTCTATAATACTAGTGAATTTGACAATTTTCGGATTTTCAAGGTTTGTTATTGTCATATTTTTAAGCTTTCAAGCTTTAGAATTTTTGAATTTTCAAATCGTTAGACTTACAAATTTTCAAATCCCTAAATTTCAACAGTTTTTGGAATCCAAGACATATAGTTCTCTAGCTTCCCAAAGTTCTAAATTACTAAACTTCTGAATTTTTCAATTTTAGAAATCTAAATTTTGAAATTTCAAATTTCGAGAAATTTTCAAATTCTCAAATTCCTAAATTCTTAAATCCCCAAACTCCTAAATCTCCAAACTCCCAAATCCCCAAAATCCCAAATCCCCAAACTCCTACATCCCCAAACTCCCAAATCCCCAAACTCCCACATCCCCAAACTCCCAAATCCCCAAACTCCCAAATTCCGAAGTCCTCAAACTCTGAAATTTCTAAATATTCAAATTTTCCAATATTCAAATCCCAAGGTCCCCAAATTTTAAAGTCCCCAATTCCTATATCCCCAAATCCTTGAACTCTAAGGTCATCAAATCCCTAGATCCCTCAATTCTAAAATTCCAAGATCCCTAGATTCCTAAATCCTAAAATCCTCAAAATCCTACATCCCCAAATTCCTAGGCCATCAAATCCCTAAATTCCCATACCTGTAAATCCCAAAATTCCAAAATTTCCAAATCAAAAATTTTCCAAATTCTAACGTTCTAAAATCCCAAGATCCCCAAATACTAAAGCTTCTAAATCTCTACATCCTCAAATCCCTACATCTCCAAATCTTCACAATTCCATATTTATAATTTTTCACATTCACATGTCCCAACATTCACAATACATCTCCAGTTTCAGTCAACATTTACATGTTGAGCTCCATATCCCTAGAAACTAGAGGAAAACTCCGTTCCCCTCATTTGCCATATTTCCCCACAAAATCCAAATTTACTCCTGATTATACTCCCAACACGCTCAATCTGAGATCTACATGTCACCACGTCTGCATGTCAACAGTAATTTGTGATCATAAAGAAAGAATCGCGTTTCATACTTTAACACCCACGCATACAAAAGCTTGCATATAATTTGTTTTTACCACGAATCTACTTTCAAACCGCTCACACCTTTTGTATCCTCGTGAATGTATCGGTGACTACCTGACAAGGCTAATCTACTGACAATCATGTACAAGGAGTTACAAAAATGGTAGCCAAAAAATTTCAGATTCCACTTGAAAATAGGTGCATGTCTAAAATTCTTTTACTATTTTACAATCTGTAATTCTGTTCTCTGCAAGTATTCGTAGATTAAAATAGTAAATAGTTTATTAAAATTGTAATGTCGATTTGTGGTTTCGTCTTTGACAAAGTATTAAAGAAAAACTTGCAATCATCAATTTGTAAATCCACAACTGAAGAGGTAACTCGTGATGTGCTCTCCATATGTAGAATTACTTACATCTACACATGAAATAATGTCGTAGATCACAAAATAGTATACAAAATATCGATTTACAGCGATTAGAATTTACAGAACGAGTGCCATTTTTGAAGCAACCTCTACATATTCCGGTAGGTAGCCTATTCTATATTAATCAATATGGTAATTCCAGAACGTTGTGAAAAATGAGCAGCAACGATATCCTCGGCCTAACTTGTTATTATGCAATAGCTTACTACACCCTGTTCCTCCAGCCACGTTCTTTAAAACACCCTTCCGTAATGTCCCGTGTCTTCATTTGACTGGAGGCAACATAGGAAAAAGAAGAAAACGGTCTGACTGTGTTCCACAGCCCGAGCAACGTCTCTATCACGACATGCGCTGAATATGCATGCTTAGCATGTAATCGGGAATACATATGTATGTGGATAAATTGGGTGATAGTGCAATAATGTGACCGAACTTGAAATGCTTCGTAGACACCTTCCATATTGAGATTTTTGGTAGACAGTAAGCTTTTAGACAGATTGTACAAGGTTTTGTTTATGAATTTTTCGTAGGTGAATTAGGATACAATGATTTGAATTGTTACAGGTATTGGTAGATAACTTCTGCCTTGAGGTTTTGGTTGATTTCTTTGATATGAAGAGTTTGATAGTTATTATTCTCTTGTAGGATTGATATTTATTATTCACATCTAGGTATGATAGACACATAGTCCAGCTACATCAAGTTTTATTTGAAGAACTTTTGTTCATAGGTGGATAAATTGGGTGGTGGTGCTATAGTGTGATCTAACTTGTTACAGGTCTAGGTTTTGGTGGACTTCTTTGATGTGAAGGATTTGATAGTTATTATTCGCGTGTAGGATTGATATTTATTATTCACGTGTAGGTTTGACAGACACATAGTCCAGCGATATCAAGTTTTATTTGAAGAAGTTTTGTTCATATGTGAACAAATTGGGTGGTCGTGTTATAGTGTGATCTAACTTGTTACAGGTCTAGGTGGATGCCTTCTGCCTCAAGGTTTTGGTAGACACCTTTTATATGAAGGGTTTGATAGACACATTGACCAAATGCAGTAAGATTTAATTTATGAATTTTTGTTCATATGTAGATGAAGTAGGTAATGACACAATAATGTGACCCAACTTGTTGCAGGTCTAGATAGATACCTTCTATCTCCAGGTTTTGGTAGACACCTTTCATATGAAGGTTTTGATAGACTCATAGTCCAAATACATTAAGTTTTATCTCATACATTTCTGTTCATATGTGGATGAAGTAGGTGATGACACAAGAATGTGACCCAACTTTTTACAGGTCTTGGTAAATAACATCTGCATCAAGGTTTTAGTAGACACCTTGCACATGAAGGTTTTGATAGACACATAGTCCATATGCAGTAAGATTTAGCTTATGAATTTTTGTTCATATGTGGAGGAAGTAGGTGATGACACAATAATGTGACCCAACTTGTTACAGGTCTTGGTAGGTACCTTCTACATCAAAGTTTAGATAGACACCTTTCACATGAAGGTTTTGATAGACACATAGTCCAAATACATTAAATTTTATTTTACAAATTTTTGTTCATATGTGGATGAAGTAGTTGATGGTGCAATAATGTAACCTAACCTGAAGATCTTGATGAACATATTCTTTCTTAAAGTTTTAGTAGACACCTTCTACATAAAGTATTAGTAGGTACCTTTCACAAGAAGGATTTAGTAGATACATTGGCCAAACATTTTATTTTATAAATTTCTGCTAACATGTGTATATGCAATAGTATCAAAATACAACACCAAACTTAAACACATGTGAATTTGAATTAGATTAACTTAGGTTTCGTTAATCTAAAAGAATTATTGCTCCGAAGGGTCAAAAACAAATAGGGCAATTAACATCTGCCGAACGGGGTTAATTAGTGACAATTTATTGTGCAATTAGTGCTGTTGGAAGAAATGTTCCACAAATATATGGTTCGACCAGTCTCCGATATTAATGACACACATGATTTTAATCGGAACAGTTCATACGATCGTTCGATATAAAGTTTAATCGATATTATTATTTTCTGCGTACAAAACCTGTACTAATACTAAAAATACACATTTCTTTTTTACTCTAAATTTCTCATGAACTGAAAGGAACTCTTTCACAAATTGGAGTATGTCACAATTATCAGGGCCGTATTTATCGTTCAATATAACCGATGCTAGAAATATTTTGAAATTCATATTCAATGTATAAAACTTTACTAAAAATGTCAATTGCGTTCTACAAACTCAGAAAGGCAATCAAAACTTGTTTCAGAACCGACATTCTAATATTAAATATTAAAATATTAAAAAATCCCAAATTTATTAATAAAAATGTATGAAATATTTTCACGGAGGAAATAATAATTATTAACATATTGTAACATATGACTATTTTGTTTCTATACTTCATCGTTTCTTTCTTTGGAGTTTTCCTTCATCACAGAAACCAAGTACACATTGCCCTCCTCTTTTATTGCCGTTTTGTACAAAATCACGTTAAAGCAGCAAACCGATAAAATCTAATCAGAGTTTCACTTAGGGATCTTTTCAATTATTCTGACATCCGCCGAAAAGCGAACACGAGTAAACGAGGATCGGTATCCTGCTTGTAATTGCACGCCTTAATACTGATACGGTGCGTTATCTCTAATAACAGAACTGTCATGCATCAAAGTTGATGCACGCGATTTCGATCTTCGAGCTCGGGGCGTAACTACGCTACGTTAAAACCTCTCAACACCGTCAGCATCGTTCAGGGCATACGAGGCCGAATCACGAGCTATTTGAACACCCGGACCGGAGAAATCTGGACCGTAGAACTAGTAATTTTCAGGGTGGCAAGGATAATTGAACGATTAAGCGCGCCACGGTAGGTTTTCAGTCTGGCCTCTCTGCACGAGACTGAGTGAAAGAGCTCGACGGAGTCTAGCTGCGAAGGTGTGGGGGCAATTAAAAAGTTTGATTACCTTGCGACGAGTGATGTTGAACTCACGGTTGCAGCTTTTGCAATGGGTGACCAGCCGATCGTTCGCCCACGTTGCTGCTCCATCTTGCTGCTGCTGTTGCTGGTGCTGTTGATGCTGCTGTTGAGCGTTGTCAGCGGCCTCGCGTAATTCGACGGCTGCCAGTTTAGCTGTGCTCAGTTGCCCACCGAGTTCCTCCAGAGTTCGTTCTTGTTCGTTGCAGATCTCCTTCAACGCGTAATGCTCCTCCTGCAGTGTTAGATATTTCTGAAACAAGCGGATTCACATTACAGTTTCCAACTTTGCATTGTCGCTGCTACTAGTTGCTATGTCTGCATTTCTGACAGAGTAGCTTGTCTGTATTTTATATTTGTAGTTAGACTGATTTTGACGCTGATGGATTTTTACTCTTATAATGATTTATAGACATAGGCTTGTGTATAGACATACGTTGTATATGTAAGAAGTTGTAGGTATTCAGGTCTGTAGATACAAGTAGGTACAGGTCTGGGTATCACATTCTATATTTTCGATTTTATATGGACCCAAATATTTTCTGCCTACTTAGTCGAATCTAAACCTTTCTACACCTCCTGCATTCCCCAATCTCTACATTTCCCAAATCTCTATATGTACAAAATTCCAAATTTCCAAATCTCCATCTCTCAAAATCTATATTTCCAAATTTCTACATCCCCTAATTTGTGAATCCCAACCTCCTGTATTCCCCAATTTCTGCATTTCCTAAATCTCTATATGTACCAAATTCCAAATTTCTAAATCTCCATCTCTCCAAAACCATATTTCCAAATTTCTACATCTCCTAATTTGTGAATCCCAACCTCCTGTATTCCCCAATTCCTGCATTTCCCAAGTCTCCATATGTGCCAAACTCCAAATTTCCAAATATCCATCTTTCCAAATCTATATTTCCAAGTTTCTACATCCCCTAATTTGTGAATCCCAACTTCCTATAATCCCCAATCTCTACATTTCCCAAATCTCTATATGCACCAAACTCCAAATTTTCAAATATCCATCTCTCCAAACCCATATTTCCAAATTTCCATATCCCCAAATCTCAATGAACCCAAACCTACATTCCCTAATTTCTCTCTAATATCCCCCAGTACTCTCTCTCTACAAATTTCCAAATCTCCATCTCTGCAAATCCATATTTCCAAATTTCCATATCCCCAAATCTCAATGAACCCAAACCTACATACCCTAATTTCTCCCTAATATCCCCCAGTACTCTCTTCTTACAAATCCCCATATTTCAACTATCCCTCAAAAATCCCTATATCCCCAAAATCCCCATATGCACAGAACCTACACATTTCGAGAATAATATTCCCAAAATTGTAATTAATATATGACTCTACTAATTAGCTTAAAGTCTCATAAACTGGAACATACACAGTATCTCGAATGCATGCCCTAAAAATGTGAAGTAGCACGTTCAATCAAAAGAGGCAATATATGCAATATACCTCGGACACTCGCCGTAACTGATCAATTTCCTGATGTAATTGAGCGATCTTCTCCGCGTTAGAGATCGATGCTTCCTGCAGAGAGGTTCTCCATTCACGTTCGAGGCGCAATTCTCTTTCGACTCCATTCGCTCTTGCTTCTCTCTCGGCAACTTCGACTCCCAAAATTCTCACTCTTTCTTCCGCCCCTGACCTCACGCCATCCATTTCCTTGCACCTGATTAAGTCAAATCGCTGGTACTTAAGCACCGAACACACACAGTGGATTTTTACAGTACAGAAAAAATGCGAGTGTTTTAAAACATGTATGCAGGGTATAGTGGAGGAAAATGGGGCAATGGCGGTCGGCTATAGTGATCAGACGTTTCGTTTATTTGGTAATTTATTTATTCTATGGAATTCATTTATTCTGTTCATTCTATGAAATTTTTATTTTGATATTCATAGATGAATTTTTATTGAATATTTTATTCAATATTCGGTATTTTTAGAATATTCCATGAAGGTAATATTAATGGATTCAGTATTGAATAATTATTATTTATTACACTTAGAATATATTTATTATAGTACTTGTAATACATTTAATAATACTTATTGTTTATAATATTTAATTTAGTATATAATATTTATTATTTTACAGTAGTAACAACTTGATGTTTATAATAAAGTTAGTGTAATATATATTTAAATATAGTAATATTAATACTTTATTGCAATTATTGTTTAAGTGACCGCCATTACCTGTTTTCCTAAAATGATCAAGGAATTGTTTTCCTTAAACCAATAATTGATTTTTCCTTAAATTGAAAGTTTATTTTTTATACTAGTTTTTCGAAAAATTATTTAAAAATCATTTTTATCAAGAATACACAGTTTCATTTAAAATTGTAACTCTTCAGAAGAAAATTACTTTTGTTTCTATCTGCAGCCACAAATATACTATGTGTATTTTTTTATAATTATGAAAATACTGAGTTTAACTGCAGGATCTTGATTGATGTAAGTGAAAATTATTTTCTAAAGAAGTGAAACTTATTCTAACTGCTCTTATAATATATTTAAGTCACCGCCTTGCGATCATTCGATTATATGTGCAAAAATTATTTAAACATGATAAAGCGTGTTTCTTATAATTTCACGATATGGATCAAAATTATTTTTTATTAAAATAGTACGAGTACAAATAATTTATTACAACAGTTACTCTAACCTTTTGTTCACAACCTTTTTTGTTAAAAAAAGAATTAATTAACGTTACTTGAAAGTCTATTAACTTTTTCACAATTACTCAACAATAATCGAAATTTTTTCTATCTTCTATTTATTTTTAATTCATAATCCATTCTTCAATGATAAAGTATAACTTACCTTTATATAAATTCGAAAAACGAAAACTACAGAAATTTAAATAATAAACTTTATTAAAGAATATAAACTTGATAAAAATATTAAAAGTATCGATAACAAAAAAAGTCTCATTCGAATTTCACTGTACTTATCTAAAGAGGGTAATTAAATGGCGACTATCTTCCATTACGAGTTTATTTCTCTGCATTGATACAAGCACACGCAATGCCTTAGTGCATTATAAAGATCGTTGCTGATGCTTATACATAGTTACATTTATAATGTGACATATTTAGTCCGTAAATCTTTTTGTGATTGTGGAACAAATACACGTAACAATATAGAAACACATCTGTTAATTTTATTGTAAAATAAAAAAATCAAGTGAAATTCAGCCAACAATAAATAATAAAAATGATCGCAAGTCAGTTCTTAAAATATAATTTGTACCATCTCTAATCATATATTTCATCACATTAACAATTAATATAAATTAAATAAATAATTGTATTTCACGCAGGGGCCGAGATCGATACGAAAGCTCAGCTTCTATGTTTTATGCTCGATAACATTAATATAATAGTTGCTAGGTGATTATCTGACGAAGTATAAATCTATCAATTATTGCAGGAAACACGAATATCCCTAAACAATTATTTATACATAAACACAATCCTATTTAGTGAAGGTTTGCCAATATCCCCGTTAAATTAATTCGTTTCTAATATCTCGCCTAATCTACTCTAAGTCCGATCGCGTTTACAACGCCTACGTAAAAAATAAATTACTTCTAACTACAACCGTCGAGCGTATCGATTGGGAATCGAGTATCGTAGATACCGAAACATTTAAGGCGACACATACAATTTGATCATTCGAAAACTCTTTTTGCAATGAAAAAAGTTCGTGTGGAGATTTAAGCGTTTGGCAATTTTTGTGATTTTTGGAAAACCATAGTCGTACAGCCCCTAGATAGGTGCCGAATTTTTATTATAATTTCCGTAAAAATTTTTTGATTAGACCTTAAAAAAATTTCAGTTCATAATTAGCAATTAAAAATTGATTTTTGATATGCAAAACTAATTGTCAATTTTGAAAACTTGAATTTCGCAATACACTCTGGCGGAAATAATGGAATCGCACTTTAATAATGTTTATAACGCATATTTTGGTTTGTGTACCTCCTTAACACAAGCATCTTGCCAACATTCAAACCTACTTTTGCTTATAGCATTTGAAAAGAAACTTTTCGGCACCCAAAAGTAAGAACTAAAATTAAAATATCAATCTCACAATTTGGTACAAAAAAAGTACCAGCTATTTTTACAAAGATTTCTGCATGAGATACATATTTAATCATAGAAACGTACACAAGATCGCTTTGGATAAATAGCGAAACTTATAAAATAGCTAACACTAATAAGAAACAAATAAACATACTTTTCATCCATTTTTTGGATGGTCTCGGTCATCGACAATGTCTTAGCCTCCAATTTAGTGATCAGTTCAGTTTTATGCTTAAGCGAGCCTTCACACTCCTGAAATAAATATTTCAGTAAAATGTGAAAAGAACTGCTTTCTATGGACTAAGTATAATCCTGAAATTGCACAACACTTATAATTATAATCAGCCTGTAACAATATAACTTAATGTTAAGATTTCCAAAATAATACAATTTCTTTGTCTATTTACTAGAAACATTTAGAGAAAAGCTTCGAGGACAAAATGGAAAAGCACTTCCCCTAGCATGGCAACATGCAACGATGAACCATGTTAGATGCCACCGTAACAAAATGGCTGCCCGAAAACACATTGTAGGTTAGCTTCAAGCAAATACTGAGACACTCTATGTAAACAAAATCTTGTGATCTTTAAAGAAATCTATATTGACATTATTGTCTTCAACAGTTCTGTACACATAATAACGATTTATGTTGCAGCTGAGTACAATTCTATAGAGTGTCTCAATAAAGACACACTTTGATAAATATTTTGTTACAAGCTTACTGATGTACAAATTGCTAGATAAATGGTAAATATTTCATGGATTCTCTATACATTTCAAGTATATAAAGTTCTAGTCTGAAAAATGTCAACTTGATATACTTGTTTATTACGATACATAATGTTTCTGAAAAGTTTAAGAACATTTTATCACTGAAACCTTCTTGTAACAGTAATAAAATCATAGTGTATATAAATATAAATTATTTCAACACTCTTAGGCTTCTGTTTCACTACGTTAAATAATTTTATCTCATTTTCTCTAATAACTTTCTAGTTGAAAAATGATCTCGACAGAGAAACAAAAATAACAGTGAAACAGAAATATATTTTCAAATTATGTACACAATCACTTAGTATTTTTATATTTACATACAAACTGAAACATTAGACATTTCAGAAACATATTTTGTATAAAGAAATCGCTACTTTTTATTTTCCATTAGTTGAGATATTAATAGAGTTTCAAGGTATAAAATATAAAAATTAATTTGGAAAAGAAAGCGTTTTATGCGTTTGCTTTCTCCTGCGTCAAGGCATTGGAGATCTCGTTATTGGATTTATTCTCCTGCAAAGTGTCATCAGATAACTCCTTGTTGTTCTTGTTCTGAGATTGAACGTCCTCTATCTGTTCATTGTTAGATTCCTGTCGATTATCAGAAGTCTGCTGTTGATCTTTGCACTGTCGATTACTATTGGAAAGTTGAGTATTAATAGACTGTTGACTATTAGAGGACTGCAGTTTAATGGAAGAATTTTGCTGATCAGGTGTGGTAACGTTATCCGCCGATGAAAGCCTCGTTAGCTTTTCACCTCGCGGCGAAGTGGGGCTGGTCTTGTTAAGAATCGATTTAGAAACACTATTCGGTGTAGTGGGACTACGAATATTTTCCCCGTCCTTCATCAGATGATTATATTTCTCAAGGTTATGCAGTATCTTGCCGATCTGATTCGTCTTCGCGTGAAGCCGGCTCACCATTTCGCCTTTTTGCGTTAGTTCGTGCTCACACTCCTATAACGGGAATATTCCAGAAACAAGGAGTTTAAAACATTACAACCCCTTGAAAATCTTTAATTAACGTTTCACTAAAATCTGAAAAGCTGGTTAAATTAAAGTAAAAAAGAAAAATGTTTTAAACATCCCATGTGCAAAGAAAAATAATTGCAATAAAAACGATTATAAAAACTTTTCGTATTTGGAAAGAAACAAGTCACCTGCAACTTTTTGTACATTTCCAAGTTAATCAACTTGATCTCATCCAGCTGTCGTCGCAGCGATATGATCGTGTCTTGTTTCTCGTGAATGTCTTTCTCCAACAGTTTCATGGCCACCTCCATTTCGGACTTCATACTAATCTGATTAAACAAAACGAAATTTTACTTCCATTCTGACGTCAAAATTTATCGTATCAAAAAAAACAACCTGTAATTCTAACTCTTTTTCCACGTCCTGTCGCAGTTTCTTTTCGGTCTCCAACCTGCTCCTCAGTTCTTCGATCTCTGCCGTTGTTTCCGTAATGTTAATAGGTGGTTTCTCGTTCTGAAACCATGAAGACCGTTCAAGGATCATTTACCATTGTACACAGCTTCAACGCACCTCGTACGTGTCTTTGATCTCAATTTCGAGCTCCTTTTTCAGTTGCCAGTTCTCTTGGCGAAGAGACAGAATGTTCTTTTTGGCGATAGCGAGATCTTCCTTCATGAGAGTGTTTGTCGTTGTCAGGGATTCTACTTTGGCTTGGAGGTTCGTTACAGTGGCACTAAAAGTCACAACAAAATGTAAGGATCTCTTCGAGTAATTAAACGACTAGTGACATGAAATACTACTTCAAGTGTCGGTTCAGTTCTTCGATATAATTCTTCTGATCCAGAACCGTGGTCATGTTGTCATTTTCGAGCTCATCGTCCGGAGATTCACCAGGTATGTGATTACTATTTCGCAGGTATATCGAAAAGTCGATCACACCTTGTTGACAATCGAGATCTTCTTCCTGCCATAACAGTCAAGTTAAACACGTTCGACAGCGTCAAATGCTATTGACAGCATCAGACTGACCTTCACGCAGAGATTACAGTCGATCACATTCAGACCCACCAACAAACCCATTATAACAATCGCCTCCTCGCTCATCATTAAAGCGTCTGGCTCAAAATACTCCGACAATATGTCTTCCTTATGATCAATCAGCACTTTCAAATAATCGGCCAGCTTTTTTTGCATTAATGCCATACGCAACCATGCTCGTGCCCTACCCATTGCCGTCCTGGAAAGGTGAACTCCATCAGCAAAGGTCAAATTGGTACTTAGGTCAAAGTGGTCACTTGTGTATTCAAAGCTAGTGTTAATTTAACTGAGTGTATTAAGATCAATGAAGTGTGAAGTTGTCCTCAGAGGATTCTAAATTCATGTTCAATAATTTTCATCTCACATGAATCTCACAAATGATAGATTCATGTAAGAAGTTATCTGAGAAATGGATGATGTCTTTGGGAAGTTGGTCAAAAATTTTAGATGAATGAAAGGTAACAGTACTGAACATAGGGTAATAATTTCAAGTCAAACTTTGCGTTTGATGCAGTAGAAAATTACAGTTTTTTAGTAGAATATTACAGTATAATAAAATAGATGTTATCGTCTACCTTTCCTAAAAACATTTCTCAAATAATCCATATGCTAAGCTATCTACCTACGATATGCATGCGTAAAGTAAAATTAGAATGAAATCCTCTGAGAACAGTTTGCATGTGACATTGTTTTCTAGGAAGAATAGTCAGGTATGGAGAATGAGGTGAAAGATAAATACATAATGATTTATACCTAACTGTAGGTAGATCACGAATACTGGACGTAATGTCCTGCGCTTCAGGACAATATTTTTCAACGAGTTGAAGTATATCCCAAAGCTCTTTTTTAGGTCCGAGGATGCCCTGAAATCGAAGGCAGTTAGTGCCACTTGACGATCGAATACCTCGAAGATTTATTCCCAGTTTACATTTACCTTTTTGGGCCGCAAACCGTGCCTCAGCACGTGTTCGAGAACGATAAAGAAATGTTGCAACGGCATATGATCGGAATCGAGCATGCGACCATATTTCAATGACGTTTCGATCAATTCTTTCACGATTAATTTCGAAATGTTAACGAGGTTACTTCGTTCGATGATTACTGGATCCCGTGCTGTAAAACAACAGGTACTTCAGACTTTCACGACAACTGACTGTTGTTATGAAACTCATAATTATGTTCCGATTGGAACATTGTAAAAATCAACCATCACGTCCTTGTTTCTTTTCGGACCTGATTTCGTGAAATGCAAACATTATGATATAAATATGAGTAATGAGTGAACGTAAAACTGTGCTGAGAAGTTTTGAATATGTGAACGTAAGAGGTGAGTTAGTTTAGATGCTGAGATATTTGAAAGGTGCGGAAAGGTTAGGGTGCTGTGTGCTAGCAGGGAGAGATTTGGGGGATTCAGAATATTTCAAGTGAGAGTTTGAGGTTTTGGGACTTGGGACGTCCCAAAGTTTGGGAAGTTGTGGTATTTTGGGAGTTTAGATATTTGGAACGGTGGAAGTTTGAAATTTTGGGTTTTTGAGACTTTTGGATTTGAGAAATTTAGGAATTTGGGGTTTGGGGACTTTTGAGGTTGGGAAATTTAGGAATTTGGGGTTTGGGAATTTTTGGACTTGAGAAATTCAAGAATTTGGGGTTTGGAAACTTTTGGACTTGAGAAATTTAGGAATTTGGAGTTTGGGAACTTTTGGACTTGGAAAATTCAGGAATTTGGGGTTTGGGAACTTTTGGACTTGAGGAATTTAGGAATTTAGGGTTTGGGAACTTTTGGACTTGAGAAATTTAGGAATTTGGAGTTTGGGAACTTTTGGACTTGGAAAATTCAGGAATTTGGGGTTTGGGAACTTTTGGACTTGAGGAATTTAGGAATTTGGGGTTTGGGAACTTTTGATCTTGAGAAATTTAAGAATTTGGGATTTGGGAACTTTTGGACCGAAGAAATTTAAGATTTTGAGGTTAGGAAGCTTTTAAACTGGAAAAATTTAGGATTTTGAGGTTAGGGAACTTTTAAACTTGAGAAATTTAAGATTTTGAGGTTAGGAAACTTTGAATGTTAAAAGTTTGGTGTTTTATGACTTTCAAACTTTATGAACTTGGAATTTTTGTACTTCAGGACTCTAAAACCTTGGAACTTTGGGACTTCAGGGTTTTGGGACTTTAGAACTTATATCTCGAACTTACACTTTGGAATAGTAGGAATTTGGGACATAATTTGGAACTTGAACAATTTGAAACTTTGACACTCCAGAAGTTCAGAGATTTGGAACAGTGACATTTTGAGGCTTGCAGTATGTGGAATTTTCATACGTAGGGACTTTGGTAAAACACTGGAAATATACTGATGACACTGGATTCGTTAGACTAATGAAACTTTGCAATATTTAGAAGGATAAGCATACAAACTTTTGTAATTTGGTGAACCTAGTATTTTGGAATTTTACAACTATAGGATCTTATGATATTAGAAAGTGATCCACAGTTATAGTGATAAGTTTCCATGATACCCATCTTCACATTCCTAAACATAACCTTCAACTTTCCTTAATAACCCAACCCTTTGACACATCTTCTCTGAATTATCTCAAAGAATCTTCACTGAATGCAACTACTTCAAAGCCCATAACTTAAACAGAAAAATTAATACTACTATCCTTCAAATCAGTTATACAGAACATCAATAACCAAAAAAGCTATCTTCAAATTCACAAAATCCCAATAACCCAATTTACCACAACAAAATAACAAAACACTGGAACCCATAAAACTAGGTATAAATCACAACGGAGCTTAGCTGCGGTCATAAAATGGGCACAAAGCTGTAGCTGAAACTGTATAAAAACCGAACGAATAAAAATAACAGAGCGAGTAGTGCAAGAACATCGAGTACGGACACAAGCGAGAGACGTGCTGCAATGGTGGTGGACTTGGCGGCAATATATCGCGAAGCTCTCGCTGATTAGGAAGCTGATGCTGACGCTGGTGATCATGATGATGATGTTGATGGTCAATACCGCTGAGAGCTAACGGTGGCGATAGGGATCGTTGCATAGAGTCTTGCAACGAGAAATCAACGTCCTGAAGCTCCTTCAGACACAGCCATTCGCCGTCTACGGACACCCGAAAATTGCACAGGTATATCGTGTCCTGGGCGCCAGCCATGTCTTCTTCGAACATGTATCCGCCGTAATGGACACCGCCGTGGTCGCCTGGTGGCCTGATCTTCAGACCGTTCTGTGATTCTTGCCGCATAGAAAGCTTGTGAAAATTACTGAAGTCAGCTCTGAGCTTCAGAGCTGTTCAAACTTTTCTCCCTTCACGACTATGCGAATGTCCTTCAGAAATATCCTCAATAACTGTGCTTTATAATCTCTGACTGTTCTCAGCAACTGTCCTCTGCGATTTGACGTCCTCGACAACTGTCCTCGACCGTCCTCTATATCTTGATGTCCTTGATGACTCGTAACCTGAGTCCTTGACTGTTCTTTATAATCCGACCTCGATAACTGAGCGCAATATCAAACTTTCGATAATTCTCCAACTGTTTCACCTCCAGCAATTTCGATCAGCTGATACACCTCTGTTATCAATTCACTCTATGAATTTTTGTAGGCTGTAGTCTGCCTTTGTTTTGACGTTTCCTTCGTTGCAGATATTGCGGAATAGCACTCGTTGTAGGTGTAACTTAAATATAGTTGCGATTATAGGTAAAGCGATGAAAAGAAATCTTAGCTGAAGCGGAAAAAAACGATCCTCGCACTCGAAACGATGCTACATCGTAGCTCGGTGTTGCACTGATCGGACTGTTAACAGTGGCACATTATAGAGGTCTAAACGATGTCGAGGGAAACTATGCGCGTCGTTCACAAAAAATTTCACGATGAAAATGAGAGAACGCCGGTGAAAAGTAATATTGATTCTCCCGCCGATGTTACCTCCACCTATGATAATCAATACACGTGCGGAAGCTACGTGCCGGGAACTGCTGCCATCTTTTGGGGAGAGTTTGTAGTGCACGTTTTGTGAGAGATCAGACTCGCTTTGCGCAGGTTGGGTGAACAGCCGGAATTCCCGCCGTGTGTAACGCATAAGAGGGTATAGGACGATTTGCGGGTTGGTGATCATATATAGAGTGGGAAATATAGAGGGATATTGCGGAGCATGAAGAGATGTGAGGAAACTGGGATGTTTGATGTTTTAGGGAATTTTGGAGTTGAGGAGAAGGGAAATGGGAGATTTGGTAATTTGGAGAGCTTGGAATTTGGAGATTGGGAAATATAGGAATGTTGCAATTTGGGAATTGAAGAAGTAGAAACGTGGAAAATTAAGGTATTGGAAATAGGGAAATTTGGGAATTAAGCAATTTAGGAATTGGGAATTAGTAAATTGGAATAGTAGCAAAAAGGGAATTAGGGAATTAGGGAATTCGGGAATTAGGAAATTAGGGAATTAGGGAATTAGGAAATTGGGGAACTGGGAAATTAGGAAATTGAGAAATTAGGGAATTACAGAATTGGAAAATTAGGGTATTAGGGAATTTGGAAATTTGTGAATTGATAAATTTAGGAATTGGGAAGTTAGGGATATAAGGAATTAGGGAATTACAGAATTAAGAAATTAGTGAATTAGGGAATTAGGGAAGTAGGAATTAAGGAATTAGGAAATTAGGAAATTAGCTAATTTGGAAATTTGTGAATTGATAAATTTGGAAATTGGGAAATTTGGGAATTGGGAAATTTGGGAATTGGGAAATTTGGGAATTGGGAAATTTGGGAATTGGGAAATTTGGGAATTGGAAAATTTGGGTATTGGGAAATTTGGAAATTTGGAAATTTGGGAATTGGGAAATTTGGGAATTGGAAAATTTGGGTATTGGGAAATTTGGAAATTTGGAAATTTGGGAATTGGGAAATTTGGGAATTGGAAAATTTGGGTATTGGGAAATTTGGAAATTTGGAAATTTGGGAATTGGGAAATTTGGGAATTGGAAAATTTGGGTATTGGGAAATTTGGAAATTTGGAAATTTGGGAATTGGGAAATTTGGGAATTGGAAAATTTGGGTATTGGGAAATTTGGAAATTTGGAAATTTGGGAATTGGGAAATTTGGGAATTGGAAAATTTGGGTATTGGGAAATTTGGAAATTTGGAAATTTGGGAATTGGGAAATTTGGGAATTGGAAAATTTGGGTATTGGGAAATTTGGAAATTTGGAAATTTGGGAGTTGGGAAATTTGGGAATTGGGAAATTTGGGAATTGGAAAATTTGGGTATTGGGAAATTTGGAAATTTGGAAATTTGGGAATTGGGAAATTTGGAAATTTGGGAAATTCGAGGATAGGGAAATTTGGGATTTGGGAAATTTGAGAATTAGAAAATTTGGAAATTGGTAAATTTAGGAATTTGGAAATTTGAGAATTGGGGAGTTTGAAAATTGGGTAATTTGAAAATTTGAGAATTAGGGAATTATAAAGCGGGAAAATGGGAAGTGAAGAATTTGGGAATTTTTGAAACTGAGAATTTGTCATCTAAGATTTTAAAAATTTCATAGTATTAAACATCTCATAAACTTAGAAATTTTCTTAATTTTTAAACATAGAAATTTAGGTATTAAATTTAAGAGTATTTTGAATTTTCAACATCATAAATTTGAAAGCATTGAAATGTCAATGATTATAAATTTTTTAAATTTGAAAATTTACAAATTTTACAGAATATAATTTTAAAAACTTAAAACCAAGTAATGTGACAGTTTGATCACTTTTGAAATTTGTAATTAGAATATTTAGAAATTTTCAAGTTTAGGCGAAGGTACTTTAGTACCCAAAATTTTACACATCTGAAAACATTAAGTTTAAAAACGTATCATTTCAAGCACATAACCCTGAAAGTTTGAGTCACCGTATATGTAACGTAGGACGTCAGAATCGCTATCGTTGCGCATGCGCGTTGCTATGGGTTACAGTATGCGCTTGACCCAATCGCAGCAAACGTGCGCAGAATGAACAAACTCTCTGCGGATAAGGAGTATGATCTCTCATTAAACGTAATGCACGTCGGTACTATAGATTGTATGGAATAATATGCAGTAAATAAATACATAATATTATTGTATCGAATGTAGAGAATTATTTTGTCTTATTTGTTTCAGCTGTGTTTGCATAATTAGTACATTACTGATAATTTTTCAAATCATGACACCTATCATTTACTGATAACTGATAATATGCGTATTTAACAAGCTTTCAACCTTATTATTAAATATAAAACTCTTGTTTAAATTGTTAACTTAAATTTGTCTTTTAAGTACTCTAACCTCTATGAAATATTATGAATATTTCAATTAAACTTACTGAAATATAAAAATTAATTTAAGTCTGTCAGTTAATGTTTGTGAATTGTAATCTATGTTGTTCAATAATTGGCAAGTATGAAATCATAATTGTTTTTCAACAAAAGAATGCCGGTTCGATTATGTAATAACACAGTTCAGTTTACTGTACATTACAGACAGTTATACCATTTGTTTGCATTATTTCGCGGTTAACCACAACTATAATATTATTACATGTACTAATACTACACAACAGAAGAAACAACTACTCTCATTGTACCACGAATTCATAATGACAGGTCGTTAATTCGTAAAAATACAATTAAAAAAATAGAAAATAATAGATTTATTATATATGCATCGATATAGAGTACTAATTACAATAAACAAATCAAAACTGCCAAATCCGATTTTGAATTTCGCGCTAAAAACCGATCAAAAGCATGCAGCTAGCGCGTTGTGTACTCACGTCTTGGTAACCACCAGGCATCCAATTTTCTGGGTCTCGAAACAACCAAATCTGGCCATTTGTCTTCACGTATCGAATAAGCCGACGGCGATCGCGACACACTTTTTTCATTTTCCTCGGAGGCTAAACTACTCGTTAACGATTTCTCGGACGGAGATATTGGCAAACCTTCACTACTGTCCGCGGCCATGTTTACGTTTTCACTGAATGCTCAGTGCCCACACGCGTAGCAACGAATGGCCACTTACGTTTATGCATGATCTTGCGCGACGAGTATTAAATAATTACTTTCTTGCAATTGCTAACGATTAATTTACACTACACTCGCTAGCGTGAGTTTAGAAATTTGTCAATGAAAGATATTTCACTATTCCTAGATACGTATGATAATTTTAAATACGTCATAATTTTTATTTTACATTTTCTAACCTCTGTTTTGTTATAAATATTGTAAGTCAACTTTTAGACTTTTAGAAAAAAATAGACAGATCCGTTATTGTATTAAATAATTATATTTATCTTGTATAGTGTTACTAAATTTTTAAGTTTTTTATTTTACTAGTATATTCTAGTCTTTCTTAAAGGAGAGAAAGATACAGTTTCTGTATCATATTAAGTAAATAATTGTATTTGTTATCTTATATAGAGGGTGTCCAAATTTGTTGACAATATTTTGCTAGTTTATTTTGTGAGCATAAACGAGACAAAAATACATGAATAGAGTCTTAAATACTTTATTGAGAAATTAGGGTAAGCTTTAGTTAAGGATTTAGTGTTAGTTTTATAGTATCTTTATATTGTAACAAATTCAAAAGTTGTGCGTGAATGTTTTTAGCGCGTTTGACAGCTTGCTTTGCCGCCATATTGATTTCTATGCGCGATCGAACCAATCGGACGAGTCCCCGACTGTAGGTCACGTGAGTGGCAGCCATGTTGGCGCGACAATTCGAACGCATGTTTCTACATATTTTAGAAGTGTACAGTTTTTTCGCTTATGTATGGTTCAAACTACTCTCAAATTTTTTAATTGTTAAATTTATCGAATATACATTTTTAAATTATCAAATATAATTCTTATATTTTCAAATCTTCAGATTCAAACATTTTCAAATTCTTAAATCCTTAAGTTTCCAAATTTGAACTTTTGTCAATTCTAATATCTGTAACTTTGAAAGTTTTTAAATCTCAAAGTTTGTATATTTGTAATAATAACCTACAATTATTAAATTAGTAATGACCTACTATTATTAACCTACTATAATAACCTACTTTAATTCTTAGTTAGTAATAACCTACAGTTATTTTCCTTAAAATTCCCCAGAATAACTGTATTATTACATACTTAGACTCATTTGTATACTTTGTTATACTCATCTTTATTATAAAAACAAATTTTAAAAGTGAATAATCGTAATTGACTTTAATTATTTCCAAAATTTGTTCATTTGTATTCAAATCGTATATCATAAAATGGCTTTAATATGCTGTTCAAACAGAAGACAAATGAATGTATTCTCAAAGAAAATTAATTCCGCTCATGGAAGGAATAAAAGAAGTTGCTGTGCTTATATTGTAATCGGTGCGCGTTTGCTACACAGACACGATAAAAACATTGGTATGTTTGTGACAGAGATAACAACACGTCTCTTATAACATGTACGGTTTATTTATAACACAGATTATCACATTTATATATATTCAACTATCAAAATATATTTGACATACATTTACGTGTATATATATTTTTAAATATTATTTTATTATAATATTTTAAGATAGTATTGGTTCTTCATTTTCATGGACAATCAATGGTTGTGAACTGTAAATTTCTTTTTAATTCAATTTTAAGACTTAGGATATTCATAGTGTGCTACTGTGGGATATTTTTACATTTATAGTTATAAATAGCTGGGTATATACGTACTTGAAGAGTATAAAACGTACAAATAATGGCATGGTTTAGATGTACGAAATATGTACGAATGCATATTTAGAATGTATGAAACACGTACGAGGATCTGGATAGTTAAAATGTATGGAACATGTACGGATGACTACATACTCGATATACATATATGCGACACGTACAAATAACTACATACTTGAGATATATGGTACACATATAAATAACTACATACGATACACATATGAATAACTACATACTTAGCATGTATGATATATATATGAATAACTACATACTTAACATATACGGTACGCATATAAATAACTACATACTTAACATGTATGATACACATAAAAATAACTACATACTTACATGTATGATAAACATATAAATAATTATATACTTAGTGTGTATGATGCATACAATAAATAACTACATATTTAACATGTATGATACATATATAAATAACTACATACTTAACACACATGATACTAATATAAATAATTATATACTTAGCGTGTATGATGCATACAATAAATAACTACATACTTAACATGTATGATGCATATATAAATAACTACATACCTAACATGTATGATGCATATATAAATAACTACATACTTAAAATATTTTTAGCACATCTAAATATTTAGCTCCACATTTAAAGAAAAATAAAAACAACTATATAATTAGAATATAAATTCATTTATAATCTAACAATTTAAGTGCAATATAGAAAAAAATATTACTTAAATATTTCTTAAATACAATTCGAAAATAAAAGATTCCAAAGCACAGAATAATACACTATTATTTATTGAAACATCGCACATATTATAAACAATATTCTTAACATAAATTCAAGAACTTAAAAATGGAAATTGTCTAATATTAAATTTACAATACTCTTGAGTACATAAAAAATTCCAAAGCATAGAATAACACACTGTTATTTATTAAAATATTACACAAATTATAAACGCTGCTGTTAACATAAATTCAAGAACTTAAAAATTGAAATCTAATATTAAATTTACAATACTTTTGAGTACATAAAAAATTCCAAAGCACAGAATAACACACTGTTATTTATTATAAACGCTAGTGTTAACATAAATTCAAAAACTTAAAAATTGAAATAAAAATTGAAGTGTAATATTAAACAATACTCTTGAGTACATAAAAAATTCCAAAGCACAGAATACACTATCATTCAACAAAAAATCGCACAAATCAACAATAGCGTTAAAATAAAGTATAAAGTAATGGTAGCTTCAATTTGAACGCAAAGCCATTACGTCCACAATCGAGAGAACCAATCGAAGACCCCAGATGCGAGTACCAGAAATTACAGCAACGTTATACGTACTCTAAAGTTTCTCGCGGAGGAGGCCAGTATTCCCCGGTGAATGAAGTGTCGGTTAACACGATCGAGTGTTAAAAGATCTCACGAAGCCGAAGCGAAGACTGCGCACGCAGTCCGCGCGTGTATTGCAACCACCCTTCCTTAGGTTCAGTTTACCCTTGCAGCACAGTTGAAACCCAAAGTTTCGCTCGTGCAGGATCAGTCTCTCACTGGTCAGCGCAAAGAGACAAGAAATGACACATGTCAAAAGTCCGTAACCGCGCGAAACACTCGAAAACACCGGGAGCAACGTGTTCACCGTAACGATGAACGTTTCGCGGCGAAACTACGGTAAGATCGCGAAACGTTGTTTTCCTTGTTCCGGATGCGAATCTCTTCCTCATTTCTATGAATGTATACGTCATTTTGTGAAGTAATACCACGAAAACAGCTGGAACAATGTACGGCATGCTATTGGAGAGTGTGCAGCACTTCGTGCAGGTCGGTAACGTAACGTACTAAACCGTGAGTGTACATCTTTATATATTTTATCTGTCAGATTGTCTTTTTTCTATATTTATTTTGGAGATTTTGGATTATTTTGGATATTCGATTTGTGCGTGGTTTCTTGAAGTGTTTGGGAAAGATGTGGGGGAGATCAGCTGATTGTTATTGGTTCAAGAAGATGGGGAAGATTATTTGTTTGGGTGGATTTGATTTTTTTTTATATGGTATTGCAGTGTTTTATTTAAATATTAATATTGAGGTATTGGTTTAAGGTGTCAGTTAATTTAGGGTCACGAATTCTGGGTTTTTACTGCAGTTTTGATAATGTGATTTGGATTGATAATGGAGAGTGAAGATTGTTGTCAGTGTTTTGGGATTCTTGTACTGAATGTGTGAGGTGTCAATAATTAGTAACTTCAAATTTTTCCATTAATAAGTATGCGAGGTTTGAAATTTTCAAATTCCCAAATTTCCAACTTCCTATATCCAATTTTCAATTTCCAATTTTTTATATCCTATATTCAAATTCTAATTTCTCCAATTTCCAGATTTCCCTACTTCCCCATTTCCCAATTTCCCAATTCTCAATTTTCCCAATTCCCAAATTTCCCAAATTTCCCAAATTCCAAATGTCCCAAATTCCCAATTTCCCAATTTCCCAATTCCCAAATTTCCCAATTCCCCAATTTCCCAATTCCCAAATTTCCCAATTCCTAAATTACCCAATTTCCAAATAACCCAATTCCCACATTTCCCAATTTCCAAATGACCCAATTCCCAAATTTCCCAATTCTCAAGTTTCCCAATTCCCAAATTTCCCAAATTCCCAAATGTCCCAATTCCCAAACGTCCCAATTCCTAAATTACCCAATTTCCAAATGACCCAATTCCCACATTTCCCAATTTCCAAATGATCCAATTCCCACATTTCCCAATTTCCAAATGACGCATTCCCAAATTTCCCAATTCTCAAGTTTCCGAATTCCCAAATTTCCCAAATTCCCAAATGTTCTAATTCCCAAACGTCCCAATTCCTAAATTACCCAATTTCCAAATGATCCAATTCCCAAATTTCCCAATTTCCCAATTTCCCAATTCCTAAGTTTCCCAATTCCCCAATTCCCCAATTCCCCAATTTCCCAATTCCCAAATTTCTCAATTCTCAAATTTTTCAAATTCCAAAACCTCCCAATTCCCAAGTTTTCAAATTTCTACTACTAAACACTACTAATACATTTTTATTCTAGCATTTTCAAAGTTTCTACTCTTTCTCTTCATATTACATTCTTATAATAATATTATAAACCCTGTTTAAATGAATTATATTGAAAACCAAATTGAAAGTGAAAGACTCGCTATAAGTACTTCGTAAACATAACCCTCTTAATAAATATACAATATCTTGTTTATACAATAATTTGGGAATTGGGAAATTGGGGAATTGGGAAATTTGGGAATTGGGAAATTTGGAAATGGGGAAATTGGGAAATTGGGAAATTGGGAAATGGGGAAGTAGGGAAATCTGGAAATTGGAAAAATTATCTTATATTATTTTTAATGCAAAACTTAAATAATTATAAAGAAGTTTCTATGAATCTATTATTAAATAAAGAGTGATTTTATGTACCATAAAAACATTTTCTACATTTTGAGGTAAAATCGAAATTTTTGTATTAATAGTGTTAGGTTATGTTACACCATTAATAATTTTTCTAATTCTAATTATTAAGTAAATGTAACATATATATTATTGAAATAAATACTACACATCTCCCGTTTAGTTTTCTTCATTTTTACCGATTATATTTGTATATTTTTACATTAATCTTGAAATGTTATATTGTTTTTCCACAACAGATGCAACATACATTGTTGTTCTTCTACTTTAAATGTAGAAATAACCTTTGAGTATATATATTGACGTGTTTATCAACTAGTATGCAAGTTGTTGATTTATGTTGATATATTGTATCATTCTAAAATAATCAGTCATTTGTGAAAACAGTCACGTACTTGCCAAAGGAAATGGTTTGAAAGTACGCAATAAACGAAGTACCTGAATATGGATGAATTTAGACTTCCTTTCCGTACAACACCTTAATTGTTTAGAGTTTTAAAAATAGTATCGTTCTTCCGACCCCTAAGAACGTTTTTATTTATCTTTTCAATATGGTGTTTGCGCGTCATTAATCATTTCTTGGATATCGTTCATGGTTTTTGTAACATTTTTTATATTAATCAAACTTCTTTTGACATTTTTGTGAGAGTTTGAAATTCATAGTAGAATAATGTACAGTATTTTATGTGGTATTATGGAAAAATATTTTATGTAGTCCGCCATTATAGTTCTTTATAAGATTATACGTCCATCTTAAATTTCGAAGTTAAATTTTTGTGCATCTGAAAGTAAGGAAATATTTTCGGATTTTTTGGGATGTTAAAAACATTCTTGAGGTTTTATTTGAGATACATTTTGTTCGAGTTAAATTTTATTTAAGTTAAATTTAGGTTAAATATTTAGGTTAAGTTTAGGATAAATTTTAGTTTTGTTAAATTTTATTTAAGTTAAATTTAGGTTAAATTTTACTTTCATGAAATTTTATTTAGGTTAAGTTTAGGATAAATTTTATTCAAGTTAAATTTAGGTTAAGTTTTAGTTTCGTTAAATTTTATATAAATTAAGTTTAGCTTAAATTTTATTTTTGTTAAATATAGGTTGAATTTTATTTTTATTAAATTTTATTTAGGTGCAATTTTATTTCCATTAAATTTTATTTAGATTAAACTCAGGTTAAATTTCATTTTTGTTCAATTTGTGTTAAATTTTATTCAAATTTTACTTGCTAACTAGTTTTAAAAAATAAAACTTGAAAATAGCTAAAATGAAGAATTAAAAAATAAAAGAATAATGAAATGTAACATGTTGTGTTACTTTATCATCACAAAATGGTAGCCAAGTTTTATACAATACATTTTAACAATCCTTTCATTCTACGATTTCTAAGATTAGATTTTCTTTTCAAAAGTAATGATTTTAATTATTATTTTCACAGCCAGTGTTCAGCTTATTCCATTGATCATTTATTCCATAAATTATTCTTATTAAAAATTGTATATTTTTGCATTCTTGGTATGGAAAATAACTTCCAAAATATTATATAATCTTTCGTACTTTAACATCTAAAATGCTTCATACCGTTCCAATCGTATTTAGAACCAGTGACTGGGGAGAGATTATTTTTGGAGTTATATAGCAGCCATTTCTATACTATCCATGCCTTATGTTTAGTTAGAATACTTGAACTAGTACTAACCTAACCTACTTCAAATCCCTGCTTGTTTCCTAATAAATTCTATTACAAATTATTCTTTTTAAATATTCAACTACATTATTTCTATTATCTTCATCATGTATTATATTTAACAACTATTTATTATTTATGATTTAAAATTTTTTAATTCCTGTTATGCTTCATTTTACGTTTTTTAATTTTTAGTATATTTTATTTTATGCTTTGAAATTCTGAATTTTTTTATGTTTAATTTTATGGTTTGAAATTTTTGTTATGTGTAATTCTAAGGTTTTAAATTTTTCTTATATTTAATTTCATATTTTGAAATTTTTCTTATGTTTAATTTTACGTTTTTGAATTTTTTATACGTTTAAATTTATTTTTTGAAATTTTGATTTTTTGTTATGTACAATTCTATGGTTTAAAAATTTTCTTATAATTGATTTCATATTTTGAAATTTTTGTTACGTTCAATTTTATGTCGTAAAATTTTTGTATGTTTAATTTTATGTTTTGGAATATTGAATTTTTGTTATGCTTAATTTTACATTTTTGAATTTTTTACATCTTTAATTTTCTGTTTCGAAATTCTTCATATGCATAATTTTATATTTTTAAATTTTTCTTATGTTTAACTTTATGTTGTTAAATTTATATATTTTTCTTTACAATCACTCTCCTTAACAATTGAAAATATTAAACAAAGTAAAATAGTTTACAAATTCATCTTCCTTGTCAACAAATACACAAGAAATATCCGTCACACGTTACAAATCCAGATGGTTATTGAACTGTATTCTTATCACTACGATATAACTACAATATAACAGCTTCAATTTCTACATTTCAAACACAAAGCAGTGAGCATAAAATTCACTTCTATTCCCATACAAATCATGAATTAACCTATTTTTTGTTCAAAACTAAATTCTTTTTAGAAAAATTATTTAAACATTAAAACACCATTCTAACACTTTCATTATATTGCAACACATTTTGTTTTTCAAATTAAACAACAAATAGTACATCTTCTATTAACACAACATAATTTACTATAAATTTATAACTCACAATCTACATAAATAATAAAAATACATAAGAGTAAAATTTCTGACTCATAATAAAAGAATAATTGTAGAAAATCTCATTTTAATAACCTCCCTAATAATTCTTCTAATACCTCTTTAATAAATCTTCATCTCTTTTTAATAACCGCATCAAAATCTCTTTTTAATACACATAAACGAACTAATTAAAAGAAAATTAATACATACATTCAGAACGAATGTATTCCAGCCATTGTTCATGAAATATGAAACGTTAATTACATACGATGCTTAATTGAAGTTCGGTTATTGAACCCCAGTAATATGGTTCGAGAAATTCGCGTGTCCATTTGGAATATCAAATCATGAGGAGTCTCATTAATATGGGAAATATATTAATTTCCGTGACCAAAGTCGTTATAGTGGAAGAGACATTAGTTATCTAGGGCTAACTAGAAACTGGGCTGATTATGAGAATCAATTCTCATAAATATACCTTGTAAATGGCACTTCATACGGTTACTAGAACGTTGCAGTTATATTTGTAATGAACTTCATAAATGTGAACATATATTTTTAATTCTAGTAGGTAATTTGCATTTTTGTTTCAATCTCAAATCTTCAAATCCCTACATTTCCCAATTCCCACATTTCCCAATTCTCACATTTCCCAATTCCTACATTTCCCAATCCTTACATTTCCCAATTCTCACATTTCCCAATTCCTACATTTCCCAATCCTTACATTTCCCAATTCTCACATTTCCCAATTCCTACATTTCCCAATCCTTACATTTCCCAATTCTCACATTTCCCAATTCCTACATTTCCCAATCCTTACATTTCCCAATTCTCACATTTCCCAATTCCTACATTTCCCAATCCTTACATTTCCCAATTCTCACATTTCCCAATTCCTACATTTCCCAATCCCCACATTTCCCAATTCTCACATTTCCCAATTCCTACATTTCCCAATCCTTACATTTCCCAATTCTCACATTTCCCAATCCTTACATTTCCCAATTCTCACATTGCCCAATCCCTACATTTCATAATTCTCACATTTCTCAATCCTTACATTGCCAAATTCTCAAATTTTCAAATCGCCATGTCTACTGAATAAAAGTAAACTCAATTCAAAGCTATTACAGATAACAATTTCGTAGTCATTTTTCATCTCTCACATTTTTTTTGGTAAAAGCAATACGGAGATACATGTACAAAGATATAAACAGGGAAGGTACTCCCCGAAGGATAATAGAAACAGTCGTATATTCTCTTCTTTTATATCCGCTTTTCTCACTGTTTCTAAGCCGCCTTTATTGGAAATCGATCATGCATTCGGTAGTGAGAAAATTTGCTTGTACAAAATATGTGTTGGTATCAAAGTGACAGGCAAATATATTGTAAAATTTGTTGGACACTTCTCGTTCAAGATTTGAAGAACTTGTTCAGTGAAAGTGACATGTGAATTTGAAAAAGATGGAATACGGATGGAAAATAATAGTAGTCACTGAAGTAATAATTCAAGTAACAAAAGTAGATTTGTGAAATGAAATATTTATTGCAAAATTTTATTTAGCAACTTGAACTTTACCTTTAACTTTTGTAATTAAACAATTACTGTTACTATTACTATTATAGGCTATTACTGTGTGGAATTTTATTTGAGAAATTCAGGATTTTGGGAATTTGGGAATATGGAGATGTAGGGATTGGGAGATTTAGGGATTTGGAGATTAGTGAAATTTAGGGTTTTGGGAATTTGGGAATATGGAGATTTAGGGATTTGGAGATTAGTGAAATTTAGGGTTTTGGGAATTTGGGAATATGGAGATTTAAGGGTTGTTGAGATTATCATTATTACTGATACTATTTCCATTCCTGTTACTGTTACTGGTGCTATTACTATTTTGGCAAGTTTAGAGATTTGAAAATCTATTACTATTATTATTACTGGTGCTATCACTGGCATTATTACTGGTACTATTACTATTACTATTACTCTAACTGGTATTATTACTTATATTATTACTACTATTGCTGACATTGATATTGTTACTATTGCTGTTGCTGTTACTGTTATTATATATTAGTGGTATTACTACTATTACTACTATTATTATTATTACTGATACTATTTCCATTCCTGTTACTGTTACTGGTGCTATCACTGGCATTATTACTGGTACTATTACTATTACTATTACTATTACTCTAACTGGTATTATTACTTATATTATTACTACTATTGCTGATATTGATATTGTCACTATTGCTGTTACTGTTACTGTTACTGTTACTGTTACTTTTACTCTTACTCTTACTCTTACTGTCAGTATTACTATTACTATTACTGTTACTGTCACTGTTGCCCTTACTGTTATTATTATTATTACTACTTATCTGCAGAACTGTTCTATCACTTTGGTATCCATTTTGTTTCGCAACAATTGCAGTCTCCAGCATTTTCCTTCAATCTTCCCATCACTCTAATCCAACCTCAACGAAATTAACATTAATATCATATTTCATTTAATTACATCCTACACTCACTGAATATAAAAATTATTCTAAAACTTCGTCAAAATAACAGTTGACTAAATGCTGTTGAATTGTGTTTATAGACTGTATGTATATATTTAAGTTCATCGAAAATATTTATTCACAGTCTAAATGTAACCAGATTTTGAAATCTTGCGAAACTTATAGAATGTTGTGAAATATGGTTTACTAAAACGTGCAATAAAATTTTGCAGTTAGAATATGGCGAAGATATGTGGGTTCAGGTTGTGGAAAAAGCTGAGTGTAAACATATCGTTTTCAATACACGACAAATATATCCTGACGAGCTTATGACAAATTTAGCTGCTGCATTGGCGGCATTAAATGGCGAGTCCGTTGATGATGTGATGCAATTTTTTGGAAAATGTTTCGTCAGGTTCTTTAGTAACTTAGGGTAAGTTTTTTTTTCATATATAAACACTTTTTACTTGTTAAAAGTATTCATTTCTATAGAAAAATGTTTTATATTCATTTCTGTTTTTTTTTTTATATTTTATATTGATATCTGCAATTATCGAGTTAAGTGAGGTGGAATTATTTCAGGAATTATTTTAATGACACTTTTGGAATTGCTAGATTTTAGTGAAGTTTAATTTTATTTTTCTTTGTGTTGAGAGAGAGGTAAAATTTTCGTTCGTGGAAAATATTCAATTTGTAAATTAAAATTTGTAGATGAAGGGTGTTATAGAATTATTATGTGCATGTACAAATTATTATTTAATTTTTTGTATATATAGAATGTTATGTTATATACAAGTTAATATTAAATATATTATATGTACAAATTCTTTTAATATACAAATTATTATCAAATATAGTATAATTTATAAAATTATATTATATGACATAATGCATCAGAAAATTGTCCGAAATATTATATTATAAAATTAAGACTATAAATTTTACAAACTACATGATTAATTGTAAGTGTAAACTCAATAACAACGTTGACTTTCATAATAATTTATCTAAAATTCCCAAAATCTATATTCAAACTAAATGTAAAATAATATTAAACAATAATGAAGACATTTACAATAGGTATGCTTGCATGATAAAAACAACGGGTCGTTATTTCTGCGACTTTTTACAAAGTGTCGATAATATTCACATGCAAATGAGATTTACATACCCAAAAATGAAGAGTCCTTCTATGTACATTACGCATATCGACGCAGAGGGTGTAGTGTTAGTGTATCGAAGTACTAGAAAGGGTTTCACACATTATCTTATGGGTAAGATGTTTTGTTAATAATTACAAACTTTTGAATACCACAAAAATATTTTATTCACGTTAACTATTATTACTACTTCACTATTACGTTATTAAAATACACCATAACACTATTGACTATTTTATTACACTATTAATTATTTTAATGAATTTTCCACAGAATATTATTTATAGTAATAAGAATTATAATTCTTATGATAATAACATTCTTATCAACTTTTTCTCTAAACTAAATTTAATTATTTGGAAACCATTATTAGACTGTACTCTACTGTTTTTATATTTTCTACAGGTCAACTATTCCAAATAGCAAAAGAATTATACGAAATTGATTTAGACATAAAAGTACTAGGTAGTTCAAATAATATACCTGGGTCCAGGAGTGTAATGGTTAAATTTAGAATTAACTTTGACAATAGCGAATATGTAAGTACATTGTTTTTATCAATCAAAATTCACTATTTTAATATTTCTTACGCTATATTATGATATTACTAATTGTACATATATATTTCGTAGAACATTTGCTATAATTTAATTTTATCTCAAAAATAAATAATCATAAGTGGAATTAACAAAAATTGAATGGTATTAGTGATCATGAAAGTTTGCTCTGTAATATTTAAATTTATTAAATACAAGATATTATTAATTTTATATTATTATATATATTTCATAGAACATTCACTATAATTTGATTTTATCTAAAAAATAAGTAATCGTAATTTTATTTAATTTAATACAACAAAATAATAAAACAAAAATTTAATAATGTTAATGATCATGAAAGTTCACACTGTAACATTAAAATTTGTTAAATACGAGATATTATTAGTTATATGTTACAATATATATTTCATAGAACATTCACTATAATTTGATTTTATCTAAAAAAATAAGTAATCGTAATTTTATTTAATTAAATACAACAAAACGATAAAACATAATAACAAAACAAAAATTTAATAGTATTAATAATCATGAAACTTTACACTGTAATATTTAAATTTGTTAAATACAAGAAATTATTAATTTTATACTATTATATATATTTCATAGAACATTCATTTTTATTTTATTTTATTTACTAAATAATTAATCATAATTTGAATAAACAGAAATCAAATGCTGTCAATGTATAACCACTAAAATTTGCATTACAATATTTATTAGATCGCAAAAAACAACAGAATGAAAACCCCTTTAAGCCGCGAATTACCACCAGTGTCGTGTACATTTATTTTACGACTTTTCCCGTTCGGAGTTGTGATAAACAAAGACATGAGAATATTGGGAGCTGGTGATAAACTTCTACAAGCTTGGGGTGGCAGTTCACCCATTCGCAATAAACACATCACTGAAATATTTAAACTGCGGAGGCCTAAAGGAATATCTTTTACTTGGGGAAATGTAAGAAGACATTATTTATTGTTATTCTAATATATTACTTATTTTTCAAAGAATGCATTCTTTTTATATTATCTTTGCATGTTTGTATTTTTTTTTTTTAAGAAAAAAGATTGCATGATAGTTTTATAAAGTTTAATGAATCGCAGAAATATTTTTATCTTCTCAATTATTGATTTTATTAACCTTAATAATAATTAATTTTCTCAATTGTTGACTTTATTCATTTTTACATTATCTTTGCATGTTTCTATTTTTTTTAAGAAAAGAAGTTTACAGTGTTGTAAATTTTAACGATTTACAAAAGTACTTTTATCTCTTCAATTTTATTAACTTTAATAATAATTAATCTTCTCAATTTTTTATTTTATTAACCTTAATAATAATGAATTTTCTCAATTGTTGAATTTATTCATTTTTACATTATCTGTGCATGTTTGTATTTTTTTTAAGGAAGGAAGTTTACAGTTTCGCAAATTTTAACGATTTACAAAAATACTTTTATCTCCTCAACTTTATTAACTTTAATAATAATTAATCTTCTCAATTTTTTATTTTATTAACCTTAATAACAATTAATCTTCTCAGCTGTTCACTCTATTAATTTTAACTGATTTTTTTACATAAATCACACACCCTATATAATTCAACTTATATTAACCCAATAAATAAATATTGATATTGTTTTAACATATAACAAATTAATAATATTGTACAATCATCTTTATTACAATATTTCAATTATTATCCAAATAATGTATAACTGATAAATAAACATTCTGCAATAACTTATTAACAAATAATTGATATATGTTGCTTGTAAATTGTTATCTACGTAGTATAACAATTTTTTAATATTTAATTTGATGAGTAAGTACACAATATTCCCTGTAAAATGATGGAATATTTATGTACGCAGGTAATGTATTTACATTCAGTAATGTTTGAACTAGAACTGATAAGATTGAACGAAGATATATCACAAAATTCAAACCTTACTGCAACTACAAGTTCTGGACTAGATAGACGAGGGAGTCAAGGAGTTAGGAGTATCTTGTTAAAAGGTCAAATGAGATACATTGATGACATCAAGGCAATCATTTTCCTTTGTAGTCCCTTGTGAGTACGTCAATTTTATTGGGTGCGGGGCTGGATTAACTATTAAGCAAAATTAGTATGTTCTTGGGGCATCAAGGATAAAGAACTAATCAGAACAGATTTTTATTACTGAATTTATCATGCATCAAATTTTAATGAACATCGAATATTTCATGGTATTAAAATTCTGAAATCCCAAAATTCCAAAGTTCCACAATCTCACAGTCCCGAAATCTCGAAGTTCCAAGGTCTCAAAGTCTCAAAGTCCAAAAATTCCTTAATCCTGAAGTTCAATAATTTCAAAGCCTTAATATCTCAAAGTGATGAAATTCTAAGGTCCCAAATTGCTCAAAGTTCCAATATTCTAAGGTTCCAAATCGCTCAAAGTCCCAAACTTCTAGGGTCCCAAATTGCTCAATGTCCCAATATTCTACGGTTTCAATTCGCTCAAAGTCCCAAAATTCTAAGGTTCCAAATCGCTCAAAGTCCCAAACTTCTAGGGTCCCAAATTGCTCAAAGTCCTAATATTCTACGGTTCCAATTCGCTCAAAGTCCCAAAATTCTAAGGTTCCCAAATTGCTCAAAGTCCCAATATTCTAAAGTTCCAAATTCTCTAAGTCCCAAAATTTTAACGTTCTCAAATTACTCAAAGTCCCAAATTGCTCAAAATCCCAAAATTCTAAGGTTCCAAATCGCTCAAAGTCCCAAACTTCTAGGGTCCCAAATTGCTCAAAGTCCTAATATTCTACGGTTCCAATTCGCTCAAAGTCCCAAAATTCTTAGGTTCCCAAATTGCTCAAAGTCCCAACGTTCTAAAGTCCCAAATTGCTCAAAATCCCAAAATTCTAAGCTCCCAAAATTGCACAAAGTCCCAAAATTCTAAGCTCCCAAATTCTCAAAATCCCAAAATCTCAAACCAATAAAATTCTCAACTCCCAACATTCCAAAGCCTAAAATTCTAAAACCCCAAAGTTCCAAAGTTCACAAACTACAAAGTCCCAAAATTCCAAAAATCGTTCCCTCTCTCTTCAGCTCCCACACTCTCCAGGCTAAGTTAATCCAGCCCTAATTACAACAACAAATTATACCAAATAACATAAACCGTTTGCACCAGAATTAACAGTCTAGACGAATTACTCAATATGGGCCTCTACCTGAACGATTTAAATCCGCACGGCTTGAGTCGAGAGTTAGTTCTCGCTGGATGGCAACATTGTGGAAGGTACAATATTATTTTTTAATTCCGGGTAAGATGAACTATCACATCACAAAGTTGTACTAAATCTTTCGTTATCACTGTGAACATCTTTGTTTGGACGTCAGATTGGAAATGATGTTCGAACGAGCAGAACAGAGATCAACTGAATTAGAACACAGTTACGCGCTTCTGGATCGATGGAAGAACAAAAGCGATGAACTCTTGTATTCTATGATACCTCAAACGGTTGCCGACAGATTGCGTGCTGGTGTTAGTCCTCTGAGCACATGTGAGGTACATAATGACTCTTTAAAGCGTTTTATTTGAAGGACCATTACTTACGTACTGATGTCAACCCATGAGTTGGCGCGTGAAAACAAAAGCTCCCCGCACTGACAGTTACATTTCGACAAATGAGGATAATGACAATGACAAATGCTGAATTTTCACTGTCACTCACTTGAGAGACGTTTGTCGAGTATCATTTGGAGGTATGGAAGCTTTGGAATAAGGTGATTCGAAGTTTTGAGAAGATCGTCTTGAAATTTGGAGCTTTAGTTTTAGAAATTTTGAATATTCAGAGCTTTGCAATTTGGAAGATTGAAAGTTAAGAAGGTTGAATGATCGAATTTAGAATGATCGAAATGTGCAAAGCTTAGGACTTTCAGAAATTGGAATTCAGGAACGTAGGGACATTGGAAAGTTGAAACTTTGGGTGATTCAAACTTTGGAAAATGGGGACTTTGGAAGGTTAGAATTTTGCAAGGTTGGGACTTTTGAAGGTTGGAACATGGGGAAGGTTGGGACTTTGGAAAGTTGGAACAGTGGAGGGTTGGAACTTTGAAAGATCGAACCTTCGGATGATTCAAACTTTAGAAGATGTGTACTTTGGAAGGTAAAAACATTGCATGGTTAGGACTTTGGAAGGTTAGAACTTTGGAATGGTGAAACTTGAGAAGGATAATAGTAGTTCTTCTAAACACGTGGGTCAGCTTCTTCAGGTGACAACTCGTGGGTTGACATTGATACGTCACACTTGAAATGTGTGCGTCACGAATGCGTCACGAGTGCGTCATATTGCAGAGCAATGGGTTAATACAACAATTCGAAATAAATATTTCTTAACAAAATCTATTAACTTAAGCTTTGGAAGGTTGGAACTTTAGAATGTTAAAACATTGCAATGTTGGGACGTTGGAGGGTTAGAACTTTGGAAGATTAAAACTTTGCAAGGTTGGAACTTTAGAAGGTTGAAACTTTGGAACGTTAGAACTTTCGAAGGGCGAAACTTTGGAAGGTTTAAGATTTTGGAAGGTTGGACTTTGAAAAAGATGAAATTTGAGGAGGTGGAAATTGTGGAAGGTTGAAAGTTTGGAAGATTATAACATTAGAAGCTAATAACTTTAGAATGTTAAATCATTGGATGATTGAAACTTTGAAAGGTTAAAATATTGCCGTGGTGGAACTTTGGAAGGATAGAACTTTGCAAGATTAAAATTTTGCAAGGTTGGAACTTCGGGAGATTGGATCCTTAGAAGGTTGGAACTATCAAAAGTTGGAACTTTAGAAGGTTATATCTTTGAAAGATTGGAACTGTGATGGGATTAAAACTTTCAGAAATTGGAATTCAGGAACGTTAGGACATGGAAAAATTGTAACTTTGGTGATTCAAACTTTAGAAGATGAGTACTTTGAAAGATTAGAATTCTGCAAGTTAGAGACTTTCGAAAATTGGAATTCAGGAACATTAGGACATTGAAAAGTTGAAACTTCCTATTTTTTGAAACCATTTTCTGGTCGGCACAATTGGAGCTCTAAACACATCACGCGCCAACTCATGGGTTGACAACGGTAGAAAAATTCAAACAAGTGAATTAGTAAAATTTATTATTTTCAAGAAAAGAATAGGTATTTTAATCTCTTTTCTTTCTAGTCATTTGAGTCCATAACAGTTCTATTTTGCGAACTGTGCGACTTTGATTATTCGACAATTGAAGGTGCAATGGACATCGTTTCGTCAATGAACGCTGTTTTCTCCTGTTTCGATTCACTAATGGACGAATTTAATGTATACAAGGTGAGTCTGTACAGTGATTTTATATTTTTGAAAATGGAAATATTTTATTTTGTAATTTTCTGTAGGTGGAAACAGTTGGTCGAGTTTATATGGCTGCTAGCGGTGCACCTGACAGAACTGAACATCATGCACAAAATATTGCTGACTTTTCATTGCAGTTATTAAAACATGTGCGATCTCTTAAGTTACCTTCTGGTCTTGATATTCAAATTCGTATAGGTGAGAATTATCTCATGTTTAAATATCTGTTATTTATCTGTATTTTTATGAGCATTTAAAAATTTAGTAATATGATATTTAAGAAATTTAGGGACTTGAAAATTAATGGATTTATAAAATTTGAGAAATTTGCAAATTTTGTAAAAATGTAAGCTTGAGAATTTGGAAATTTGAACTTCGGAGATTTGGAAATTATAAAATTGTAAAATTCGAAAAATTCAATATGTAAGAAGTTGAATGTGAGAAAATTGGGGATTTATGGAATTTGGAGCACTTGGGAATTTAAAATGCGAATAATTAGAAATTTCCGAATTTGAGAATTTAGAAAATTTAATTTGTGACTTTAGAAAATTTAGATAACTTTAGAAAATTCAAAATTTGAACAATAAAAATTCATCTTCCTTTTCTTAGGTATTCATTCCGGACCAGCTGTAGCAGGTATCGTTGGCATCAAAGTACCTAGATACTGTTTTTTCGGCGATACTGTCAACACCGCTTCTAGGATGCAAACAACTAGCTCAGTAAGTTTATTTATTAAAAATAAATTTAACAAGACTTAATACTCAGTAACCTTCAATTCTACAATTAATACACAAATTTTCATAAGATTTGGTTTGACAAGTTTAATATAATTACTTCATCTTTCACTAGAATCATATGTCGCAAGATATCCTATCACTATAAATATATAAGTTTTTTCTAAAACCTTCCTTTCGTACAATAATATTTATTTATATTTTTTATAATATAGCCGGGAAGAATAAACATTTCAGCAGACGCTAAAGCACTACTACCTCAAGATCGCTATCAAGTTCAATCTCGTGGATTAATTTGGGTCAAGGTTTGTAGAATAAACAATCTAATGACAATTATAGACACTCATTTGGTTCATCTTCTACTTATTCTGCACAGGGAAAAGGTAATATGGAAACGTATTGGTTGTCCGAGAAAGAAGAAACAAATAATAAATCAGTCGAAGAAGTTGTTCAACCTAAACGACTTCTGATCACCGATATTTAAAGGTCTAACTAAACCATTGAATCTAGTAACTACTAGACATTTTACCAGACTCTGATAAAATGTCGGACCAAATGTAAATTGACTTTGGGGGCCTCGTGCGTCGAAATCGAGAAACTGCAGCGATCCTTGTCTCTTTCGCGTTGCTCCGCACAGGAGAGACAAGGACAGCAACAATTTCGCCAATCCAAGATTTCGAAGCGAAGTAGCAATATTTTCTTACGCTTTCTTTCGCAAAATATTCTTCGTACAATTGTGCGGGCCGACACAGAGCCCGATTTTGTGATTCGGCTCTTGAAACTTGATAAAAATGAAAATATATTTTTATAACATTTCGAGAGGCAAATTGCAAAAGGCTCTGTGTCGACCTGCGTAATTGTACGAAGATTTTGAAAAAGAAAGCTCGAGAAAATATTACTTCTTCGTTTTGAGATCTTATGTCAAAGAAATTGCTGTCCTTGCTTTTTATTGTAGGAAAGAGGAGGATTGCTGAAGTTTCTCAGTTTCCCCGGCAGATGTCCCTAATTCGGTGTACTAAAATTTGAGCCATGCAGGGGCCAATGCGACCTTTTGATCTCTTCTGTTATTTTAGTGTCACAGTATTCAATTACAAATAGAACAGAAAAGAAAGAAAATAAATAGCACTTGTGTGCTCCTAGTTTTGCAGTTTTTAAAAATCTTCATTTTGAAGATTCATCAAAAAGGATTTCCAAGATCTCAACAAATGGAAACTTTCTCTTTCTGTTAACTAAATAATTCGTTATATTTAATTTTTATAAGTAGACTTTTTAACGAGCAATCGCGAGTGTTAAATGTAGCACATTTTTCGTTGTATATATGTATTTCTTTAGTACTTGTGAGAGAATCAGATTCTCCCTTCACAATTTGTTGTAGATTATTTAAAGACTTGTATTTATTGATTTTTAATTTTAAATGACATAGTCGACTGAAATAATTTTATTAGGTATAAAATATGCGTTGTAGAAATAAGTGAACTTTTTCTTTCCAGTTGTAAACAATTATCTTATTTATAAGTTATTATCTTATTTCTTTAATCTGTTATAGTTATCAATTATTTTAATTCATTCTTATTTGTTTTTATATTTCAAAAATATAAATGTCTTTATATTTTATGAATTAAATGTCACTCGGTTACTTTCTTTTTTAATTTTAGTAACACATTTATTGGTATTTTTGGTGATAAGTATGTGATATATTTTCGTTAATAATTATATAGTATAAATTTTTCACAAATCTTCGTTAAATTTTTATTTCCTTAATCTGAACACATCTTTAATTGCAAATTAAATTTAAATTTAAAATTGCAAATATTCAGATATATTTCATTTCAAGTATGCAAATTATTAATTTAAAAAACAAGATTATATTACTAACACATAAGGTTACTATAAAATAATATCATACTCTTAGATTTACAAATACATGTTACAATAATTAGACGCATATAAGGTGTGTACCTGATTCTCTGAAATAAAATAAAATTAAAGCCTCCTGCGAGTAATCCCTCAGTTTATGGAGGTACGTGAGTTTTCACCCAAATTCCGTGTCGAAATAAACAGAGAAAGTTCGATGGCTTTCTTTTTTCATATGTTCAATGTTACAAGTCCCGTAAGATTCCGCGATACGTGCCTTAAATGTTAATAGTTTGTCATGTATATGTATACATAAGATTAGAAATCGACAAATATATAAACAAGTCGCTTTTAATTCGTTGTAGTCATACATCTGGACACAATAAATAAATAAATATATATAAATGTAACAAAATATAATTAAATTAAACTAAGTACGAATATCTTAATATAATTTGCTAAAATTGTGCGTTTGTGGTATTTTGTTGTGGTAGAAATGAATGTTTGATGTTTTGAAGGAGTATATTTAGGTGGAGGCGATGGAAGCTTCTTTTGGAAAAGAGATGCAGGGGAACTCCCACCATTTGCTTTCTATTTTGGAAAATTAAATGTACAGTCAGAAATATTTAGACTTCTAGATTTTGAAGTTTTGAAGTTTCATACATTTCAAAGTTCTAAATTTCCCATTTTCCAAATATCCAAATTTTTAATTCCTGAAATTCCTCAAAATTTCTAAATTCACAGATTCTTAACGTTCTAAATTTCACTCGTTTCATAATTTCCAAATTTCAATTCCTAAATTTACAAATTTCACACGTTTTGAAATTTCCAAATTTCAATTTCTAAATTTATAAATTTCACACGTTTCGAAATTTCAAAGTTTCAATTCCTAAATTTCCGAATTTCTAAGTTTCCCCAATTCCTAAATTTTCGAATTCCTGTATTTTCAAATGTCTAAGCGTTCTAAATTCTTAAATCCCAAATTTGTAAACTCTCAAATTTCTACAAATCCGAAATTTCTAAATTTCCAAATCTCAACAATTCCAAATTTGTAAACTCCCAAATCTCTACAGTTCCAAATTTCCAACAATCCCAAATTTGTAAACTCCCAAATCCCTACAATCCCAACTTTCCAACACTCCTAAATTTCCAAATTTTCAAAGTTCCAAATATTCCAAAGTTCCATCTTCCCCAAATTTCTGAATTTCCAAACCCCATAATCCCAAATTCTCAAATTTCCCACTTTCCCAATTTCATAAATTCACAATTAGATTCAAAAACTTACAAAGTCTATAAACTTAACAAACGATTTATGAAACCATTTTTCCCTACAACGCAATCTTTCCCAAAGAAGCCAACGGTTCCCGCCATTTCAAGTTCCTACTGAAATTCTTACAACTGAATTACTATTTTAAAAATGTCAACTGTGTATATACAAAGTGTGTTGTCATTGAGTATTTGTCATTTTGTTTGTCATTGAGTATTCTAATCCTCGAGAATCATCGTTCATTCTCAATTAAGTCTAATTAACAATAACAAGCGCCTTCGGTGTTCTGTTCTATCCACGTCAAATAACGATTCACTCTGCTGTAAACACCGGGATACCCAGGTTTCGCGCACCCCTCTCCCCAAGAAACGACTCCTAAAAATTAACCGATTACTTTATTAAAGTCAGCTCTTGTTGCAGTTAATTACATCAATCAATAAATTGTTATTTATAATAAGTAGAATAGTAATATATAAATCTTACCAACTACGCTGTGTGTGTTGTTGGTGACAACGTGTAGAGGACCACCGCTGTCTCCCTAAACGGACAAAAATTAAAAACTTTAAACCTGAACACTGAGTGATACTTGAAACGTTAAAAATACCAAATTGTCAAGTACCAAAATGACAGCTTCACTAGTTTCTTATTATAAGTTACACAAATTTCTTGGAAGTTTTTAATGACGTATTAAAATTGTAATAAATGATGCCCGTTCTGTATTTTCATTTATATCCAGCAATAAATATAGTCAAAGTGTACTGATGTCAATCTATGAATTGGGTGAAGAGACTGACGGGTTTAGAAGAGCTATGACGCGATTGGTCTGAATAGAAAATGGACGTCCCACTCGTCTCACTCGTTGCACACCAATTATTATTCTTTTTTTGTTCCAATCTTTTGAAGTTTTAACCTTGCAAAGTTCCAACTTTTCAAGGATCTAATCTTCAAAACTTTCAATTTTGCAAAGTTCCAAGTTTTCAAGGATCCAATCTCCCAAAGTTACAACCTTCCAAAGTTTCAATCTTGCAAAGTTATTAATTTTTGATGTTATAATTTCCCAAACTTTCGATATTTCATGATTTCAACCTTCACAAATTTCACCTTTCACGAGTTCTAACCTTCCAAGATTCCAACTTTCCAAGGATTCAATCTTCCAAAGTTCCAACTTTCAAAAGTTCCAACCATCCAAAGTTCCAACCTTCCAAAGTTCCAACCTTGCAAAGTTCTATCCTTCCAAAGTTCCACCATTGCAATGTTTTAACCTTTCAAAGTTTCAATCATCCAATGATTTAACCTTCCAAACTTATTAACTTCAAAGTTATTAAACTTTCAACCTTCCAAAATTTCCACTTCCTCAAATTTCATCTTTTTCAAAGTTCAACCTTTCAAAATCATAAACCTTCCAAAGTTTCGCCCTTCGAAAGTTCTAACGTTCCAAAGTTTCAACCTTCTAAAGTTCCAACCTTGCAAAGTTTTAATCTTCCAAAGTTCTAACCCTCCAACGTCCCAACATTGCAATGTTTTAACATTCTAAAGTTCCAACCTTCCAAAGCTTAAATTAATAGATTTTGTTAAGAAATATTTATTTCAAATTGTTGTATTAACCCATTGCCCTGCAATATGACGCGCTCTTGACGCACTCGTGACGCACACATTTCAAGTGTGACGTATCAATGTTACCTGAAGAAGCTGACCCACGTGTTTAGAAGAACTACTACTATTATCCTTCTCAAGTTTCACCATTCCAAAGTTCATCCTTCTCAAGTTTCATTACTACTATTATCCTTCTCAAGTTTCACCATTCCAAAGTTCCAACCTTCCATAGTCCCAATCGTGCAATGTTTTAACCTTCCAAAGTACTCATCTTCTAAAGTTTGAATCATCCGAAGGTTCGATCTTTCAAAGTTCCAATCCTGCACTGTTCCAACTTTCCAAAGTCCCAATCTTCCCTATGTTCCAACCTTCAAAAGTCTTAACCTTGCAAAATTCTAACCTTCCAAAGTCCCCACTTCCAAAGTTTGAATCACCCAAAGTTTCAACTTTCCAATGTCTCAACGTTCCTGAATTCCAATTTCTGAAAGTCCTAACCTTTGCACATTTCGATCATTCTAAATTCGATCATTCAACCTTCTTAACTTTCAATCTTCCAAATTCCAAAGCTCCGAATATTCAAAATTTCTAAAACTAAAGCTCCAAATTTCAAAACGATCTTCTCAAAACTTCGAATCACCTTATTCCAAAGCTTCCACATCTCCACATGATGGTCTGCAAACGTCTCGAGAGTGAGTGAGACAGTGCTAAATCAGCATTTGTTATTGTCATTATTCTTATTTGCCAAAATGTAACTGGAAGTGTTGGAAGCTTCTTTTACTTTGGGCCACGCGCCAACTCGTGGGTTGACATCTGTACATGCCTTTCATTAGTAACTTTAACAGAACTCTCTAATCATGACTAGCTTAATTGGCGCATGTGCGTTGGATTGGCAGCTGTAAGTAATGTGGACATTGTTGTGGCAGCTATAAGTAATGTGGACATTGTTGTGACAGCTATAAATAATGTGGACATGCCATCTCACACATTGAACTTTTACAAAATATGCTTTTATAAATAATATTTATGTTATGTTTAATAATAGGAAGAATGAACAATGTATTATTATTATTATTAAATTATTATTGTATATAGATCTAATCAATGTTGGATGAAGATGATAATGTATTAATAATAGCTGCAATGAAATTGTGAGTTATTTACCTGACACGAATCCTTCATTCCGTCTTTATAGCCGGCGCAAATCATGTTGTCTGTTATCTTCCGTGATGGATATTTCGTTTCACGACATTCAGCATTCGTGAGAATTGGAACTGTCACTTCTTGTAACGTTGGCGATATGGGACCTCCCTCGTCGAGCGCACCCCACCCGGTTACTATACCCTCCATACCACCAAACGTTTTTTCTATAGAACGAATGTTTTAACCATTAACTATCAAATTTTATTTTGTAAATTTATTTATAATTTTCTTTTTAAAAGTCTTTTATTTTAATCAACGCTTAGGTTGTAAATTGACATGCCAATTTTATTTCTGTCTACTTAACTTAAAATTTAGCTACTTGATTTTAAAAATTTAATTTTAGTCGTCGTCGAAGATTTGATAAGAATAAAACTAGAACATAATTAAATTTTTTAAAGATTGCTTCAATGTAACAATCAAAGAGTTAATATTTATTTGCCTTTTTAAGGATTATATTTATTTTAATTATGCTGAGAATTTTACCTCGTTCTGGAAGACAAACAGGTCTCATCTTCCCTTCGAATTTAATCGAATCCTTCACTTTGACCAGCGCAATGTCATTATTGTAATTATACGTGGAATAGGCACTGTGTCTGATCACTTTTTCAACTTTGAACATTTGAGTTTCAGACTCCGTTGTCGAATTACGATCATGCTCCAATATTCGGATGGACATCAAATTTGGATCGAATCTGTTTCAATTGTTTATAGAAATTTATTGCGTAGTGTAATAAATATACATGGGCTGAATATAATACTTGTGTAAAAGTAGTGTTTGTTACTTAAACATTTTCAATGAATTTTTAAATTTATAGATTTATAGATTTCCTAATTCTAAAATCTGAAATTATTAATTTTTCGAAAAATTTGTTATTTAACAAGATTATTACCTGTCAACACAATGAGCAGCAGTTAATACATAGCGAGAATTTATAACTGATGCTCCACAATAGAAACGTCCTTTGAACATCATTAATGCCATCCAAGGATATTGATTTACCTGAGTTTCAACACCGCCTACTATTCGTCTTTGTGTATTTGTTATACCACATCCTGTTGAACGACACAATAATTCGTTTTACAAAATGGTGGTTCAGTGTTTATTAATGTTATGCTTTCTCAAATCTTTAAATCCTGAAAATCTCAAATTTAAATTTTCTAATTTTCTAATTTTCTAATTTCCTAATTTCCTAATTTCCTAATTTCCTAATTTCCTAATTTCCTAATTTCCTAATTTCCTAATTTCCTAATTTCCTAATTTCCTAATTTCCTAATTTCCTAATTTCCTAATTTCCTAATTTCCTAATTTCCTAATTTCCTAATTTCCTAATTTCCTAATTTCCTAATTTCCTAATTTCCTAATTTCCTAATTTCCTAATTTCCTAATTTCCTAATTTCCTAATTTCCTAATTTCCTAATTTCCTAATTTCCTAATTTCCTAATTTCCTAATTTCCTAATTTCCTAATTTCCTAATTTCCTAATTTCCTAATTTCCTAATTTCCTAATTTCCTAATTTCCTAATTTCCTAATTTCCTAATTTCCTAATTTCCTAATTTCCTAATTTCCTAATTTCCTAATTTCCTAATTTCCTAATTTCCTAATTTCCTAATTTCCTAATTTCCTAATTTCCTAATTTCCTAATTTCCTAATTTCCTAATTTCCTAATTTCCTAATTTCCTAATTTCCTAATTTCCTAATTTCCTAATTTCCTAATTTCCTAATTTCCTAATTTCCTAATTTCCTAATTTCCTAATTTCCTAATTTCCTAATTTCCTAATTTCCTAATTTCCTAATTTCCTAATTTCCTAATTTCCTAATTTCCTAATTTCCTAATTTCCTAATTTCCTAATTTCCTAATTTCCTAATTTCCTAATTTCCTAATTTCCTAATTTCCTAATTTCCTAATTTCCTAATTTCCTAATTTCCTAATTTCCTAATTTCCTAATTTCCTAATTTCCTAATTTCCTAATTTCCTAATTTCCTAATTTCCTAATTTCCTAATTTCCTAATTTCCTAATTTCCTAATTTCCTAATTTCCTAATTTCCTAATTTCCTAATTTCCTAATTTCCTAATTTCCTAATTTCCTAATTTCCTAATTTCCTAATTTCCTAATTTCCTAATTTCCTAATTTCCTAATTTCCTAATTTCCTAATTTCCTAATTTCCTAATTTCCTAATTTCCAAATTTCCAAATTTCCCAATTCCCACATTGCCAAATTCTCAAATTTCCAAATCCTTACATTCCCAAATTTCCATATTTCCCAATTTCTTCATTCACAAATTCTCAAATTTTTCAATTCCCAAATTTTCAATCCCTACATTCCCACATTCTCAAATTTCCAAATCCCTACATTCCTAAATTCCCAAATTTCCCAATTCTCAAGTTTCCCAATTTCCAAGTGTCCCAATTGCTAAGTTTCCCAATTCTTAAGTGTCCTAATTACTAAGTTTCCCAAATCGCAAACTTGCCAATTCCCAAATCTCCAAATCCCCAAATTCCCGAATTCCTGAATTCCCAAATTCCCGAATTCCCAAATTCCCGAATTCCTGAATTCCTGAATTCCCAAATCCCCCCATCTTTAAGTCCTCAAATGCCCAACTCCCAAATCGCCAGATCTCCAAATTTCCAAATCTCTAAATCTTCATATTTCTCAAATCCCTGAATCCCCAAATCCCCAAATTTTCAGATCTTCAAATCTCCAAATCTCTAAAACTTCAAATTTCTCAAATCCCCAAATCTCTAAATCTCTAAATCTCTAAATCTTCAAATCCTCAAATCTCTTAATCCTATAACTCGCAGCTATCCATTCACTTCCAAAATTTACAAATTCGAAATTTCCAAATCTCTCTATAATATCGAAAATTAGAGTACACTATAACTCACTGCAGGGTGGACATGATTCTGGTGCTTCTGCTATTGGAGGTGCACTTGTAGTAGGCCTCAAACCAGATAAAACACCGTTCAGCCAATCCCAAAAATTTTTATCCTCCGTTTCCGTCGTACTATTTGTTCCATCTTGTGTGCTCTTTTCTACATTACTCTCGGTATTATTCAAACTAACTCCTTTTTCTATACCTGATTGCAACTGCAAGTATTCATTTCTATTAAATCTTGACTTTGTTTACATAAATACTTGAATACTATTCGTATATGAATACACATTATTTATGTATTTTAATCAATTTTTATAAAAACGAAGAAATCTAGTTAAAATATAATACATGTTATAATAAATATTATAATTTTGTTATAAGTAGTATAATTCTAAAACAGTTATTTAATGTACGAATGTATTTATATTAGATATTTTATTAGATATAAATCGAAATAAAATCGTACATGTCTCTGGACACCTACTTGATCCCAAAAACATAGTTCATATATTTTAGGTCTTTTATCGCCGTTATATGTCCTCAATTCAAAATCTACAGAATAAGAAAGGCTTATTCTGAAGGAGTATCTGACAAAAGTCGAATTTATCCTCATACTTAAATTTGAATCTATTTGTAATTCTGTCTACTGAATATTTATGTATGGTTCCATGAACATTGTAAACACACAAATTCTTTTTTTAATAAAAAGTTTATGGAGCAAGAAGCTCATAAAAAGAAGATAGTAAAAAAGCAATATAATAAAACTGTACAATGATAATACATTATATAACAAATTACTGTGTAATGAACATAACAAAATAGTATAACAAAACAGTACAATAAAACAGTATAACAAAACTGTAGAAAAAAACAGTCTAGCAAAACAGTAATTACAAGTAAAGCAACTGCACTAAATTAATATATAAATTATCACAATATATTAATATATTAATTACAGTAAAAATATTGAAACATTTATTTATACTATTTATCGCATTTATCAACGATTTCATATGTGGAAATTATGTAAATATGATCTTGCGATTACTTACCTCTTCGCAATTAACAAAACATGTCGTTGCAATTACAACAGCCACACAAATTATCGAACGAATACACATCATTACTGAACACTTTTCTTGTCGCACGCTAAAAGAATACTGTCTATCCGCATTGAATCAGTGAATAAAGGGAGCAGCGAATTCAGTTGAAGCCAATACACTTCCTACCAAGACGACGTACACTTTCACACAAGATCTCGATTCAACTCCTCATCTTTATGTATACCGAATAGTGGACAGGCGAGTAGTCGAAGTGAAAATTTAGGCTGACCGTGAATGTAAATTTACTGTACGGTCGTCGAACGCAAAATTTTGGGTATTTATCGTAACGGTTCGCTTAGAGGTCCGCCATCTTGCTTTGGATTGTTCCATATGCGTATGATATGTTTAATGTTTTATGACTCGATAATAAAATACTGAGGAAATGTAATAAAATTGTAATAAAAGATTCTGAAAGGTGTAAGCACAAATAAAATAAATAATGTAACAAATGTAATAAAACTGATTATCAAAACCTACAGATAAACATATATTGCAAACAGGTATATAGTAATTATATTCATTAAGTTAACTTAAGAACATATGCTTGATATATTAATACTTAACTATATACTTGTATTAATTCAAGAATGTACGAATAGTATTTAATAAATATTTATAACTATTTTACGTTATGTATTACATAATCTGCCCCACATATCACACAATCAGATGTGGATGAAAGATGTAGCAACATAGAAATTATAAAAGTAAGCAAATATTTCTATGTCTGTTTACACGCGACTTAATTACGGAATTTTATCAAATTTTTAAACTCGAGAGACACGTGATAAGGCGATGTAGGACAGGGGATTATATCTTACCTGTAACCAGTGACAGTGGGTCAAGGTATATGGGTCATAGCACCCTCATGCGGGTAGGACAATGTCTTTATTGTCTGCTAATATGACTAACATTATCAACAGCCTTGCCTTATTTAGACTTATCACCAGGGTCAGATTAACATGATTTCAGTCTTTTCACGGGCGAGTACCAAATTGACTTACGCTATCATGTGTACGTAATATCTAGGACATTATTTTTTGTTATTGTTACAATTAGCAGCATCATAACTTCATTTTTGGTACTTGATTCATTACGCATATAATTTTTTTATTTGTGATATTATTGTTCGTTTCAATTGGTATCGTAATTATATGGGTGGACATATGAGAATTTTTATATAATATACAATTAATATTAATATTTAAATTTAATTATGAATTTAAAAAATAAAATATAAAGTAAGTTTTTGTATATGTAGTATAGTAAATTTTAATTTATAGCACATGTCAGATTCTATGTTTTCTATGATATAGTAATATGACACAGTAATGATTTTATGATACAGTAATATTAATAATATTAATGATAAGTCTGTCATATTATATGATAAGTCTCTGAAGATGTCTTGCGAAGAATATGTTTAAATTACACTTAATCGTTTGGTAATTAATCATGTCGAAAATAATTACACAATTTGTGATGATTACTTTATTGATCATCTGACTACAATTTAAAATTTGACCGATCAATTAATCATCCGATGACATAATTTAAAATTTCACCTATCAATTGATCCCATAATGACATAATTTAAAATTTGACCGATCAATTAATCATCCGATGAAATAATTTAAAATTTGACGAATCAATTGATCATCAGATCAAGACATAAATTAAAACTGTTTCAATCAATTGGTAATAATATAACTTAAAATTGGTCAGACCAATTGATCACGTGGTTATAACATAAAAATGAACCAAATGACATAATTCAAAAATAACCTCATCACTTTATGATCCAATTAAGTGTAATATGCAGTTAACTGTTACGATCCTTATCATAACCTCCAGGTTATGAAACACAGTGATTCAAACAGCATGTAAGAAGTACCTGTTACAACCATTGTATCACTCTGTTTAATACCCATCAGATATTTGCTTTAGCCTGACGAATCTTAAAACAAGGGCAAGCAACCATTACATTGACCCAGTTTTAACCACAATACTCACCCACGTAATATTGCCACGATGTCAGGAACTTCTTGGAATCTTCTCTAATAAAACTTTTATTGCTTATACCTCGGACAAGATTGTTTCATTGTTTCAGAAGAACCACCATGATTTAGCCTCGAGCTCTCAGTTAACATCTTTCTGTTATATTACTTGCTCGGATGGGGGTGTAAGTGTTGTTTTTACGTCAGTTCAAGATATTCTGTATTATCTTTGGGTTAAATGAAGAATGTATTGGTTCTGGGTTAAATGAAAAACTTTTTGTATTACTTTTAGGTTAAATGAAAAACTTCTTGTGTTACTTTTAGGTTAAATGAAAAATTCCTTGTATTATTTTTAGGTTAAATGAAGAATATTCTTCTATTACTTTTAAGGTTAAACGACGAACATTCCTCTATTATTTTTAAGGTTAAATGAAAAATTCCTTGTATTATTTTTAGGTTAAATGAAGAATATTCTTCTATTATTTTTAAGGTTAAGTGAAAAATTCTTTGTATTATTTTTAAGTCAAATGAAGAGTATTCTTCAGGTTAAATATTCTCCACTATTTTTAAGTTAAATGATAAACGTTCTTATTTTTAGACAAATAAAAAATACCCTATATTAACTTTAGACTCAGTCAAAAATGTCCTCTATTAACTTTAGACTCAGTCAAAAATATCCTGTATTAACTTTAAACTAACTCAAAAATGTCCTGTATTATTTTCAGATCAAATAAAAAATGTTCTATATTACTTTTACGTTAAACAATGCTCTTACATCAAAGGAACGCTAAAGAATGAACTTTCATACAAAACATCTCAATAAAAATTCTATGTCCACACAATAGTCTATTATTTTCAAACAACACAAAGTATATGCACATGTATACAGCCTCTGTTCATATTTGAAGAGTACTTAAGAGTTCAGAACCTGAAATAGTAGACGTTACGAATGTGATTAGACTCTGGCCTATTCCAACAGCTCTCAGCAAACATTTCATCATAGAAATATGAATAAGACAAGAGAGGCTGTAGTCAAGAAAAGCCCCCGTTGACGAAACTGACATTGATCTAGTCAGCTGGATCCCTGAAAGGGAAAACGAAGGACGCGAAAGGAGTAGGAGATAATTCGGGTTGACATTGGACGATGGTGTGATGTTTAACCTCTCCCCTTGTACACACACATCATCATTTCGCTACCTGGTATCTGTACAGGTGAGACAATGATGCGTACACGAATACTTCGACTGATTTAAAGGCTGTCGTATGCAACATCTGCCAATGCAAACGTACCACTCAAGGCTAACGATCCCCACCGAGCAGGGTTCTTCAATAGTTATAATTTACTATAAAACGGCAAAAGAGACACGGTACCTTTAGGATTTTAACGCCTGAGGCACGTGCACGAACTCGGTATCGTCAGCACGAGATCCTAAGTTAATTTCCAGTAATTGTATCGAAAATTCAGCTGCAGAATAATGCAACGCACACTGGTGTTATTACTGTGGATAAGCTGTTTTACGTACGCGTTGCCGCGAGTGGTGAGTTATTGCTTATTTGCACAATCATGTTGAAAACGTTCGGAACATCTTTTTAATAATGTGCTTTCGAATATTGGTGCTTCGTGAAATTGTGAATGTGTGATTTAGAAGTTTTATTTTAATTTTTATTCGATATTACTGGGGGACTTTGTGCAAATAGAATGCTTTTGACTTGTAAAAAATTTTAAGTCTAATAACTGCATTGTACTAAACGAAACTTTGTTGTAAAATGGCTGTGCTCGGACTTTACAGAGGGTTGCGAGTTCAAATTTTGCTGTAAAACAATTTTTGTAAAATCTTTTTTTATTGTTCTTTATGTATTTAGAAGTTTACTTAATTTAGTAAGTTTTGTTTTTGCTGTAATTTGAGTTAATTTCATTTTTGGGAAACATAAATATGAATGAGTTGGAACTTTATAATAAAAATTGAATTAAAATGTATGGTTTAGTAGGCGTTTTATAATTTTATTATAGATACGACAGATCGATAGAAGAAATATAACCGATGCAGAGCGTAGTCGTCTGAAATCAATTGATGAAGTATCTTATATTGATTTCAATTCACCACCCTCGATTCCCTCGAAACGACCGAACGTCTGCGATGATTGTGGTAATTAAATTGTACAACTTTTGACAATTTATATCTCCCATAAATTATAAGTTCAGGTGATTTTAATTGTAGACATTGAATATCGAAAACTATACTTCCTTTATTTTATTGCAATATCTCTGCAATAAAGAATATAATCCATTGGCAACATCCATCAAAAAAAAAACTTAAATATTTTACAAACTTAAATAAAATAAAGATGAAAATTCTGAAAATTATCTCTGTTATAAAATTTGATAACCTAACCGTAACTTACCTTGTATGCAACTGAAAAATTTGACGTCCATTAATGAAAGCAGTGTACAATTATAAATAATTTAAAATTTATTGCAGTTTGTGGAGTCGGGAGAAAAACAAGAATTGTCGGTGGAAATGTAACAAGTATTTCCGAGTATCCTTGGATTGTTAGCTTCACTAAACAAGGTACATTTTATTGTGCTGGAAGTCTAATAACTCGGAAGCATGTACTCACAGCAGCTCACTGTTTGGAGGGGTGAGTAGTAACGTAAAATGGACTCCTGTCGGACAAAACGCGAATTCATTGCACTTCTCGTCGTTCGAAATGTTGGATTTTCTGTACTCAGCTGTTTGTATACGATAGAAAACTTTTTGCTTGTTTTCGGTACACAATAATTTATTTTATATTTTGGCTGATTGTTTTAGTATTTTATTTTGTTTTTGATACGAAATATTTTGTACGCTATATTTTATTTTCAATATAAAATATTTTGTACACTATATTTTAATTTCAATATGTAATATTTGATGTAATATAGCTTTAATACAAAATATTTTACGTAATATATTTTTTCTAATATAAAATATTTTATACAATATTTTTTGTGACTACTATCATGCAATGTATTTTGAGTTCAATGCAAATCATTTTCTGTCACATATTTTATTTTCAATACATAATGTTTGATGCAGTATAGCTTCTAATTCAAAATATTTTATGTAATACATCGTTTCTAATATAAAATATTTTACTCAATATTTTTTGTGACTACTATCATGCAATGTATTTTGAATTCAATACAAATCATTTTCTGCCACAAATTTTATTTTCAATGCAAGATTTTATATTTTCTTTTCGTTCTCCATTACACATTTCAAGTGGAATTATAACTTACACAAAATGTTCATTCTGAACAAAAGACAAAATCGTTTTTATGGTTGTTTGTTACAGGTTTGATACCAGAAGCATCAAGCTAATATTGGCTGACAGCGATCGTCCAAATATCAACAAAAATTCCATAGTTCGTCGTATTAAGTCAGTCGTTCTTCACGAAAATTTCCATCCGTATTCATACAACAATGACATTGCTATTGTTGAAATGGATCGATCAGTGGATTTGACTGGTCTCGTTCGAACTGCATGCTTACCCGAAGACAGTAAGTACTTTTCAGTCACAAAAGGTGGAACAATTTTTACATAAATGCAGGGTAATTGCAAAGAAAATTATACAAGGTATTTGTGTTTAATGTGAAAACTTTTGACAGATATTCACGAGGTACATATTTAAGGTACAATATTATAAACTACAAATTTAAGGTAAAATATTATTAATTACAAATTTGAGGTACAATATTACAAATTACAAATTTAAGGTAAAATATCATAAATTACAAATTTAGGGTACAATATTATAAATTACTTACAAATTAAATAACAATTGTACAATACGAAAACAGTACAATTATTATTTAATTTTTCATTTACTGTTACATGTATTATTACTTTAAACATTATAGAGCAAAATGAAATTGAAATAAATAACTAATTGCCTAATTCAAAATCTAATATGCAATTTTTATTTTTATTATTTCTTATAATCACATTCTTAAAAACGTCCAAATAAAAGCAAGTTATTACTCCATTTCATTTGCATAATTTTTAATCATCAAAATGTGTTATTTATTTATTTAGAAAAAATTTTGCAGATATCTTTACAGATAAAATAAAATACATTATAGTATTAAAATATAGTGCAGTATAATAAATACATTAATACATTATGTATCTCATCACTACATAATACTAGTTACAAACAAAAGACGATACAAATAGTGCAACAATGGTACAAATGAAAGGAAAAACAATTTTAATTTCAATACTGACTTACGAGACGTGAAATCACTTTTACGATGTATTGAAGTAAGCTATGTATTTTACAGAAGCCATCGATTATACCGGTGCAACAGCCACAGTAATTGGTTGGGGACGAACCGGAGAAAATCAACCTGTAAGTGACGAACTTCGAAAGGTAAATCTACCAATTTTGTCGCAGGAAGAGTGTGATCAAGCAGGATACCAAAAGAATCGTATTACGGAGAACATGTTCTGTGCTGGTTACCTAGAAGGAGAACGTGACGCTTGCTTTGTAAGTATTCCACTAAATTCTTACTTAATCATGTGTAAAATACGTTCAAATGTTACATTTCAATCTTTTAAGAAGTGCTCTTTTTACACTTATAATTAGATATAATTTTTCGTATCAATAAATAGATATAACTTTTCGTGTAAATAAATAGATATAATTTTTCGTGTAAGTATAAGTAAATAATTTTTTTACAAAAGTTAGTAAATAATTTTTTATAGTAAGATTCAGAAATAATTTTCTTAAAAATATTCTTCATAAATATTTAGGAGAATTGATACTCGTATATAATGTTCTTAAAAATATTTACACAATAATTAACTTTTGTAAATAATATTTTTATAGGTATATGTATATTTGCAATGAATGATACTGCTAAATAATTTTGTTACAAATATATAAATATTCGTAATAGTTGATACCTTTGCTATTTTAAATTCAAACAAATTCATCATTTATCATAAACGTGAATGAACATTTTTAACCTCTACAAAATTTTTATTTGAATCAATAAGATGTTCATTAAATTCTTAGTTCCAGTAAAATTATATAAATTCTTATATACTGTATAATTACCTAATAATATAAATAACGATAAAAATATTATTCTCCTGTAATTAAATTTTGCACTGAACATACATGTATTCTTTTTTTAATTTAAAATTGCATGAACAGTTTCAAAATTGATATGTAATATGTAAGTTTAGACTAAACTAGTATAAATGAACAATTTATAAGTTACTCAAGGACTCAAACATTGTAACTCATGTTATTTCACAAACTGCAAATTTATTCTAAGAAAGACAATACAATGTTATTCTAACAAAATTAACGTTAACAATTATAATATTTTAAGGGTGACAGTGGTGGTCCTCTTCACGTAAAGGGCACGTACGGTCATCTTGAAGTAATAGGTAAATTCACTTACAATTTTATATTGTTATTATTTCAATAATTAAAAGACTTGAATATAAACTTAATCTTCTAAACATAGATAATCACATAATAATTACAATTCATTTTAATTATTATTATCTTACAATTCATTTCAAATTATAAATTAATTTTTAAATTGTAAATGTGTATCAGGTATAATTTCCTGGGGTCGTGGCTGTGCAAGACCAAATTTCCCCGGAATATACACAAAACTAACCAATTACCTCGGATGGATGAAAGACCTCCTCGGAAAAGAATGCGTATGTCCACCACCTCGTCGCCAATAAATTATTCCACAGAAAGCAGTATAAACATCGTAATAACTGGAATTCCCCACATAAGGAAATACCCACATACCATATCAAGAATCATGAAATTCCCCAGAGACAAGAGTCACTTTTTTTTCTGGGCCCAAATGTCTCCCACCCCTGAGTATTAAGTACTAGTATAATCAGTATTAAGTCCCTTATACGATCTCAAGAATTTGTATATTTATTTTATCATTCGACTTATTGTTTGCAGTCTGTAAGTTGTATATAATGTACTTATGCAACGTTGTCGAGATGTTGCTAATCGTTAATTTATTGTGAACATTGAATCATTGCATGCAGTTTAATCTAGTCCGATATAAATAGATGTTTATGTTGTCATATTTGATAGAGTGAATAAAGAATGTATTTAAGTATGGCTCAATTTTGATTTTTTTATTTACCTTAAAATTCTCCTTTCTGTTGAATTGTAAAGTTAAGAAATATAATATAATTCATACACATGAAAAATGTTGGTTTGAAATAAACGTTACATACACAAATAATCAATTTCATCAATAATATATCATTATAATATTATTGCTTAGATTATAATATTATTATTACTATTTATTACTTGTTATTAGTAAGTAATACTTATATTATATTATTACTTATATTATAATATTATTATTACATAATATTATCACTTTGTAATATTTACAAAATGACGCTCATGCCATTTATCAAATATTTGATTATACTTAAAAATACCTTAAATGGAAATCAAAGTTTAGAGTCTAATATGTTGCCTAAAATTTAATATTTAAACATTGTGTATTAAATAAATATTTGAAGATGAAATAAATTTGAAACGAAAATGAATTTGAATTAACATAATATATCAGTTGACACCAAAGTAATGTTTTGAGGCATAAAATAATTCTAAATAGAAGGGAACAGTAAAAAATAACGGTTATTTGGGAAACGGTTGCAGGGGAAAAAATGAGCATGACGAAAAAGTGTTAGATAAACGTCAGTCCTCGATCAAGATGAGCGAGCAATAACGGAAACCAGGTCACCAGTCAGAAACGTTTTGCTTTCAACGGTGAATGTGGGTTAGTGAAACCTCCAGACCGTTACCAACGACTTCTGATTCTTCCCGAATTGAAACAGGAACAATTCTTGAGTAAAATTAACTTTACGAGCCTCGTAAAATACTGACAATGAGAGGTGCTTGTCAGGATTATCCGAAAGTCAAACAGAGATGAGAAGGCTACTTATAGGATCGATGACTGACGGGGATTTAGTCGATAGCTTAATAATTGGTGTTACTTGGAAATTACTGGGTGAAATAGGAGTTTTTTGTTTTGGGGGAATAGTAAACAAATTGTGGATGAAGGCAATTATAATTTATATGTGTATGTTTATGATATGTGAGTGTAGTGATTATAGAGATGTATGATCATAGTTCATATTTTGAATTAATTATTTACAGAATTAATATGTTAGGTAATGACAAAGATGTTACATTATAAAACATTAAAATTAATACAAAATAACAAAATACTAATTAGTACTCACTAATTAAATTCATTGGTGAACTAAATTGTAATTTATATACAAAACATATTTATTATACATATGTTATATGTATTTATTTGTCAAATCCAGTACACAATAATAATTAATACGATTTACAATGGTAAAAGCTAGAATTTGTTAACAATTAACAATTAAACTATGAAAATGTTTAAGAAAATCTCAATACATAAATATTAATCTATAACAAAAGCAACAATGAAAATATGAACACTATTCTTTAGTTTGTAAATACACATTCTACATATAATAGAAATGTACATATTTCTACATATGAAAAGATCATACACCGTAACAAATCAATTTATAAATATTCATGTGATTTAATTAGAGTCGTGTAATTACAGCCGAAGCATCAATTATATTTTAGATAATAGTTTCTCAGCTGATTCGGAGGATAATGAATTTATGGAAACAGAAAGAGCATGACGGAATGTAACAAACAACCGTGAAACAATTCGAAGTTGTTCGATGAACTTTTTTAATAACATTTCATCGAATAAGTTCAGTTTTGCAATATTTTGTACCTTTTCCCTTTAGTTAAGGGTAAGAAAAAATTTTTGAACAATTTCTTTGATTCAGAGGTTTTGTGCAATAAAAATATAATTAATAAATAATAAAATTGTTCTATAAATATTTATTAGTTTTCTGTCTTTACATTTTTTATAAATTTTTATGCGTTCAATACAAAGTTTGTTATCAATTTTTAACAGCATCAATTTACAAATACTTCAATTTTAAAGAAATTTAATTTTAACTTTAATTTAATTTTGAATTTTAATTTTAATAAATGTTACAAGTTTGCATTTGTTTAAACAATGATTGCGTTTCAAATGATCCTACGAACTTCAGATAAAACAATATAAGTCATTAATATATTTATAAACATTGAAATGTATTTAAGCATCGAAGAAAGAAATTTTTGCAGACACTTTTTAATTTATTCGAAGGAATAGAGGTTTAAGAGCAGATGTAACTAGATCAGGAGATGGAACAGACATTTTTCTTGTAGAAAGCGTAGAGAAAAGTAGTAAATCAAGTTTTGTTTTCGATACATAAAAGAAACTGTTTAACAAAATTGCTACGCTTGGTGATCAGGGCGACATCTATGGTTAAAAATGGCGCCACGTGTTTTGTCGAAATCTTCTTTTAAAAACAGAATGATTTTCTGATTTTCTCAATGCTTTCCACTGGAAATATATCCTCCTCATTTCGTGCACACTTTCATTTTTTAAATAAGTTAATAAGTCTCTTCTTATTAACTTCTTATTAACTCTAATTAAGAAAATTAGCTTGTTTCACATGAATTTTTCGTAACTTTTGAATATGTTCATAACATATTATTTTATTCAGAAGAGTTTATAGAGTGCAATCAAATAATTATTTATATACAAAATATTTATGAAGCCAGAAACTTCTATTCAAAATCAAATTTCTTCAGAACCGAAGGCACACTGCGAAGTTCTCATATTCCTTAGATTAAATCTCAAAACTAAATAGAAACAATTTGTGACAAATGTTACAAAAATGTTTAAGAACCAAATACAAAATTTTTTATACATGTAAATAATTACAACATTCTCATCCACATTAACCAGTATTAGCCTTCACACAAACTCTCTTCACAAAGAAACAACCATTTTAAAATCCAAAATGACGTCGTAAACGTAAATATAAAATGTAAAAGTAATTATAAAAGCCTTCTCTTCTAATTATAATATAACGGTGTGCACAGCGTTGCAAATTGTAAAATTAGCAAATTATTTGCAACTGTACCAACGATAGTAGAATGTGGTACTTGGTATGTCAGGAGCAGATCGAAAGATCACTAATCACGGTAGCCGCGTGACATGAATCCACAACCTTGACCATCTCGCTAATTTCAAATCGAGAGGATCATGTGTGATCGGCGTCGCATATTGAATGGAAAGAGCGACAGGATAGTGAAAGAACTTTCTTCGTAAGCATTGAACATTTGCTGGGCCTGTTGGCCGGTCAGTCTGGCGTCTTCGTGGAGGTGAAAGCGTCTGGCGGATCACGTTGCTGATCTTCCACGGCTTTTAGATGAAGTTTAAGGGCAAAAGGTGAAGGTAGTCGGAAAATAGTGGAGGAACACGTGATAGAATGTGCGATTACGAAAAATTGTGTAGACGGGTTAAGTGTTTGGGAAGATTCGTCGAGAAGAAGAAATTTTATTTTAATTCTTCGCGTTAACTGTTAATCGGAAGATGAGGCTGCAAACCATATCTCGGAGAACATGGATCTGCGGTTTAATCTTGTTGCTTTTTGCGACTGCTGAGAGTTTTAATATCAGAATTCGGAGGGATAATTTAAATCTCACTGATTATGATGTAAGTGATGTGTCTAGTGTACAATTATTTTAACCTTGATAACTATTGTTTGATGTGAACATTATGTATGCATGTTATTTGTGTATATGACATGTTATGTAGGTTTGTGACATATGTATAATATGTATATATGTATATGATACACGTATGAAATAGTATGTGACAGTTTGTATGTGTGTACGTATGTGTTTCATGTATGTATGTGACACTTGTACATCTGTATGTCATATATATGTGACACATGTGTATCTGTATGATATATGTGATATATGTGTGACATATGCTTGTGATATATGTCTGATATATATACGTGTGTATGACATATGTGTATGTGTATAACGTATGCATGTGACATAACTGAGTATGTATATAACATATGTATATAACATATATGTATAATATATGTGCATGTATATAACATATGTATGTAACATACATTTGTGTATAATATACACACAGGAAATATGTATATAATATATGTAGTGACATATATGAACATGCACATATGTGACACATACATATGACATGCACATATAAAATTAATAATATATAATACATAACATTATGAAAGTTCTAAGTCTGATTTGAATTGTTCACTTGTAAATGAAAATTTAATACATACGTTTAATAAAGATTAATAAATAAATTAGCAATAATTAATGTGCATGCCATTATATGTGTTAAATGATATATGTACATGCTGGAATGATATTGTTATATGTACATACTGGAATAGCAGCAATGAAATTAATTGTTGCAAATAAATTCTCTATATGTATAAGGAATTACATATGTATGTAATAAATTAAGTTACGATATAGACGTTAATTCATCATTCGAATCATGATTGCTTTCATCGATTACCTTTCTCATTTGTAATAGAAAGTGAGCGTACTATCGAATGTGACTTTTTCAGGCGACAAATTCTACGAGTAATCGAAGAGGCAAATTTCTATTCGATGAATTATTTGGTCTCGATATAGATATAGGCACTGCGGATGACAATGAAGTATTGCGGAACTGTTCTTGCGGTAAGATTTAAATTAAGTAAATTAAAATTAAATTGAAATATTAAATTTATTATTTTAATGTTTGTTGTAAAAAACTTATTCTTTATTTTTTTTGTTCATCCAGAAATGTAAGAGAATGTCATCAAATATAAAAAACATACATACTTATGTAGTTCGACATAAATAATGCATTAGATTCGAGTAATTCAAGAGTCGAGTTTTATTTTTCTATCGATAAAAAGATATAACAGAATTGTTAAAATTATAGTTCAATGTATAATTAGTTAATATTTTAGTCAAACTTATATAATATTGCAGTATATCTCCTAAAATTATCTTTTAGTTTGTGTTCATAGAATTATGTTTTACAATATCGATTAAGAGATTGATTATTGAGTTTTCGTCCAAAATTACCTTTCAGAATGCGGAGTATCTAATCAAGAACATCGAATTGTTGGTGGAAAACCAACATCCCCTAATAAGTATCCCTGGGTAGCGCGATTGGTGTACGAGGGTCGTTTCCACTGCGGCGCTAGCCTTGTTAATAATGATTATGTTCTTACTGCTGCTCACTGTGTACGCAGGTAAGTATTTACAATAATTTATATAATCATAATTTTATGATCGAATTCTGTAGTTGTTTCATTTATACGTCATTTGTTATCTTTAAAGAATCATTTCAAAATTTCCAAATTTTCATATTTCGAAATTATCAGATTCTCAAGGTTCCTAATTCATAAAGTCTCATACTTCCAAGTTCCATTTTTTCCAAATTCCCACCTTTACAAGTTCCCATTTCCCTATATTCCCATATTTCGAAGTTCCCATCTTTCCGAATCTCTAAATTCCCAAATTCCCATCTTACCAAATTCCTAAATATACAAATTTCCATCTTCTCAAGTTCCCATCTTCCTAAATCCCTAAATTCCCAAATTCCCATCTTCCCAAATTCCTATATACACAAATTCCCATCTTCTCAAGTTCCTATCTTCCCAAATCCCCATATTCCAAAATTTCCATCCTCCCAAATTCCTAAATACACAAATCCCCATCTTCTCAATTTCTCATCTTTCCAAATCCCTAAATTCCCAAATTCCCAAATTCCCATCTTCCTAAATCCCTAAATTCCCAAATTCCCATCCTCCCAAATTCCTAAATACACAAATTCCCATCTTCTCAATTTCCCATCTTTCCAAATCCCTAAAAACCCAAATCCTCATCTTCCTAAATCCCTAAATACCCAAATTCCCTTCTTCCTTAATTCCCACCTTCCCAAGTTCCCATCTCCCTAAATTCCCATATTCCCAAGTTCCCATCTTCCCGAATCCCTAAATTCCCAATTTCCCATCTTTCCAAATCCCTTAATACCCCAAATTCCTATCTTCCCAAATCCCTAAATACCCAAATTCCCTTCTTCCCTAATTCCCACCTTCTAACTGCCCACACTACGTCCACTCAATACATTTATTTACCCCACATATATTTATATATTTTCAGACTAAAACGTTCTAGAATCCGCGTAGTACTCGGAGATTACGATCAATACGTTAACTCTGATGGACCTGCTATAATGAGAGCAGTTAGCGCTGTAATTCGTCACAGAAATTTTGACATGAATTCGTACAATCACGATGTCGCACTATTGAAACTTCGGAAATCTGTGAAATTTTCCAAGTCAATTAGGCCAGTGTGTTTACCACAATCAGGTATGATATTTAATATACATACATATATGAATACAAGATGATCCACCAAAATAAAACCTTCTGTCTTAATAAAAATAATGAAACATCTTTTCGTATTACAAACTTTATTACTGCACTCGTATGAGTACACTGGGAATACATATGTACATTACATATTTTATGAAAGTCAATGAATGAAACTTTAGCACTCGTATGAGAACGCTGAGAGCATATGTGTACATTACATGTTTTATGAAGTTCAATGAATGACATTTTAATGCTGTACTCATATGAGTACATTGGAAACACATATGTACATTACATGTTTTATGAAAGTCAATGCATCAGGCTTTAGTACCCATATGAGTATAGTTGGATCACATGTGTACATTACATGTTTTATGAAGTTTAATGAATGAAACTTTAGTGCTGTACTCATATGAGTACACTTGGATCACATGTGTACATCACATATTTTATGAAAATCGATGAATGAAACTTTAGTGCTGCACTCATATGAGTACACTTAGATCACATGTGTACATCACATATTTTATGAAAATCGATGAATGAAACTTTAGTGCTGCACTCATATGAGTACACTTAGATCACATGTGTACATCACATATTTTATGAAAATCGATGAATGAAACTTTAGTGCTGCACTCATATGAGTACACTTAGATCACATCTGTACATTACATGTTTTATGAAAGTTTATGAATGAAACTTTAGTAGTCATATGAGTACACTTGGATCACATGTATATATCACATATTTTATGAAAATCGATGAATGAAACTTTAGTGCTGTACTCATATGAGTACACTTGGATCACATGTGTACATCACATATTTTATGAAAATCGATGAATGAAACTTTAGTGCTGCACTCATGTGAGTACACTGGACACACATGTGTACATCACATATTTTATGAAAATCGATGAATGAAACTTTAGTGCTGCACTCATGTGAGTACACTGGACACACATGTGTACATCACATATTTTATGAAAGTCACTGAATGAAACTTTAGCGCTGTGCTCATATGAGTACATTGATCACACATATGTACATTAAATGTTTTATGAAAGTTCATGAATGAAACTTCAGTGCTCACATGAGTACATTTGCATCACACGTGTGCATTACACATTTCATGAAAGTAAACAAATGCAGTGTACTCAAATAAGTGCACCGGTGTAAAATAGATTAAAAATGCCCTATGTTATTAAAAAGAAAGAGTATATTTATAATAACAAAGCAAGATTTAATATGATATCCACAGGTAGTGACCCAGCCGGTAAAGAAGGAACCGTGGTTGGCTGGGGCCGGACATCAGAAGGAGGAATGCTTGCTGGACAAGTTCAAGAAGTACAAGTACCGATACTAAGTTTGACCCAGTGTCGAAAAATGAAGTATCGAGCCAATCGAATTACGGATAACATGATCTGCGCTGGTCGAAATGCTCAAGATTCTTGTCAGGGTGATAGTGGAGGTCCTCTTCTTGTGCAGGAAGGCGATAGAATAGAAATTGTTGGTAAGAAATTATCTTTCACTAAAAACATTCTTCATTTCGACCTTACTTATTTATTTTTGGTAGAAAAAAAATAGCTAAACGTTAAAAAGTTAAAAAGTAAATAAAAGTTAAGAAATTAAAGAGTATGTAAAATTTAAAAAATTAAAAACTAGCTTAAACTTAAAAAGTTAAAAACTAGCTAAAAGATTAAAAAGTTAAAAACTAGCTAAAAGATTAAAAAGTTAAAAACTATCTAAAAGATTAAAACGTGGTCTTTATATAAAGTAAATGATGTCAAAATGTTAAATACTCTTTAAACATTAATATTGTATTTTTATTTGTTTATACAGGCATAGTCTCCTGGGGTGTCGGATGTGGAAGAGCTGGCTACCCCGGAGTGTACACAAGAGTAACAAGATACTTGAAGTGGATCAATACAAACATGAAAGACAGATGTATATGCGCGAATTGACTGATAATGCTTGTATAAAATAAACTTCTTACTAATTGATCAGTTAGTAAATTCTAATTCATACTGCATCCTACTGCACTTTACTTACAAAATCATTCAAAGTATTAAGACACTTGTCGATGAATTGTGTAGCTTACCCCTTATTTATTTTTAAATTAAAGATGCTCGACATCCATATTTATAAAAATATGTAAACTTATGACATCGTTGAAACAGTGTTCTAAAGTCTGATATTGTTAAAATAGTGTTATGAAGTCTGACATTGTTGAAGCAGTATTATGAAGTCTGACATTGTTCAAACATGTATAATTATTCAATTAAAGCGATTACAGAGAATGACACTATTACCAAAGCAGAAGGTCTATTATGTTGCACAACGAACATTCATTGTAGTGTACCTGCTCATTTTATAGTAATGTCGTGTTATTTAATCGTGATATCCAGTTCAGAGAACCCATCGTACACCTTTACCGCTAGAGGTGTACTGTACTGCTAATTGAAAGTTACAAGGCGTACTACCAATACAGTCCGCGACAAAAAGCATGCCTTCACCCATTTTCATTCACTCTGGATTTCTTTGGTCAAATTGTTATCCTTATGCAAATTATTATTCTTACTACAGCTATATAACACACTGGACAGAAATAATTTATCTGTATTTGATGAACTCAAACAGCATCATATGACATGAAAGAAATAAAAAAATAATTAGAATGTCTGAATTAGGTCTGAAACATCTGCAAACTACGCCTTCACATAAATACTTTCGTTCTTCAATATTTTGTAAAATTGTCTCAATTATTAATGTAAATTATAAATTTATTATCTTAATCATTAAATTGTAAAATCATCTCAATTATTAATGCATTTATATTAACTTATCCTACTATTTTTTCAAGCAATTTCAATTAGCTTTTTATTAGTTAAATTAGTTTTTTATTAACATTTCAATTAGTCAAGTTTTAACAATTTCTGAGTTACAATTTTATTTATCAAAAATGCGTCTTTTGAATATGCCACCAGCATACCTTTTATAAAACTTGTTTACTTCTTAGGTAAAATTTTCTCCCCAGAAGGTTTAACATAAATAAAAAGAGTAAAGCTAGTATCTGGCATTCGGAAATTCCAGCTAAACCATATTCTAAAGTTAGAAACAAGATTTCCTCGATCGGCAAACGGTTTAAAATCCACGGTGACCCTGATGACGGTCAAGAGCAGTCACCTGTAATTCGACCCTGAACATGAACCTGAAGTGGTCAGATACTGTCCAGTCGCCAACCAGTCGGCTGTGCCCTCCTTCTCTTCTGGAATAATAATTACCTCTTCGACCTGAGTCGTTCTCAGTCGTCGTGGGACATTGGTGATAGTATCTTCTGACCAATAATATGTCCGTAACCCGTTCCTGACAGTGTCCGCGTGTTTCGGTAGCTTCATGAATGTCCTATCTTCCAAATTTAACTTACAAAAATTCACACGAATAAAACGTGATACAATTTGATCGGAAAAAATGAAAGTCTCGTGGTGTTTTGGATTATTGGCTGTCCTATTTTTCACCACTGTATCCTGTCAAGTAAGATACTTATGTTAATTGTTAATTATATAGGTAATTTGATCGAATATTTTGTTCGATTTAACGGGAATTTTTGTTTTTGATGCAGGTGTGATTTTTGCACTTGTAAGTTCTGTATATAGGGTGGGCCATGGACGAATTATTTTCCTTGAAAATTGTAGTATATTTTGGTTTTGTTAACTTCTTCATTTTTGTAGTTTAGTTAATTTTTTTATGGAATAATGGAGTTAGATGTAAGATATGTAATCAATTATTTTAAGAGGTCTATTAAGGCTATTAAGGGGTCAATAAGGTCACTTATCATTAATCTTCTTGATTGTCCTTAGACTTTCTTATGGATTGCATAAAATATGAAGTAATGAGTATTGATATGAACTGAAGGAAATATAAAAAGAAGGTGAAATACCACATCCTCAAATTTCTAAATTCCCAAATTTTCCAAGTTAAAAATTCCCAAATTCTCCAAACTCAGAAGCTTGATATTTATAAACTTTCAAATTCCCAAATTTGTAAAACCCAGGATTTATCAACTTTCAAATTTCCAAATCTGTAAAACCCAAAATTTACAAATTTTGAAATTCTCAAGTTTCCAAACTCCCACACCCTCAAATTACAATTCCGAATTTCTACATCTCCAAATCGACAAAGTTTCGTATTCTGAAATTCCTAATTCCTTGAATTTATAAAACTTAAATCTTCCAAATTCTCAAATTTCCATATCTCGATATCTCCAAATCTCTAAATTCACAAAATTTCAAATTCCCAAAATTCCACACCCCCAAATCTCCACCACTCCCTCCTCTCAAATCTCAAAACCAAGTTTGAAAATTTTCAAGTCGCCACATTTCCAAATCTCCACAACCCAGACCTCGTATACTTCACCTATAAATATTTAATATACATAAATAATTGAAAATAAATATCTATTTAAATCACCATATAATAATATAATACTTCATGTTTATTTGCAAACGTACACAATTGGATTATTTTGATGTTTCGAATTTTTAGGCAAATACCTTGGGTGAGAAGGTGAAAAACTTTTTTGGCATTTTCGGTAATAAGCCACCATATTCCGTGGAGGCACCAGGGCCATGTTATTGCAGTAAGTACAGTTATTTCAAATAATAATTTATTGCTATAATAACAGTAATAAATTAACACTAAACCTACCTACGTAATTTGAAATTAAAAATGAAGTTGAAAAATAAATAAACAAATAACCAAACATAAATTAGTACACACATTTATTCTTTATCTTGATGAAAATCAATGCTGATTTTAAGGAATGTACTTTAACAAAATGTGTTCCTAATAAGAAACTTATGGGGCGGTCATTTGACCGGTTTGGTAGTTTTAGTGTTAAAAGCACTAATAGTAACTAATTAAGTTTACTGTGAACAATATTTATATATTTTATTATGATTGTTACTATCTCACCGCAAATACTGTTCATAAAAAATAATTGAGTAAAGTAACGAATTAATTGTTGAAATAATTAGACTGCGGATTGCGAAATGAGGAAAGTCGGATAGTCGGCGGTCAAACAACTCGCATGAACGAATTCCCGTGGATGGCAAGGTTATCGTACTTGAATAAATTTTACTGCGGTGGAACTTTAATAAACGATCGCTATGTGCTCACTGCCGCCCATTGCGTTAAAGGGTAATTATGAATTAAATTGAATAAAGAATATTTTTTTTTGACTATATCGTTACTATTTGCTAATAACAATATTATTATATCATTACTATTTGATAATAACAGTATTATTATATTTTTATATTTGCTAGTATTATTATATTGTTATTATTTGCTGATAGCAATATTATTTATCGTTACTGTTTGCTGATAACAATATTATTATATTATTACATTTGCTAGTATTATTATACTGTTGCATTTGCTAATATTATTATATTGTTATTATTTGCTAATAACAATATTATTATATTATTAAATTTTTACATTTGCTAGTATTATTAAATTGTTATTCTTTGCAAATAACAATATTATTATATTATTATATTATTACATTTGCTATTATTATTATATTGTTACTATTTGCTAATAACAATATTATTACATTATAACATTGTTGCATTTCCCAATATTATTACATTATTATCATCTGCTAACAACAATACATAAAACCCTCATCAAATCACATTTACTCATGCACAACAGTTATTTACATTTTATCTATCCATTTTTACATTGCATTGAGACCTTCCAACATTCGAACAGTTAGGAACGCAAATTCAAATAGACGTACAGTCCCGATAAAAAGATATATCCACTCATTTCTTCTTTCAAAAAAAGAAAAATGTTAGATGTCCCTGATAGTCTTTCGTAATGTTACCATAATTTAAGAGGAGTTCGACAAATCTTTTTAGAAGAGGATTTGTCGGTATGTTATCGATATTTAATTGATATTTAATGATATGGTGATAATGTCGTTACGATATCATTGAGGTTAATTAATTTGACCGATATGGAATGTGTATAGTACTTAATTTTACCATTCATAGTTGCTTTTTTGATGGAATCACTTTATGGAGCTATTAAGTTCTGATTATTGTTCTTCGAGCTGAACGTAACCTAAACTGATACCTAACTTCGTCATTCAAATTTATTTCTCTTTTTGAGCTTCAAATCTAACCTAACTGATATTTAATTTTATCGTTTAATTTATTTTTCTTTAGATTTCAAGTTTAATATAATATAACATAATCTCATACTTAACTTTATCGTATTAATCTCATGCTTAAATTTATCTTATGATGTTTCTTTACATTTCAAACTTAACCTAACCCGACCTAACCTAGTACTTCTATATCATATTAATCTCATGCATAACTTTATCATATGATATTTTTGTTTACATTTCAAACTTAACCTAACCCGACCTAACCTAATACTTCCATATCATATTAATCTCATGTATAACTTTATCAGATAATGCTTCTTTACACTTCAAACTTAACCTAACCCGACCTAACCTAACACTTAATCTGATTATTTTATTATACACATACGTATATATTTATCATTGTTTAATTTATCGTATTTAGATTGCATATTATACTCTGATCATTCATCCTATTCGAAACAATATATGTTAACTTAATTAATTATTAATTAACTATGTATAATATAAACTGAAGTTCTAATCTAATTAATTGTATGTACTTTAAGTAGCACAATACGTTTAAAATTACCACCATCATTGCATTAATATCTTCGTTTAAAAAAAAAGTATGATCAACTGGCCTAGTCCCATTTTCAGGTTCATGTGGTTCATGATCAAGGTCACATTCGGTGAACACGATAGGTGTATGGAGAAGGGGGCCGAAACTAGATACGTTGTCAGAGTACTAACAGGTGACTTTAGCTTCCTGAATTTTGACAACGATATCGCCCTACTGCGCTTAAACGAGAGGGTGCCTTTGAGTGACACCATAAGACCCATATGTTTACCATCCGTGAGAGGTAAAATTCTTATCATTCTTAAATATTACACTAGTACTTATTTATTACTATTACAAAATTTGTCTTTTCAGTATGATTCAAAAATAAGATATAAATAATTTGTCAATTTTAAATTTCGTAAATTTTGTTTTGAAAGTTGTAAATTTTGTAAAATACAAGGAGATATGTTCTGCAGAGGAATTGTATCTGATAAATGGGGCCGAATGTTCTTAATTCCTTCATGACAATTAAATATTAGGGGGACCGGAAAGTAATCAAAATTTTGTTTGCTGACAGAAAACATTTATTAAAGAAATCTTAAATGCTAATCAATAAAATAATTTCCATCACTTGCTAACACTTTTTACAAGCCTAAAGACAATTGTTCGATTCACTTCGAAAAAAAAGTCTTCCGATTTTTCATTGAAAATTTTTGAAGCCATCGAAAAAATTTTGAATACTTTTCAAATATTGTTAAGAAACAAGTAGTGTATTAACACTAAACATACCTGCACATAATATGTACTTAATTCGAAATTAAAAATGAAGTTAAAAAATAAATAAACAAACGACAAAACATAAATTAGGACACACATTTATTCTTAATCTTAATGAAAATCAAATCTGATTTCAAGGAATGTACTTTAACAAAATGAATACCTTATAATAAAAAACTTGTGGAGCGGTCATTTGACTGGTTTAATGGTTTTAGTGTTAATATGATACACATAAACAATGTGTTGCAGACAACGCGTACGTCGGAACAAAAGCAATCGCATCCGGCTGGGGCACCCTACACGAGGATGGAAAACCCTCTTGCCTTCTACAGGAAGTAGAAGTACCAGTTATGAGCCTCCAAGACTGCCGTAACACTAGCTACAACCCTCGCATGATCTCCGACAACATGATCTGCGCTGGATATGTTGATGGCAAGAAGGACTCCTGTCAAGTATGATTTTCAAATCACTACTTTTTTCAAAATATTTTCTGAGGTTTTCAATTTTCGTCTAAATGAATGTATTGCTTTACACCTCTACATTATGCAATACATCAAAATAAATATGCAATTTATATCTAATTTTATAATTAGACTTTTGTCATTTTCAAATTACTATTTTTTTCGAACTATTTTCTGAGGTTTCCAATTTTCGTCTTCATGAATATATTACTTTGCACCTCTACATTATGCAATACATCAAAATAAGTATGCAATTTATATCTAATTTTATAATTAGACTTTTGTTATTTTCAAATCACTACTTTTTTTCAAAATATTTTCTGAGGTTTTCAATTTTCGTCTAAATGAATGTATTGATTTACACCTTTACATTCAATAAATCAAAATAAATATGTAATTTATATCTGGTTTTATAGAGTTGATTTATCTTGATAATTGCTTGCAGATGAATATTTCACACATATGTCACATATGACATATAGACATATCTTACATATGACATATTTATTTTCAGGGAGACAGCGGAGGACCACTCATAGCAGAACGCGAAGACAAGAAGTATGAACTGATAGGTATAGTATCTTGGGGCAACGGATGCGCCCGACAAGGATACCCTGGAGTTTATACGAGAGTCACGCGATACATAGACTGGATCATTTATCATTCGCGAGAGGGATGTTTCTGTGATCAAAACTAAACATGGTCTACAGCCCCCTAACATAACAAGGTCTCATCGAAAAACTCCTAAATTCTACTTTCTAATTTAGACCTTTGTAGCTTTACGAAATCATCTTCATCGAAGTTTATTTTTTACTTTTTCCAACTGTAATTTATTCGAAAAGCTTCAGAACCTTGTTATATCGCCGCAGGGATTATATATTTAAACAAAGATTACGTAGGAACAAGATACTCGAAGACCCAAATAGTACTTAATTAAATCTAAGCAATACTCATTTTTTTTATAACATATATAAATTCTTTTAAATAAAGTCTTGTAAATTATTGGTGCATTACAAATATTTCAATACCCATATTTACAGTAATAAAATACTCAGTTTTACAAATATTATTCTGTAAATGTCATGTTATAAGTTTATTTTTATTCATTCTACTTATTCGCATTTTTTATCCACCCTATATATGGCCGATAGATTTATAGCAGACTGAAGTTAGCCGCAAATGAAATGTCATTTCGTTAAACGAAATATGAATGTATTTCTATTTCATAAAGTCAGTTAGAAAGAACAAGATCATATCATTACACGATAATCTTCTTTTCTCGTCACAATCTAACGCAAATTGTAATCTTTTCGTATATTGCATAAATAAAAGTGAACTTGGACAAATCTAGGTTGAATTGTACATATTTATCCAGAAGGCGGCGCTGTCATCAAACTTTTTAACATGGTTAGTGGTGCGTCAAACAATTTTAACTACGAAAAGTTAAGTTCAGTTAGATAGCAAAACTTAAAAAACGGTATAATACTATATATTGAGGAAAAAGTAGTCAGTTAATCGGAAGTGACATACGACATTGGTTCAGTGAATGAAATAAAATATGGGAGAACGTACGGTTCGTTTACTCTGTAAGCTTAGTATTTTCAGCTTTTTCATTTTTTTCATAAAAATGTCAAATGCAGCAAGTGTCCCAGGAACTAAAAATATTATTGACACTATAAAAAATGACAAAAATTTGCAATGTAAATTGCCAGAGTCTGTATATGATAGCAGTATTATAAAGGATTGTCATAATTTAACATATCCTGAAAACACAACTAAAATTAAAGATCTAGATCCAGATATACTAAAAAAGACTATTTTGTGCATAGCATTTCATGACATGTTATACAAGGTTTGTTCATCTAATATGACTTCTCAAATACCAAATGACAATGCTAAATTTCAATCATACATTGAAAAATTCTACCCTGAGAATGATGAATCGCATAGGATCAAGTTTTGTGAAAATATTAAAAGTGTTAAAGTTTCAAATAAACAATTGCTACCATTGTTATCTCTGATACATTTGAATGAAAGTACTGTATGTCATGCTACATGCTTCAACATACAAGGAAATTTTAATCCACCTTGTGCAATATTTGCTTTGAGTAAAAAAATTGACGAGGATATAAGAAATATAAACAAATCTCATCAAACACAGTCTCAAACTTCAACAGTAACTAATGGAGTACAGCAGTCTAAGAGTTTAAGCGAAAGTTTAAACCCGGTACAAACATCGTCGCACGCAAATGCAAATGATAATACTGCTGTGGAACCTCAGACAACAGATATTAAAACAGGTGTGGTTTCAGAAAGTAAAATACCTCAGAAGGAGAATTCAGATAAAATGCCTGTGGACTTAGATAAAACACCTGAGAATTCAAAAAAAATATCTAATAATCAAGCTACATCATCTAAAAATCAAGATAAGACAACAGAGAATCAAAGTAAAACATTAGAAAAACAAGATAAGATACCTGAGGATTTAGATAAAGCACCTGAAAATAAAGATAACGCTCCTGAATTTGAAGATGTACCTGAGAATCAAGGTAATGCACCCGAAAACGAAAGTAATATGCCTGAAAATGAAGGTAATGCAGGTGAGAATCTAGGTAATGCACCAGAGAATAATATAAATGATGATGAAAAGAACAAGAAGGATGCTAACGATATTAAAACAAGCACAATATCAGAAAACACCCAGAATCAAGAGAACTCTGTTAATCAAGATGAATGGAATCGTCTGGTAGATGACAAGTCTTCGTATGGTATGTAATTTAAAGGTGTTTAACATGTATTACTGTTGAGGCTTTCGGGTGTAATCTGATCAGTATCAGTGTAACCCTTGATGAAGCTAGCTGCAATGCTGGCGAAACGTTGGGAACTCGCTTCCTTTAGGACACGGCTTACACCCGAAAGCCTCAACAGTAATACCTGTTTGACGCCGGGCCATGAAAGCCTCAAATCTCTTGTGTTTAACATGGTTTGTAACTTGTTTGTATTTAAATTAAATATATTATTTTCAGATACAAATGATGTATCAGATCATGCTGTTGATACAGCAATTATGCCTGAACCTGAACAGAGGAATATCATATCTCGTTATCATAGTATAAGGTCAGGTGAAAGGTCTCATTTCTTCACCTACTTTACTGTTTTTTCCTTGATCTCCATAGCAGCATATGTAGGTTATCATAATAAACAAAAGGTATGTTTTTGTTTTGTATACTCTCTTGTTTGTAATATTTGTGGTTTATGTGTATTACTTTAATCTCGTAATACTTTAGATACTGGCCATGGTATTGGAAGGACGAAGATCGCGAAGCAATCGTGGTAGACGACGACCAAGCACAGCTAATTACCGTAAGCTAGATTGTACGTTAGAAGAGGCAGTTACGTCACAGTGTAATGCAAATGTTACGCATGTTATATACTAATACATGTAATATATCGGATACTTTAATGCAAGTGCATAATAGCACCCGTGTAATATATTTTGTATTCAAGTATACTTTCATTATACAAATATCTTTTTAAGAAATCAATGGTTTACTAGTATTCAATTGTTACTGCATTAAAATTTACCGTTATCTAGTATGAAATAGTGAAATATTTTGCACTGTTTGGATTGATATCTTGTAATGAAATTACAAGATTTATTATTATACGGGACAAATCTCCTGACGTTTAGACATTGGATGTTTTTGCTGTTTTCAAAAATACGTTAGACTTCTGAAGAACATCGCCTTTATACTTTTTTACGTAAAAACGACCTGTATAAAAACAAGTATACAGTTACGTCACTTAACTGTAAATGCAAATGCACTGTTTGTTATATGCAACTTTAATAACTTGTACGTTATTCTAACATTATTCATACGAAATTAAAAATTGTAAAAAGTTTTATACATTTATAAAGTTATATCTTGTTTTAAACTCAGTCATTACATTTGTCATAACTTTCCACAGTAAAATGATGTACAATTAATAGAATGATTTTGATTTTGCTAGTACATGCAGTATGTAATTGACAAGATTTAGTTAACAAACAAGCAATAACACAAACAATATATTACTTTCGTTATCGAGGTGTCATGTTCATACAGTACATTAACTAAAATGAAAAAAATAAATGTGGACGATTTTCACTGTGACCGACTGTATCTATACATTTAAGCTTATGTTAACAGTTTTGTATTTTTAATTTTAGTTATATGAAATATGTGCTCTATTTTCTTGCTGAAACTTAGATTTTTGTTGCCGAAAGCTACTTCATTAAATTAAAATGTAGAATAGATTTTATTTTTCAAGATTATGAAAGAAAGGGATAGATGTAAATATAGCTTCATAAGATAGTAATTATTATTCAGAATATAGTAGAACAAAGTAGCGACTATGGCGCAGCTGTGAATCTCTAATCAATTAATGGAACTTGTTTATTTGTTGAAAGAATACAGCTTATATATTTCAGTCTTAATTGATTAGTCCTCTAATCAGAAAAGGAAACTTAGTTCATGTAACGAGTTTCTCAGTTTCGCCACATGGAGTCGCCACTCCGCTCTACTATAGTCATAAGATGATACTATTATTTTTGTAATATTTAGCTTTCGATACCGATTTTTATTTAAATCAAAATACATCCATGTCATATGATTTCCTTCGTTATAATTTGTATAATCGTTAGGTGTACAAGAAGGGCAAGATATTTATTTATACGAGAAACTGTATCATTTCTGCAAAGTCAGAACAGTTCCTTCAATACAGTATATGTGTATTATGTATTAATATGTAGAAGCTATAATTATTATTTTTTCGATAACATATAATCAAATATTACATCCTATGTAACCAATATTGTTTATTACCTCATTTAAATACATTAACTGTACTCTTTATCTCTTAAAGGTTATGTATTATTGATAGATTGATACAAAAATAATTACAGCTGTTATTGAGTTAAGTGCTTATTATTGAATGTACTTTTACAGAATTAGCTGCACATTCTGAATATTTTTGTACTTTCAGTATCAAAGCACTTGATTATTGTTTAACACAAATTTTGATAGTATTTGATTTTATTTATTGATCAAGTTTATTTGAAATAATTTATTTTTCTTTAATGACTATGCAAATAATTTGTTAAGTTCTTTATTATTATATTTGACCTAATAAAGATTCATTTTGATTAATAGTTTATTCTAATCTGGAATATACTACAAAAAAGTACTTATTTTTGCATCAACATGACAGGTTTCAATAATTTTATTGCACAAAGATTGAATTATGTATGTTTAAAGATAAATAATTATTAATTTCAAATGATTATACATGCAATACAAATTATATTGGATTTGTCGCATCAAATACTGTCCACATGTACGTCAACGTGATTATATCATGAAAACATTGTATAAGTTCTAATGTCAAATAATAAATTTTCTATGAAAAATATTTCTGTGTACCACTATCCCTTTATATGTTAAAATTACATTTCGTATTAAAATATAATCAAAATAATGTAGTGATTTAACGTATAAAATAAAACTGTTTATTGCAGGGTAATTAATTTAATAAATTAAAAGAATATAGAAAGTCACATTCTGTCGTGAATTTGAAATTTGTGACATGCGCTTTAGTTTGAAAAGTGTTACTATCGCCATCTAGCAATGAAACATAAAACTACTCTAAAAAATGTGTTTTTTCAAAAAAATAAAGCCTTGTCATTGCATTGATGTTCGCAAACTGATAATAGTTTTATATAATAGTCAATTAAGCTGACGAAATTAACTATATTAGTAGAATTGAATAGAAAACGAAATACGTGGTGCCATCTAGTGGTAGTGTGTGGGAACTAATGAAACTGCAGTTCCAAAAACGTGTAGTTCACCCTGTTTGCCGGAGAGATGGCGCTACCTGTTCCATTTTTTAAATAATTCAATTAATATCAACTATTTCTATTTAATAAACAATAATATTCTTTAAATCGTATTATAAGTTAGTTCGAAGTATTTTAAGAATGCTAACAAATTGTAAAAAAATAATTAGCACAAAAATAATATTGAAGATTTAGTTTTATTAGTTCCCTCCTAGTACCACTAGATGGCCATAGTGTTTCATAGTCCTTTCTCAATTTTGAAACATAATTGAAGCAGTATTTCTCTAATTTTATATTAACCCTAATATTTTACTGTTTTGTTAAAAAGAAATATATAAATTGTATATACTAATTTTTCATACTAATCCTTAATAATAAAAATGTATCCTTTTCTTTTACAAAATGTTTAGTCCCTTTTTTTTAAACTTACAAAGTAAAACACTCTTTCTATCAAGCGTGATAAACTTTTCAATTCTACAGATACTTAATAAATCAATAAAATGCATAATAAACATGAAGTAATATATAAATAGAAAATTGCATACGAAAGTATTGCAAGTCTTAAACAATTGATCTCTGATACAAATTAATTCAAATTTGACTCAAATTGATCTTTTTTTTAATCTCAAAAATTTAAAATTCTTATACCGTTTTTGAAAGTAAAAATTTAGCACAAGAATTCTGGACATCAGAATTATATATAACAAGAATTGTTATTGTAATAATTTCCTTTTATTCTTTGTATAAACATTTATTGTCCGTCTACAATAAGTAGGCATAAGAAGGTACAGAATTTATTTTAAACATAAGAAATAAAAAATTCAAATAAATCGTATAAAAAGAGAGACAAATGTCTCTTTCGTTGCCGACTGACGCGGCAAAAGTGAACCCCTGCAGCTTTCGAGCGGACTTTAAATGCGCCTGAGTATCCCCTCCACTTTATAATAATTAATGGTGGGGTTTGCTCACTATACTTGTTAATGGTACGTTATCACGTGGAAAGGGAACGAAACAAGTGCTTTGTACTTTACTATTTACTATTATTATCTATGAATATTACATTATTAAATCAATTTTATTAAAAAACTACAGTAATATTAATATATTAGAAATATACTCATTGCAAAAACGAGAAGTACAACGTTACAGTAAAAATTACCTTGTTAAAGTATTCTACAGGCATCAAATATTACATAATATTAAATATGAGAAAAAATAAGTTAATATTTATATAAGAAAAAATAAATGAATATTTATAGAAGAAAGAATAAATATTTATATCACTTCATTAATATTCAATTTACTAATATAAATATTTATATCAAATTGTTATTTTTTTATAGAACATTTACTTGTAGTCAAATTAATAATGTTTATGACTTTTTATCCATTTTTATACATTTTCTGTAAATATGTATTTTAGTGTATTAGAAGTATAATACGTGAGAATTCGAATATGTTTAATTTCAATGCGGTATATTAGCATTTTTATTTACTGAGTTAGTTCATCAATTACTTGATATTGTAACAATAGCTACAGGATATTTTTAATTGCACACCTGTTCAACCATTAGGTACTCTCGGATAAGGAAACAGGTGATTTCTATACGCTTATCGTGTGCAGAACAAGAGCTCCATTTTGCAGTATGATAATGTTTTAAACGGAAGGAAGTCGAAAAACGGATGTCACATCTTCGCGTTACATTGTTTTATTTCAACTAAAATTACACGAACTAAAAAATAGACATAGCATTCACAAAATAAAGATCACAGAAAAATAATTAAATAAAAGATGTTTACAGTGAACTACTGAAAAGTCACTATAAGAGCTAACAAAATGACAACCAAAAAAAATTCTTTCTTTCAAATTACATGAAAAATTCCATGATTAAAAAACAATTATATAAACTATTATAAAATGCAAAAAAAATGACAATATTCATAAAAAATCTAACAAAATGACAACCAAAAAATTCTTTCTTTCAAACTACATGAAAAATTCCATAATTAAATGACAACTACATAAACTATTATAAAATCTAAAGAAAGATGAAAAAATTCATCAAAAGTCTAACAAAATGACAACCAAAAAAATTCTTTCTTTCAAACTACATGAAAAATTCCATAATTAAATGACAATTATATAAACTATTGTAAAATCTAAAAAGAACGACAAAATTCATTAAAAGTCTAACAAAATGACAACCAAAAAAATTCTTTCTTTCAAATTTCATGAAAAATACCATAAATGAAAGACAATTATATAAACTATTACAAAGTCTAAAAAAAAATTAGAAAATTCATCAAAAGTCTAACAAAATGACAACCGAAAAAATTCTTTCTTTTAAATTACATGAAAAATTCCATGATTAAATGAAAATTACATAAACTATTATAAAATCTAAAAAAAAATGACAAAATTCATCAAAAGTCTAACAAAATGATAACCAAAAAAATTCTTCCCTTCAAACTACATGAAAAATTCCATAATTAAATGACAATTATATAAACTATTATAAAATGCAAAAAAAAATTCATCAAATGCCTTTCTATCCCCGTTTTCTCAAAAAAGCAGCGATTAACGTCAGTTGCAGCACTCACACTAAAAAAATAATTGATCCACAGTAGAGAGTATTGAATGCAAATGTTTCGAACAACGATTACAATTTTATTCAAATAACGATGTAGATAAAAATTCATCTGAATAACTCCCGTGGTGTTCGCGGCGGTTAGTATGGTGGGGATGATGTTAGGGAGATTGCTGCCCGTGGCCGATACCAGATTTCTGTTCGCGTTCAGTCGGTGCGTGCTAGCGGCTCCGTTCGGTCATTCATAGTATTCTGTATCGTTCTTGCTTCTCTTCGGTCTGCCGCTTCGTCTTTAACGCGTGTTTCGTTGACAGTTTTCCGAAGAAAAATTCAATTTTCCCTGTGAAAGATTCACGGTGCGACGTCTGATCGTGGGACCAACTGTGACTCTGCCAAACTGCACTTCATCGTCGAAAAAAGGTAATTTCCTGCGAACACGTGGACCACCGTGTTTCGAATGACAGCGACGATTTTTACGCTCGATGTAAAAATACAAATTGTAGACACATATTTTGTAGCAATTTTTTTTCGTAATTGACGTCACATTTTAGAAATAGAAAATGTTGTATTTTAATAAAATTAGAATTAACGAATAGTATTACTTCATCTATATTTTTTTTTTTTCGAATAAACACTTCATTCGTGAAGCTCCATTTCGAATAAATTCTATTGGCGATTTCGATTTGAAATGACTGAAAAATCTGTCAATAATTAAAATGATTTCAGACTCAGTTTAAATATTTTTTTATTTTAATAATATTTGCTATTTATTTTACATTTAATCTGTCAGTTTCTGTTATAATATTTTACAAATATAAAATATGTCATTTTACATATTTATAACACTTTCAAGTAATTAATTTTAAAATACTATTTATCAAATAAATAATGTATGAATTGTTAATAAAATAACGTCAAGATAATTATTTGCAATTATACCTCATTCGTGAACTCTCAATACACACAAATCTATGAATATTAATTGAATTTGTACAAAGCCTCTCTTGGCGCCATTTCAAAAATTTGCGCGGGAAATATTCTCGCGACTACAATTTAAATTTTTCAAAAATTCGTGAAAGTTGCGCTAAAAATTTGTGTTTTCTATCAAACACAATATCTTGAGAGAAGAAAGAGAATAATATATCTTATAAAAGTTTAATTCAACGAATGCGCTGTTTGTCTTCGAATATTTCGAGCGAGATTGGCGGCTTTTTTCGTGCGCATGTGCATAGTATTAGTTTAAGGGAGCCGTGGAAAGATGTCGGTAAACAGAAATACGAAAACAGTGTAGGAAGAAGGTACGTTTTTATCGTGAATGATAATTGAGGCATTGTTTCTTATCTCGAATGGTTCGAGCAACGCGAATTATGTATGCAATCGTGTTAAGAACTGTGTTTAAAGAATACGCGCGAAAAAAAAGAGGTTAGATCCGAGGCTTCATTATCGCGCCGTGACCTTATGCAATATTTATATTGTTTTTATTTTTAGTACGCGGCGCTAGCATCAGACGGTCATAAATTTTGTTTGTATCATTGACATTTGATATTCGAATTTGGTTTACGTGTGGAGGAATATTTAAGTACATTGTGTATGAATAATTAGTGTGCTGTAATAATTTACTATGTGTTACTAGTTTTATGATGGTTTGGTGTTGAAAATTTAGTTCTTTTTTGGTTCTTTTTTTGAGAGGGAAATTTTATTATATTGGAAGAGCTTGGTAATTTATGGGATTCAAGGGTTAGTAGTTTTATTCAATGTGATGGAGGTTTGTTGTAGGTTTGATTAGGGGATGCTGGGAAAATTGGGAAATTGTGGATTTTGATGTTTAGGAAGTTTAGGTGTTCTGAAATTTGGAGCTTAGGTAATTACAAATTGACAAATTTACAGTTTTACAAATTTTCAAATTTACAAGTTTACAAATTTACAAATTTATAAATTTCAGGATTTATGATTTGGAAATTTCTAAATTGGGGAATTAGAAATTTGAAAATTTAAAAATTTGAAAATTGGAATCTCAGGAATATTGAAATTTGGAAATTAAGAAATTGAGGTGTGAAAATTTGGAAATTTGAAAATTTAGAGTTTTGGAAATCTGGGGATTTGAGAATTTAGGGATTTTAGAAATCTGGGGATTTGAGAATTTGGGATTTTGGGAATCTGGGGATTTGAGTATTTGGGGTTTTAGAAATCTAGGGATTTGAGAATTTGGAATTTTGGAAATTTGGGGATTTGAGAATTTGGGATTTTGGAAATCTGGGAATTTGAGAATTTGGGGTTTTGGAAATCTGGGGATTTAAGTATTTGGGGTTTTAGAAATCTAGGGATTTATGAATTTGGAATTTTGGAAATTTGGGGATTTGAGAATTTGGGATTTTGGAAATCTGGGAATTTGAGAATTTGGGGTTTTGGAAATCTGGGGATTTGAGTATTTGGGGTTTTAGAAATCTGGGAATTTGAGAATTTGGGGTTTTGGAAATCTGGGGATTTGAGTATTTGGGGTTTTAGAAATCTGGGGATTTGAGAATTTGGGGTTTTGGAAATCTGGGGATTTGAGTATTTAGAGTTTTAGAAATCTGGGGATCTGAGAATTTAGTGAGTTTGGAGATCTGGGGATTTGAAAATTTGGAATATTGGAAATCTGGGGATTTTGGAAATTTGAGAATTTGGGGTCTTGGAAATCGGGGTATTTCAAAATTTGGGGATTTTGGAAATCTGAGGATTTGAAAATATTGAAAATCTGGGGACTTGAGAATTGTGGGATTTTGGAAATCTAGGGATTTTAGAAATCTGGGGATTTCAGAATTTGGAATTTTGGAAATCTGAGGATTTGGTAATCTAGGGATTTGAGAATTGTGAAAATTGAAAATTTAGAAATTCGGAAGTAATGGAATTTGAGGAGCTGTAAATTAAAAAATTTGTAAACTTAAAAATTTGGAAATTAAAAAATAAGAAATAAAGAGATTTAATAAAAAAAAAATTGAAACCCCAAATTTTCAATTTTAAATTTGTCAAACTTGAACTTTCGCAAAAAGGAGATAGGAATCTGATCAACAACAGCTGCATTTTAATATTAATTTTATTAATACATGACTGAAGATTTAAATCGCAAATTTGCCATGGGATTAGTACGGAAGGTTGATAGATTCTCTAAAAAGAACGATGACTACGTCCTTGATCAATTTTGGATCAATGATGTCTTTCTACACGTGTTGCTTGGCATCGAGTGGCTACGTTGCAAAATTGTTCAACTTGTTCGATTTATCTTACAAAATGCTTGACAAATCAATAATCCCTAAAACCTTGAATATTTACAATGATTCTGTTCCAAATTTCATAGACTGTAAATAGATGCAGACTCAGATTATTTCTTCGATATTCAATGACAAAGTTGTTCATTTTATTTGACTGAAGTGAAAATTGCATCGGTGAGTCATTGCTTGAAAAATGGAACAGTTTTTAAATTTTAAATCTTGTTCTTTTTTCATTGTGTCTTTTACTTTTGTATGTTAATATTTTACTTAAACGTTTTTTAATATTCAAAATAAATTTCAGAATAAATGCAAAATAATACAAATTTTGTTCTTTTATGAAGTAAAAGATTTGTACGGTTTTTTAAAATAGTTTTTAGTAATATTAAATATTTTTAGCAAAATTAAATAATATTATTATTATAGTTGTTAAATAATATTATAAGTTTGTATAATATTTAGCAATATTAATATTTGCTAATATATTTTATGTTATATTTATTGTTTTACAAAATTGATATGCTATTAGTAATTTGTAAATAACAAAAGTAATTTCAAGTATACATTTATGTAAATTACATGACCTTTATTACAATAATTTATTCAATTTCTGAACTTAAGTCTTGAAGTATTACAATTTCTAATTCAGAAGTACGTTTGAATGTACGTTGTGTTAGAATTATTTGCAACAGTTACAAATTACTTGTAAAATAACAAGTAACAGATAAGATTACTCGTGAAATAATTCTTTTTGCGACTAGTCGTGTCGTTAAGTTTATTCAAATACTGATACTATTTAGAATAAGAAGTTTTATTAAAATAATAATATAATTAATTTAAAATGTATGTACAATATATTTAAATTATTACAAAATTTTATTAAAACAGACATAATTAATTTATTAATTATGTCTGTTTTAATAATTTATTAATTTATAGTAATAAAATATTGGTAAAACATTTCATAAACATTAAAATCCAAAATTAAATTTCAATAGAATAACAGTAACAGCAATAAGTCATAGTTAATTTATTGTAATAAAATATTGGTAAAACATTGTACAAACACTAAAATCCAAAATTAAATTTTTAATAAAATAACAATAACAATGACAAGACGTAGTTAATTTATTGTAATAAAATATTGGTACAACGTTACACATACAAACACTAAAATCCAAAATTAAATTTTAATAAAATAACAATAACAATGACAAGACATAGTTAATTTATTGTAATAAAATATTGGTACAACATTGCACAAAGAAATACTAAAATCCAAAAATAAATTTTAATAAAATAACAATAACAAGGCATAATTAATTTACAGTAATAAAATATTGGTACAACGTTACACAAGTAACACTAAAATCCAAAATGAAATTTTAATAAAATAGCAAAAGCTATAAATGTTAAATAAACAGTATAATAGTATAATAGTAAAAGAACAGTATAATTTTCTATGTAAACCAAAGTAATATTTTACTACCACAAAAGAAAATAAATTACAAATGACAAATAATTCAATGAATTAACTGCATATTAAAAATATTTCAATCGACACGACAAAGGAAATCAAACAAGATGAAACTACTTTTATGCTTCGCGTAGCCGCGGATTAAGGTGCAACCCGAGATTTGCAAAGTGAGCAATTTTTTATATTCCGTCGGAAACGCAAAAAAGTAAGACGAAACTAGGAGTGAATAAAAATGATTGCCACTTTCGATGTTCCTCGAACAGAGGCTTGTTTCGCAAAAATCGTTATTCCCTTCCTCGTTGCGTCCCGCTCCTCCTTTCGTTTTTCTTTGTTCCTTTTTTTATTTTAGGTGACTCCGCCTGTAAATTATTCGTATTCTCATGCATTAACGCCGAAGGCCGTAAATAAAGGTTAAACGAGCTTCGCGGCTTTTTATAATCAGTCTTTATTTCGGGCTGAACTTAATTAAAAGTCCATAATAACCGACCGGAAATTAGGTTGTTGCATTTTCAAATGGTATCAACTTTTCCTTTTTTATATTTTAATATTCAACTATTGTTATACTTTTCAATTTTTATATTGCATTATTTTTTTATATCGAATTAAATTATTTCTTAATAGTTACATACATATTTAATTATTTTTCTATTTTGTTTATTGCAGACTTAATTCTTTTATAGCTCTTCACTTATTAA